TTCTTCTTCACTTGCAAATCCATACAATTGACAGAGTATCATCATCACACACACATACACTCATGTTGAGCAGAGTGACAGACTACTGGCGCAAGCAGACCAAGCTCGCAGGTGTGCAGATCCGAACATCCACCTCTCGCGCGCTTGTGACGACGCTCACGAAAACCACGTCGCTTACTACTCTTGAGCTGTTTTTGGGGGCATTTTTGCTTTGCTAGGGGTCTACTGGGCGCTGGGCGTCGGCGTCTTTGTCTACACTGGATTCAAGGGTTACCGCCTGTAAGTGTGCAGCCCGCGGTTGGCTTGGCGCGACGACCATTCACACATGGTGCTTGTGTGAGAAACTGAGAAACTGAGACACTGGGAAATTGGTGGTGGAAGAGTGGGGTCTGCAGGCGTCCGTCCATCTGTGCTCAGACACGTTCACGCTTGCAATGTACTCACTGTCGAGCTTGATGGACTTGGGTTTAGACACAAATCGCGTAGCAAGGTCGCAGAGACCACGCCAGACAATGTTCAACGCACAAGATGGGAATAACAGCGCGAGATTGAATGAAAACACAGATGGATTGTACTTTTACAATGAAACACTCAAACATAGCTCCTTTGCAGGTCAAAAAACGCCTCCTTGACACCCAGACATCAGCAGCAATACTCGACGAGCATACACGCTGCTGGTTGTCTGTTATTGGGCAGCAGCGTCCAACTCGGCCAAAAGCCGCGTTCCTGTGTTTATTGGCAAATTCAAAGTGAGCTGCAAAAAGCGACGCTTTCCCCACAATCGCATGAACAACATACGCAAATCGTTATAGTATCGGCGACGGCACGGATCAACAGCGCGAAGACGGTCCAGGCTGGTTAGAATTTCCTCGCGGTGGGCGCGCATGTCGATGGCGTGCATCAACAACAACGATGTCAGAATGGCCCCTAGACACGCACAAATAGCATGAGCATGCACAAAAAGAGTCAGAAAACCGAGACCAGCCTCTAACAACCATCCAACAACAGACACACGCACATTTGCTGTCGGGCTCGAGCTCCAATAACTCGCGGAATGCGCCCAACTCGGACTCGAGAACTTCACGCGTGCCTGGCGAGAGTTGGTGGGTGGTCTTTGAGGATGTAGTGTCGGCGAGTGCGACGTTCTTGCCTGCGGCGAGGAAAGCGGAGACCGTTGGCAACCAAATTTTACAGAACAACGAGAGCAGCAGAAGCGCACCTTTGCCAAGCAACCACCGGTAGTAAAACCAAGCGCTCTGATCTTCTGGCTCTGTAAAGCACGCGGATTGTACCATATCAAACTCTGATCGGACGTCAGGAGCGCCTGTGAGTTGGTGTCGACAAAAAAACAAATCGCAAAAAAAACGATCCAACAGTGCAGCTACCTTTGTGAAGTTGGCTCTCCAGAATCGTCGAAGAGTCCGCTTGATCTGCAAAAATCATGGGGAGCAGCTTGCTGCGGTAGTGCCAGGCGCTGTAGTTGGAAAAGTTTTGCTCAATCTTTGCGGTGGTAAACTCAAACTCGGATTTCAACGAAACCGAGGCACAGCGTGCGACGTGGCGACGATAGTCCCAGCAATGAACTTTACAGAGAGAATAGACATCTCAAGGTGAGGATCAAGAGGACCCCCAAATGGGAACACCTGCTATCTTACAGTTTCGCGAGTCGCGATTGAGAAATTGACTCGTCAGATCCAGCTCGTTCTTCCAATCGGGCTTTGGCGCTTGTTCCAACAGCCTACCACGCACAAAGTAAGCAAGCCGAGAGAGTGAGCACAAAACCCCAAACGCAGCAGAGGAGCCAAACTTTTGTTGTCGAATGGTTACCATCGTCGATGATTCCACAGCCAATAGCACTTTGGGTTTGTTGCAATGCAGCCTTCGAGGAAGGTGAGCTCTGCCTTGCATTCGTCTTGCACATTGCAATCCCTACAACAACGTTGTTTCCGATAGTTTCGTTGAGCTTTTCACCAATTTCCAATGCAACACACCAAAAGGTTCCAAACTCGTTCCTCCCTCCCCAAATAGTCAGTCGATTCGAGCCCTCTTCAACTTCCGACGGCAGATCAAGCAATCTGCATCATTCACGTACGTCTGCAAAAACCTTTTGAGCATAATGCATCGACGGTAATTCCAGAGCGTGTAAATCTCGGGACTGCGCGACAGGAGCTCTCTCGTCAATGCAAACGCCTCGTCATCGTACTCCTTGGCTTGGTACTAGAAATATCGAATGCCCAAAATAAAAAAAAATTGCAGATTGAAGTGCATGTGAGTATGAGGATGAGTACGCGTACAAGTCTGAGTGAGTTAGCATTGGCGTTTCCCAAAACCCTCAGCTGGGCTCGCCCGTCCTTCTGCCCTTTTCTCCTTCTTCGTGCCTCGCATCCAATTCACTATGCCTTTCTGTGGTACCTTGGCAAAGACGCGCGCGTTGAGCTGCTGGAACAAGGCGAGCTTCTTGCTGCGCTCCTTCTGCTTGGCTTCCTCAACCTCGGCAGCGGACTTGACGCGGCTCCGACCGTGCTAATTCAGGCGAGGAGGAGATGGTGATGATGACGGGAATTGTTGGGTGGTTGGGTGGTTGGGTGGTTGGGTGGTCACAAAGCGCAATGGGGGTCGGTCAGCTCAGAATGCGCTCAGCGTTCGGTTTCAAGCAGATGACAGAAGCGCGTACCATTGGGACTCAATTGGTGATGAGGAAAAAAAAAAAAAAGACTGATTTGGGTTTTGAGGAGAAAGTGGGAATGGTTGCACGGCAGTGGTTTTTGGAAGATGGAAACAGAGCCAAAGCTGAATGCAGAACGAGCTCGTAAAGCTCGCAACGAGTTGGATTCCGAGTAAGGAGCATTCGCTGATCAAAGTGCCAGCGGTTGCGGCAATTCGTGTTGCTCTGGGGCTGTTCGAACGTTGACTAAAAATTCGCGCTTGTACAAAAAACAACAACAACAAAAACGCATGAAATCACAACAACAAGGCGCCGAGAAGCCCACATCAAGCCGTCGCGGTCGCGGATGTAGTAGCATCATCAGCGGTCTTGTCTTCTTCCAATCGTGGCCTTGTGCGGCGTGTCTCTTCCTCGTCGTTCTCGCTGGCCTCGGCTTCCGACGCGGTCCGCTTGGACTTGTCTCTATTCATCCCAAAGCGCAATGGATGAGCAATCTGGTCTCCAAACCCCTCTCAAACAAAACACTCAACAAAACAGATACAAAACAGCACCACCTCTCTTCCCTTCCCCCCATCCTCCCCCAACAATCAAAGTCCATACTCGGGGAGCTGGAAAAAGTTCATGGCTTCGAGACGCCAGTTCTTCTTCGAGTCTGCGCCCTCGTAGTGCTGCTGAATGCGATGGTACTGTCGAGAGAAAAAGTAGAGCAGGTTGTCGTAGCGACCGTCATAGGGCGTGCGCGTAAAGCGCTCGTGCAGCAGGCGGAAAAAGTGGTGAATGGCCTCGATGGTGGCGAGGTAGGTGGCTGGCTTGTCCTTCTGGTGCCGCCAGAAGCGCGACGTCTCGCTGGTAAACTTGATGCGCGGGATGCCTGCCAGCGCGGGGTTGGAGTTGACGCCGTGCGCTTGGTTCCAGGTCGAGTCGATGAACATGACACGGCCGCCCTTCTCGACAAAGTCGTCTGGCAGGTCCTCGAACGTCAGTGCGTCCTTGCTTGGGAAGACGAGCACAGTGCGAGTTGGGTCAATGTCTTCCGGCACGGCGGGATGCTCGTAGATTGCAGTCTGGTGCGGCGCAATGATGGCTGCGTGAATAGCAGTGCTCTTTGAGTTTGCCTCGCCCCTTTGGTGCAGTAAGTAAGTGCATGAACAAATCAAACAAACAAACAACAGAAGTGAGCTTCGTTGCTCATGCTTCTGTCATGCTTTGATGTCGATATACTTGCTCAACCCCAATGAACAAGCGCTTGCTTACTTGTGCTTGATAATGTCCAAACGCAATGGAAGCTCGACGTTCGGCAGCGTTCGCTCGGCTGCGCATCCAAGCATTCAATAAGAACACACAAGTCAAAACATGCTCCAAACTGTGAGTGATTCATTTGACTTGAGCTTGAAGCTCGCTGAAGAAACGGGGTTCGGGGGTGGCTCGCTCCTCGTGGGCGAAGGGGACGGGGATTGGACCTGGACCCCCTTCCCCCCCCTTGGCCCCGGCCAGCTCGCGACCACCCAACTCGTGTGCCACTCAAGAAGGAGAGTCAGTCGAGGCGTGGTGTTACCGAGCGGGATGCGGCAATCAAAGCAGAAGAAGAGGCGCTTGTGCTGGCACTTTGGGCAGGCGACGCGGCCAGCTCGCTCTGCTGCGTACAGCGGCTCGTGCGACGCAATCTTGAGGTCCTGGAACGGAGACCAGTCGGGGAACTTTTCGAGCTCGGGTGCGGCGGCGACGGAAGTCGAGGTCGAGGTCGATTCAGACATCAGTCGAGGGCGAAACGAAGAAGACTGGAAGTGGCATCTCAGTCCCTGAGAGAAACAAAATAATAGGAAAAAAGAAAATAAGAGAAGGACAGAGAAGGACCAACGTCGGCAATTGGCACTGGAGCTGCTCTAGCGGTTACTGCAATCCAAGCGAAGAAGTTCCGAAGCTGCGAGCTGTTGCATTTTAGCCTGTGCGTTTCGAGGCTGTTTTGTCCCGTACAATGAAGGCTGAGAGTAAAAGCCTGCATGAACCCTGTAGAGATGTTTCACTTTAATTTCCAAATACGAACAGACGGGCGTTCTCCACGCACACGTACTCCAAAGATTTGCGCTAGAAATATCCAACATAAAGCGATTCAAACAACACATCTCGAGAAGACTTGCTGGCTCGAACTTGAACCTGCCAACCCGCGCGCATTCGTCGGATGACAGGATGATTGGCTGGCAGGATTGTCACAAGGTCGAGGTTCGAATCGACAAGGGTCGGTTTCACCGAGCATTCATATCGAACAGCGCCTTGCTCATCTCGAACAATCAAATCAAAGCCGCTGCTGCCGTTGCTGCCGTAAAGTGGACGACTGTCCCGAAACACATTAATTGCTTTCACACGGATTGAATTCCCATTAACGCCTTGAGGCAGTGTGACGTTCAGAATATAGGCGGGGCTATCATCATAAAAATGCAATCGCTTGGTGTGCTGCACGCCTTGCCAGTAGTGCGCATTGTCCATAATGAGCTCAGCAATCTCGGCTGGTAGTGCGGGCAGCGCTGCCGATTGATCCTCAAGCGCCAGTCCGCTGCTTAGCAAGTGGAACACGTTCTGAAGATCTTCGGCAGTTGCTAATCGTCGCGAAAGTAAGGAGAACATACGAGGATGCATCTGCTGGTCGATGCTATGCAAGCAAGGTGAATAAGCACTCAGCAGGGCGTTGGAGGAGCAGTCATCTTCGGGCAACAAACCTACTTAAGGTCAAGCAGAGTATGGCTGACTTGACGCGCTTCACCAAGCGCTTGAAGACCAGCATTTCCAATGCAATTGAGTCGCAGACTATCACTTGAAGGGTGAGCAAGGTATGGCTGACACTGGCTCAATGAGCGAGACCAGCAAAGCAAAGTGCGCAGCAACTGACTCAACATAAGCCAGCGTCGTGTTCACTTTGAGTGCCTCAGCAATTGCCAGCGCTCCAGCATCGCTAATCTGATTCTGGTACAGACTGTTCATCCCCTCCATCAGTGAGCACAATGAATGCCCTTTGTAGGATCACTCACTCACTCGCAAGCATTCGTGGAAGTGAGCTGTCTTACCCGAGCCTAGTCAGCGTCTTGTTCACTTTGAGTGTCTCAGCAATGGCCTGCGCTCCAGCATCGCCAATCTGATTCCAGCCCAAACTATCCGTCCTCTCCATCGGTGAGTGCTCTTCATGCTCGGCAGGATCTCCCCCCCCCGCCCACTTCCATGCGTCAAGCAAAGCGCACAACAACTTACTCGATATAAGCCAGTGCTGTGTTCACCTTGAGTGCCTCAGCAATCATCGCCGCTGCAGAATCGTCAATCTGATTATGCGCCAGACTGCCCGTCCCCTCCGTCAGCGAGCGCTCCTAATCCCTACCACTCGATCACTCACTCACATGCATCAGTCAATAAGATTTGGCTTACCCGAGCGAAGTCGCCGTCGTGTTCACCTTGAGTGCCTCGGCAAAGATTTGCACTTCAGTATTGCTAATCTGATTCCTATCAACGCTGATCCCTCCATTTCGTCAGTACAAGCTTGCCACACTGTTCCAATAAACTCGAGATTCCTCTCACGCGAGATGCTTCCTCGCATTCTTGACTTGGTCGTACAGCTCGCGCTGTCTCTTCCTCATGCTCCGAGTGAACTGCATCTTCTCAAAACTGTTGAACAAGGACTGACACCTTCCCCAAAAGCAGACTCAACTCCATTTCTGAGTCTTGATTCTTTCCATATTCATGCTCGATATTCGTGTTCACAGTTGACGAGTGAAAAATCAAACAGCGAGAGGGAAAAAAAGAGACAGACCGTTTTTGCTCGTTGCTCTTTTGATAGGCGTTTGAGCTGTGGTGAACTCGATGAGAAGTGTCAGTCAAATGTGTTTCAGATCGAGGAAGGACAAGTAACACATCAGCTTGCTCAGAGGCAAGTCTCCCAAAACCAAAACATTCTGAGCGTCCAGTTCCAATAACCGTCACCATCGCGAGACTGTCCTCCTTCCCTCCCTCGCGCCTTGCATCGATGTAGACAAAGCACCGGCTCACGCACATTTTTGATCGCGGATGAAACAAACAACAAAAAGCAGTGTCTGAGAAACTCAAATCTGCACAAATCTCAGTCTCACTTTTTTTTTTTTTTTTTTTTTTTTTTTTGCAATATGGACGTTCCTGCTTCTGGCTCGGGATCGGGCTCAGAGGAGCGCGTCTTCAACTTTGGCGTGTACAAGTACACCAAGCTCAAGTCTGCTCAGCGTCGCATTCTGCAGATCGATTTCCAGTCGCGCGTCCTGTGCAACATTAAGCGAGGAAACCGCGACAAACGGTTTGAATTCAACCAAAGTAAAACACAATGCAATTCTTTACAAAAAAAAAAAAAAAAAAAAAAAAAAAAAAACAACCATGAATCTCTGAAGCTACCAAAACTTAACCACGCGCAGTGAACTCGTCGTATCGAAATTGCTGGTTTTTAAACGCCAATTCGAATTGCTGCGGTTTTTCTTCTTCTTTGTTTGTTTGTTGTTCTCGTTTCTTTCTTTTCCGCCCTTGTCACGCTCTCCATTGCCATTTGGCGCCCCCCGTCCATGCATTTATGCAATCATCGTCATTCTCATGGGCAGGTCCGGGTTTCGGGTTTCGGGTCTCGCTGCTGCTGCTGCGGAGTGGTGCTCTGGTAGCTCAAATCCTCGCTCTACGCTCTCTTTCTCTCTCTCTCTATCTCTCTCTTTCCTTCGCCATCGACCGACAATGCAAATGCTCGAGGTTTGCGTTTGTCCATCAGGCATTGGAACACACGCTGCGAATGAACCTTCATGAAGACCAAAATCCAAATGCACTCCTGGTATAACCTCGACCACTCACTTCGCGCTTCCTTCCCCCTTCTGTCTGCAACAGTCGAAAGCTGCGAATGCGAAGATGGCCTCCGATTCACCATCAACTTTGTCAACCACGAGCCGTCAGAGTACGACGCGGACTCGATCGAGGAGAAGATTCGCATCTCGCGACTCATCAACTACATTGTCACCAAGACCAAGCAGTCGGAGCAAACATCGCAGGGCGTCGACCTGGCGTCCCAGTCGTTTGCTGTGGACGGCGAGGACGGCGAGGAGGGCCCGTCCAGCTCCCAAGGGGTCGAGGTCAACTACTCGACGGCCGATCTCATGAACCAAGCTCGCAACGTCATTATGGAGGGCGAGGTGGAAAAGCGTGGCCACTCGGCCTCGATGATGTTCTGGGCCCGGCGTTGGCTCAAAATCAGCGAGGGCGAAGTCGCCTACTTTAAAATGGACGATCGCGAGAACGCGCTCAACATTGTCCCGCTGGACTTGCGCTCGGTCACCTTTTCGCGCTTGCCCAACGGCTTTGTCATCCACACCAGCAAGAAGCAGTTTAGCTTCCGCGTGCTCAATCTCACCGACAAGCCGATCGCGGCGGTCGAGCAAGAGCGCGACGCGTGGTACGCCGCCTTGCTCAGGGCATCGTCCGTGACGGCAGGTGCCTCCGAGTTTTCGGGCAGCATTGCCTCGCAGCTTGCCGGTCTCACCATGACCATGCAGCAGCAATTGAACGACCTCCGCTCGCAATTGTCCTCCCGCAAGGACGAGGTCTCGCTCGGAAAGCTCGAGAATGTGTTTGCACTGACAGACAAGCTCAATGACTTTATCCACTCGACATCCAACGCGAGAGGCGGCAAAAACACTTCCGCTTCTGGCGGCGGCTCTGGTGCGTTGTCGTCGGGAGGCGGTCTCAGTTCGGCTTTGGGGTCGGCCATGGGGCGCCTTGGGCGTGGCAACCAAGGGAGCAGCAACGCACCTGGAGGAGACAGCATGCACGGTGGTAGCAAGAGTGGGTTTGGGGACTCGAGCAACAACGACGGTGGTTTTGGCGGATTTGGTGGACCGCCGCCGCCGCCACCTGGCATGATGGGTGGTGGCGATGGCGACTTTGGCGACTTTGGTGGCCCTCCTCCTCCGCCCCCGCCCATGGGCGGGTTTGGTGGTGCACCACCGCCGCCGCCACCGCCTGGTATGGGTGGCAACAATGCCGGACTGCCACCCAAGCGCGTCATCAAGCCGTCGACCAAGATGCGGCCGTTGCACTGGACCAAGGTTCCGCCCATGAAGATTGCCACAACCGTGTGGGAGGGTGTGAACGAGGAGGCGCTCAAGTTTGACGAGATGGCGCTTGAAGAGACGTTCGGCCTGGACGCCAAGGCCGACACCAAGCTCAAGCGCAAAGACCGCCCCGAGGTCAAAACGCTGCTCGATGGCAAGCGTGGCCAAAACATTGGCATCTTCCTCAGTGGCTACAAGGGTTCCTTGTCAGAGTTGCCAAAGATGCTGTGCATGATCACGGACGGTCTGCCGCTCGAACATGTTATAGCCTTCAAGCGCTTTGCGCCGACTCCGGAGGAAATTGAGGCGTACAAAAACTACAAGGATAACAAGGCCGAACTGGCTCCTGCGGATCAGTTTTTGATGCAGCTGATTGAGATTCCCAACCTGAATGCTCGTTTGGACTTGCTCTTTACGCTGCGCGAGTTTCCCGACCGCCTCGCCGATGTGGAGCCCGAAATCCAAATGACGCTGGCCGCATGCAAGGACTTGCTGGCCAGCAAGGAGTTTGAGGAGGTGTTGCAGTACTTGCTCGCCATGGGCAACTATCTGAACGGCTCCACTCCGCGCGGTGGCGCCTACGGTTTCAAGCTCAACACCCTGATGAAAATCAACGAGGTCCACGGCGCCGATCGCAAGTACACTCTTGTTGATTTCCTGCTCGAGACGCTCCAAAAGCAGAATCCCGCGTTGGTCGAATTTACCAAGAATTTGGCCAGTGTGCAACTCGCTGCTCAACGTAAGAGCTGAAGAGATGGATTTTTTGAAGAGAAGGGAGAAGGGAGAAGGGAAGGGGAGGCGGGGGGTGCTGCCGAGAACACGTCTTTTCGAAGCCTCATTCTTCTTCAACAGTCTCCGTCAAGGGCATCTCTGCGGAAGGCGAGCTGCTCAAGAAAGATCTCGAGAAGATTCGCCGCAATGCGGATGCCCTCAAGATTACAGATACCTCCACTGCATTTGAGCGCAAGTTCCAGACGGATTTGCTTGTGCGTTCATCATTTATAGCGGGGGGGGGGGCGATTTGTTGCATGCGGTGCGGTGATCATTCTTGGTCCTGATTTGATTTCGCCTTTGTGTGCACAGAGCTTCCTCGAATTCCATGAAACCAAGCTCGAGACTCTTTCAGCAGAATGCGTTCAGATGAACCGCCTGTTTAAAGAAGTGCTGGTCAAGTTCGGAGAGACCAACACGACGGACAGCGAAGAGGTCTTTAGCACCATCAACTACTTTGCAACGCGCTTTACCACTGCGCTCGAGGCTCGAACTGGGCGCGATCTGGCTGCCGAAAAGGCCAAAAACCGCGCTTCCATCATGCCGACGCAAGCACAGTCACCTCAGTCGACCAAGGAACGCGAAACTCCAGAATGGGCCCGAAATTCATCGCAGGTATGGTTTTGTGTTTTGGTCAGTCTACTGTTGAAGAACTGGAGGGATGCCTGCAGCGTCCTGATTCGTCCGTATTTTTTTTTTTGTAAATCTCTGCAGCGAAGTTCGGCAGCCACAGACTCCTCGCAGTCGACCATTCCGTCAAGCAACCGTAACAGTATTCTGAATGTAAGCGATGTGCTTTGGGGGTTTGTTTTGTTTTGGCGGCATTCCTTTTTCACCGTGCAATTGCTCGTACGCTTTGTTTGTTTCCCCCCCCCCTCGATTTTCTCATTCATCAGCAGAACAACCCGAACAACAACCCTGCCTCGACCAGCACGGCAGCACCCGCCTCGCCATTCGCTGCCAACACGTTCAAGAAGCGTGATCGACCGATGATGGGCTACCTGGAAAAGCTATCGGGTGGCAAGCACATTCGTCCAAAGTGGGATCGCCGCTGGTTTGAGCTGCAGGACGGCTACATGCACTATTTCAAGAAGCGTGACGGCAAGGCGGTCGGTAGCGTCCACGTCAAGGGTTGTCCGCTCAGCATCGATCCCAAAAACGGCAAGATGCTTTTCATAGAAACGCCAGAGCGCCAATGGCAGCTCCGCGCAGACACTGAAGCTGACGCCCGCGACTGGTACGAAGCTCTTGGTGCCAACGTCTAACAGAGTGCGCTGTGCACGATGTTGCGCTGGTGTGTATTTCTGCGTTGTGTTGTGCTGTGCTGTTCTTCTTGTGTGAATCATCCTCCCCTTTTCTTCTTGTGAATCTACCTTTGTATTGCAACCGAATTCGTTCAATCCAGCTGGAGATCAACACCCGATTCCAGTATTCTCAGACAAAGCCCTTGCTTGAGTTTGTTCAAAACTCTGTGTGCAGTAGTTTTTTATTTTATTATTATTATTCCTTCAAACTCAAGCCTTGATCCACTCACTTTTTGCTTCTTTAACGTCTTGTTGCATTGCAACCTGTCAACCTGAGCTGTTCAGCTCGCGGCTCGCTCAGTTTGCGCAATGTGGAAGACGCAGCGGGTTGTGCTGCTGATCGACACGTCGCCGGTCGCAGCCGCGCTCGCCACGACGCCGCATCGCTACGGCAGCGTGCCCAAGACAGGTTCAGTCTCCGTTGTCCAGGTCGATGCACAGCACGGCGGCGAAGGCGGCGGCGGCGAAGACTCGCTCGCGTCTCAAGCAGGACCGTTTCCCGCCATTTTCAACGCGCGCCCGCTGCTTGCCCAAGACAAGCTCCATCAAGACGCGAGGACTGCAACTGTCACACACGATGTGGCTGAAACCCATCGGAACCACCACTGGGCTGCTGCGTCCGCTGCTGCTCATGGTTCTGATCGTCCAAGCGCCAGCTCGATACTCGACGTGGACGTGGAGCCGGATGAGACATCCAGCCACCATCAGAACCATCGCCACGAGCATCATCGATCGAGAGAAGGACAGACAACACTGGGACAGACGGACGACTCGGACGATGTTGGGTCGGATGGAAGTCTGCTCTTGCTGAAACACTCGCCGCGTCGCAGTCCGCGAGCATCGGCGCAAGCCAGTGCTCCCAATCGTGATCCGTTGGTATCCAGCAAGCAGGCCATGCGAGCGTCTGGCTTGAACCGGCCTCGCAATCGGCGTGGCGCCTACGAGGACGAGACTGGCTGGGATGCGTCCGAGTCTGTCTTTGAACGTGTCGCAGCAGCAGACAAGCAGTCCTCGGCCCAGCCGGTCGGTACGCTGCCGCGGTCTCCTCGAATCGTCACTGGACGTGGTCGGCTTGCTCACGGCGAGGCTGGTTTTGCCCAGTCGGCCAGCTACGAAGCAAAGTCGCGGCGCGCATCGGCGCCAAGCTACGAGTGGTCATCCCACCATCAAGACTCGCCAACCGTAGCCATGTCACCAAACGAGCCAAAACCAACGTACGGCGACATGCTGCGTGCGAGGCACTTGTCGACCTCGTCGATTCCTGGGTCTTTAAGCGAGACTGGTTTGGATGTGCGAGTCGACTTGCTGGGCGGGTCAACCCTACCTCTACCAGCATCCAACCTCACTCGGGCCGATATGCGTGCGTACGTATCATCGACGCTTGACATGGTCGCTACCCTTGAATCTGTCACCCCCAAAACCCTCCCGACCTGGGCTGCCGACTATTGCTCGTTAATCGAAGCCGTGATTGTCAAAACGCTCGTCCATCTCCACGCGAATGCCATCCATGTCGCGAGCTTGAGTGCACCTACCAGCTCGGCACCCAAGACCAGCACCTTTTCGTATTCGGCCAAGGCGCACTCCGCCTCAAACTCGCGTCCATTTCTCTGGGGCGTCAAATTCTTCAACAGCAGTCGGTCGGACTTGGCCAACCTCGACCGCCACGTATTTAATGAGCTCTCGAGCACCAGCATCAGCGAGGTGGCTTCCGAACTGCGCGAGCAGATGGCGCTGTCACTCTCGTTGTTGCGAACGTCCTCCCAGCACAGCGCGACGCTGGCATTCTTACTAGCACAACCGGCCACCTCCAGCAGTGGAAAAACTGCAAGTATTCAAACTGAATCAGCTCAACATCACGTGCCGCTGACTCCTGTGACTGATGGAAATGCTTCCAGCGGCGGCATTGCCTTTGGTGCTCAGGCTGCTGGAGGTGGTGGTGGCGTCGAGCTGGGCCGAACCAGGAGTTTGACAGGAGGCCGACGGAGCGCTGCTACGGCGCGTTCAAACACTCCAAACCCGACAACATCCGCATACTCTCGTTCCGACTACAGCGAGGTCACCCCGGCCTCCGCTTCCGCGCTTCGCTGCGTTGCGACCGCCCTGAAGGAGGTGTTGAGCGACTTCCAATGGAACCCCCAACATTTGGAATCGCCTGTAAAGTCTGGACCCGCTCCCGTGACTGCGACCAAGTTGTGGCAGCGGCCGTTCAACGCGCTCGAATCGGCGCGCAATGTCGTCCTGTTGCTCCGTCCGTGTCCTTCCTCCCTCCACGAGATGGGCGACGCGTTGGACATGCCTTCGCCCATGGATGAGCTGTTTGTGCCCACTACCGCGGAGGCGCTCAAGTCTACCCAAGCGCCGTACTTGGCGTCAATCAACGCCTCCGTCAAGGCTGACTTGGCACTGTCGCAAATTGCACAAAAATGGAAGGAGCAGTGCCTTGCGCTGTTTTGGGTTGATGTGCGGGCCTCAGTGAACTCGGTCAGTAGTTGCCGGTGGTTTTTTTTGTCTCTCTCGCTTTTTGGTTGTTGGTGTGGTTGTCGCAAATCACTCAACTAAACCCACTCGTCGACTCTTCGTTCTTGTGTGAATTGATGTTGTCTGCACCACCAGGGCCTCGGGTTTGTTTCTGCTCCTGCTCGACATTCGTTGCAGCACCTCTGCCGAACGACGCACGGTGCGATTCTCCCGTCCGCCATTCTGCTCGGTGGGCCGCAGCCTGCTTTGCCATTCTCGATGCGATTGAACGCACTGCTTGCTCTCAAAGATCTCGAGTATTTCAAGGCACTGCACCCGATACACACACAGACATCCGCCGCAGTTGATGCCCGCCCCGACGACGGCGACGGTACGGTAACTACCTGTTCTACAGCGGAAATGGGCAACGACCCGCCCGTCTTTCAGTCACTGTGTCTTGAACCGTGGTATCCGTTTTCAGGCGCATCCATTCCGGCAACCAGTCTTGCCTGGCTGCAATCCATCGCGGCAAGTCACCATCGTGGCCAGAGTGATGCTGGCGACCGGCCTCATCGAGATCTCATTCGACAGCCATCCTTGATGATGCGAAAGTACGCCGAAATTTCGCTGCTCGAGTATCACGAGAGCACAGTCAAGCTTAACTCGACCAAGCCGCTGGGTTTGCGGTCGATGCTTGCTGCAGACCATGCTTCCTCGAGTCAACCTTCCTCGACACCTCGAAAGCCAGCATCGTCGCCCATTCGCATGCGTAGCTCGCCGTTTCGTGCTCCGACTGGCTGGTCGGCTTTAGCGCCGTTGATTTCGGCAGCCACTTCGACCCGCGACTTGGTGCAACTCGTGACACGAGCCACGCGCGAAGTTCCCGTTGTTGATTTTGCGCTTTCCGCTTTGCCGGCAGCCGTTGAAAATGCACACGGCGGAGCGGCACTGCTACAGGCGTACCTGACTCAGATGGTTTCGGTTGCCACGCCTGATTCCAAGCGACGCAAGTAAGCATCCGTGTGCTTTTTTTGTTGGTTTTTTGGTTTGTGCGTCTTTGCTTGACTTGTTGTGGAGTTGCTGGTTTCTGATTTCTGACTTGTGAAACTGCTTGCGTTTGTGAAACTGCTTGCGCCCTCTTTCGCAGCATTCAAGCGGATATCGTGGCTCGCTTTGAGCTCTGCCGTGTCAACACGCTGCCGGATCCAATTCCTCAAACAGAGCTGATACCGCTCGAGAAGAGCCTGGCGTCGCTGTCGATCTTGTTGTCCCGCGAGCGGGGCGGCCTGGCGCGCTTTCTCGAATCGTGTTTGGTTGCGCGTCATCTCCTCGTCTACCCCATCACGCTTCGTGGCTTGTTTGATGCGTACGAGCTGATCATTCCTCCTGCCCTCATTGCACCAGAAGTCGACGAGGCGCCTTCTCCAGCGGCTGCAGCACCGTCGCCCACCGCACCTATGGACGTGGCCGCCACTGCGATTCAGATTGTTGGTGCGCCCGAGATGGCCATGCTACCCACGTCCGCAACCATCACGTCAGCCACCGCGACTGTGGTCGGCGCGTCAACTACTACTACTGTTCCAAAGTTCACTCTTCCAGCAGCGGTGGCGGGCTCTTCCTCCAAGGCAGCAGCAGCAGCAGCGGCAGCGGCAGCAGCAGCAACAGGGCTTGTCGCTTCTAAATCCGCCACACCCAAACCTAATCGTGTCATTTCCCGCGGGCCTGCCACGTTGATTGATGTTCCGACCAACACAAGCCGCCAGCAATCCTCCAAGCAGCAGCGAGCCCCAGCATCGCGCTTTGGGACAAAGTCAAAGTATCTGTCATCGGACTCGACGGCAGCCAAGCAACTCGAAGCTCAGACGCGGTACGTGTTCTCCATGCCGACGCAAGCAGCTGCAACAGCAACTGCACCAGCGAGTCAGCCCGTCGCTGCTGCTTCCTCTGGGTCGGGTGTTGGTCGCGCCACAACCACCACCGCCGCCCTCGCAATGTCTCCTGTCCAACCTTTCAAGCGGAATGCTGGCGAAGTCGATCACTCCGCCTCTTCCTCCTCTGGCACGCATGCAACGCATCCCGGCAAGCGACCTCGGCTTGCTTCTGGCGACGAGGTGACTGCCCAAGACACACCGGTCAAGAATCAAGGCGATGGCGCTCGCGATGCCTCTGGTGGTGCTGCTGCTGCCGGACTTGGAAGGATTGCGCTCGAAACACCGGTCAAGATGCTTCGTACATTGTCTCGCCAACTGGGGCCTGTCGACGGCAGCGGCATCGGAGCGTCTGGCCTGGTCGTGAACGCAACCATTCCGCCCTCGGCCGCACCAGTCACGGCTGCAGTCTCGTTTCTTGCAGGGGCTCCTGTTGCTGCACGGCGTCCTAGCGCGGCGGTCGGGCGGCCTGCTGCGAATATCAATCCACCTGAACCAGATGGTTCAGCAGCCGTCGCATCAACCTCGTTCAACGGAGCAGTTTCACGACCTACCTTCGCTGAGCACGACCCAACAGCTGCGGCATTGCATGTCGACCCCTCTCCGCAGCGCACATCGCCAAGGTCACCCATCCGTCCTGCGCTCAAATCCCGGCGAGCACTTCAGTGGTGAAAAAAAAAAAAAAACAAAAAAAAAAAAAAAAAAACAAGCTTTTGTGCTCCATTAAATAAATATAAAAGGCAACATGAAGCAAAAAAAAGTCGAAATGAACACAAACAACCAGCGTTGTATTGAAAAAAAAGTGATTGCAAACTCTGCAAAGCCACAAACAATAAGACACCAACGAAACAAAATAGTACAAACTAGTTGCCGGCCTTCTTCTGGAAGTCCTTAAACCACGCAGGCTTTTCAGATTCGTCGCCTGGAGCGGGTTGAGACTTGTCTGCAACGGCAGCGGGCTTTGGCGGAAGCTTATCAGGAGGACCGGACGGGGCCTTGTTGACGAGCGCCGCGGGCTTGGCGACCAGCGCTGGCGGCTTTGCAGTGCTGGCTGCAGTAGTGGACGAGGCAGATGTTGTCGAAGAGCCGACCAAGTTGCTGGGCTTGGCAGGGAGCTGGCTTGGAGGGGTTGGGCCGCTCGCGTTCCCGAGAGTAGGCTTTTTCAATCCGGCAATGCTGGGCGGTGCTGCCGTGCTGTTGCTGTCATTCGCCGCGGCACCAAACACAGAGCGTCGCTGGTTGACCGTGGTCGGCGGCGTTGATTCCACGGGGAGAGAGGTCTGTCGGCTCAGCGAGCTCGCAGCAGGGCCAGCTTGCGATGAAGCAGCAAGGTTCGGCTTTGGCACGTTTGGAATTGGCGGGGCAAAGGCTGGGGAGGGGCTCGCGCCGCTCGGAGAGGACGACGAAGCCGTCGGCGAGGAGGAAGTCGTGGACGAGGCGTTGCTCACGGACGATCGCGCAGCGGCTTTGGGCTTGACAAGGAGTGTACGCCCATTTCCAGTCACACCCGCGAGACCCTCGGCTTCCAATTCGGCACGCTCTTGATCCGCGCGCTCGGATCGTTCGCGCTCGCGCTGAATTTCCAAGCTGGCGGCAGACGTGGGAGTGTTGGCAGACTTTTGGGGCAAAGCGTACACGGCAGCCGGGTCGAGGGGCGCTTTGACCGTTGTCTGCGCAGGCCTGGCGTTGTTGACGCTGACCGAGCCAAGCTTTGGTCGGAACTGCGTTGTTGTGACGCCGCGTGCAGGGGGCGGGAAGGCCGGCTTACCGCCGCTATTCGAGCGATCGCGCTGAGACGCAGTATCGGACTCGAGCAGTGCCGCAACAGATGCGAGAGTGATGGATCCGCCTTCCGCGGTAGTCGTCGTCGCCGCCGTCGTCGTCGTTGTCGCGGTCGTCGCCGTCGGAGCCATCGACTTGCTCAACGGCGGCAGCGGTGGCGCGGTATGTGACTCGGCATACGCCTTCAACTGGACCTGACGCATGCGCTCGGCACGCTCCTTGTCAGCCTGCGAAGGGCCGCTGTCGCCGGAGGTCTCGGCGCTGGAAGACACCGCACGAGGCGCAGGCTTGCTTGGGGCACGCGAGTCGATCGATTCGTAGATGGGATCTGCCACCGAAGCGGCCTCAACGGCAACTGGATCGTACTGGTGGGTGTCCGAGTTGGGTTGGGCGGGGTTGGCGCCGTCAGCAGACGAAGTTGAATCCTGAAACACGCGCGCGCACACACACACACACACACACACACACACACACACACACACACACACACACACACACACACACACACACACACACACAGAGCAATGCACAAAGCAATGCGCATTCTGAGCTTGTTTTGGACACACACAAATCACCAGCCAAGACGAGAGCGCAAGTGTCGCTTACATCAATCCACACATAAGTCAAGGGCACCAGGCCAGTGTTGCCATTGTGCTGTGCAATGCACCAGCCCTCCGCATCCTCAATCTCGGTCGAGATCAAAATGATGGTATCGCCCTCCGAGAACGACAGCTCGTCCTCGCGCTGCGCAATGTAATCATACAAGGCAATGGCAGTGACCTTGGTTTCCAGTTCGTTCTGAGCAAGCGAGCAGCACAGAGCGGTCAGCATGCTGCTTTAGTGCTTTTTCGCAAAAAAGTGCCGACATTGCGCATCCTTCCATACCAAACTGATCGACGAGTCAGCAGCGCTCGAGAGGGTCTCCAGCGCCATCTTGAGCTTACGTGCAACATCGGGATCCTGTTCAATCGTGTTCAACACAATGCAGAAGAAAAAATACACGAATGAGCTTTCGCAATGCATGCTGTGGTAATTGGAGCAAAAAAAAAAAAAAAAAAAAAAAAAAGTCGACGTCCTGGCGTACCTCAGACAACGGCGAGGTGCTAACAACTGCTGCAAAGTTGCCTTCGAGGAAGTGATGAAGCACGGCTGCATGTCGCGCCAGATCCACAGAGCCCAGGTCGGCCTTCGGCTCGACTCCACTGGGCACAAGCTAAGAGCAAGCGAACAATAAATGCAAGTAGCAGACGGTGGGAAAGGGCAGGAAAGGCGGTGAGAGAACTGAACCAACACACACACATTCAAAAAGGAAACCCGGCAAAAAAAAATCATACCGAAATCATCGTGATGCACTGCTTCATCTTGTCCAGGTTTGCCGCAATGAATTCGTTCATGTCGACCATGAATGGCTCTTTGGCGCCAAACTCGACGAGGTTGCCCAGATTTTGAAGCGTCTTGGCAATCAAGGTCAACGTGCGAGCAGTGTGCTCTTCCGGGTGCGCTGGTGTGCAGAGGAGCAAGATCAGCAGATCAGCACTCGGCTTGGCAAAAGGGGGCTTTGGTCACCAACTTTTCAAAGCAACAGCAGGACATACTCGGCATCATGTCAAAGAGCTTGGGGTTGAGAATCGCCGGGCACATGAAGCGCAAGAAGAAGAAACCGCTATTTCGCAAGATCAAGCGTTCTCCAATCAGCATTCCGCAACTGTCGAGTGGAACGGCAACGACAATGAAAGCAAGAAAAAAAAGCAAAGCAAATTACCTGACAGCGGTGTACTGGCTGACCGAATCAGCCCCAAACTTGTTGTTAGTGAAGGTGGTGATGGCACGGAAGACAGCGCGCAACGCCCTGATTCACGCAAGCCAAAAATTTGTGTGAGCAAGCAGCCGTGTGCACGTCACACCAATCCCAACAGGACGAGGACTGTGAACGTACATTGGGCAGCTATCAAGCGAGTGCAGAATGGCATCCCAGGTGTGATTCATGAAAACAAGCAAACGACGCCAGTTTTGCTTGAGATCGTTCGGGTTGGACACTCGGGTGGGATCAACCTGATGATGATCATACAAGCGCAAAACAATGAAGATTCGCCACGAAGCACTATGGGCAAAAGCCCCCCAAAACCTTTTGCAGTACGTACCTCCGCGGCAGTCTTGGAATCGTAGATGCTCTTGATGACCGACGACAACGTATTGTGCAAATACTTCATGCCCACGAGTTTCATGAACTGAACAAGCACAACAGAGAAAAAAAAACGGAAAACAAATGAATGGTGAGGAGACTGTATGTCGATAACAGGCAACACGAGTCTGAACTGGGAGAAACTCACCTGATCAATCGTCTTGGTGGCAAGCGAGTTGCCTCGGAAGATAATGTTGGGGTCGTCTGTCGAGGCAATCTCGTCCTTGATGAGACGGACGATGAATTGCTGGACTCGATCGCTTCCATGGGCAATTTGAATGAGCGTCCGCGCGAGATTCTCGCGGTCTGCTGCAGGAATCACGGTGCTGAGCGAGGTGATGAACGTGGGCTCGTCGAGGAGATCGAGCATAGGCTGGTACGATGCGAGCGGCTTGATCAGCTGGTCGGAGAACTTGATGCGGGCGCGCAAAGACGCCTCAAAGCCAATGCTGCTTGCCTCAGTAAAGACGTTGATCCAATCTTCAAAAACTGAATCGGATGACAGGGAGGAAATCGGCACGCTGACCACGCCAACTTCCGTGTCCTTCGGATTGAAGCCGAACGCGCTGCCCAAGTCGCGCTTGCTATTCATGATGACAATTTCGAGATTGCCGACCGACGCAGGAACCTCACTGATAATTTGGGGGAGCAAGTGAATACAGAGACCAAAAAAGTCAGAAAAACAGTGAAAACGACGCGCAAACAATGTTGGTGTATGTGTTTGTGCGTGAGTGGCCCGGGGGAGGAGGAGTTCAAAACAAGAACGTACTCAAAGAAGAACTCTTCACTCCAGAATGGGGCGTTGGTATCCTTTCGGGTTTGGGTTCGAGCCTGAAGCTCCGAATCCAACCGAACGAGACAGTAGAGATCGCCGCTCTTGCTCAGTTTCTTGGCTTCGATGACACGGAGATGAAGACTGGTGACGTGACGAGAGACCAGCTCGCGTCGCGTAAACTTTTGGCCGATTGAAATGTTCAGGAGTTTGTTGAGCCACTCCCGACGTTCGTTGTCGTCCTCGGCCTGGAAGTAGAGGGTGTCGTCATTCGAAATGATTTGGAAGCAATTAGGTCTGCCAAACAAGGACTCGTCGACTGGTCGAACTGTGCGATCACCGCTGGAAATGGACACGATCGAGCGAGGTTTGGTCGACTATTCCACCAAGGAACAAAAGTACAAAAGCAAGCGTGAGAACCCATTCTGGCGAGAAGATAAAACAAGCCTTCGACCCCAATTGGCGCTTACATCTTCAGAATCAAACAGATAGAGGAGTTGCTGATCATTCATGAGCACCAGGAATTGCTGACGCCAACGGTCGGCTGCTTCGCCACGCTTGTGCACAAAGAGGCGTCCCTTCTTGCTTGGGTAGAGGAGTGACATGACGGATACGCTACGATCTCCAGCCTGGAAGCAGAAAGTGTCAAAAAACAAAAGGAAGCCAAACAAACAATAAATAATGAGAACAATTCAGGGACTTGCAAACAAACACAAAATCAACGACAAGTTTACCGTGTTGCTGATGAACTCTTCCATGTCAACATGGATGTCAATGCTTGAAACAGCCCTGGCAAACCGCTCGGACAAGGTGGCCAGGCGTTGGAAACGGTCCTCAATCACGTCTTTCATCGTGACGAAAGTGTCCCTCACAGCACGGCATCGCTCCTCTTCGACATGTTGGCACAACTGTAGGAAAGGGCGACACCATTAGCCATTCAAGAACCGCCGCGAATGTGGATGAAAGAAGAATCGGCCAAGAGCAACCAGAGCAACCAAAAAAACAAAACCCCGCATACCGCCAAAATGTCGGGCATTCGATGCTGGAAAAACACTTCTTGTTGCTTTTTGCACTCGGACTCCTTTTGATTGAACTGCTTGAGAGCAGTGTTGGCCTTTTCCAACGCAGCGTCAGCCTTGCCTTTGAGCTGAAAACAAAACAAAAAAAAAAAAAAAAAAAAAGCACCGGGCGAAACAAACATCAGTCGCAGAAAACGTGCACCAAATCGCTCCGCTACAACAAGACAACAGCCAGACAAAGACCGCTGAAAAGGACTGATGCCGTACTTTTGAAACGTCCTTTTCCTTGCTCATATGGTTGTTCTTGGATTCCTCGTGCTTGGCCACGATTTCGTCCGACTCCTTGCGCAACCCATCATAGACCGACTTGACCTTCTTGAGCGCAGTGTACGATTCTTGCAACTCCTTTGAATCGCGTTGGCCGTCTTGCACGAGCTGGGTCGCGATTCAAAACACAAAGCAGCAAAGTCAGAGGTGTGCCGCCGTCAAACTGATCCATCACTACACCTCTACAGCAGCAACAGACAATCACGGCGGTACCTGTTTGCGCTGCGTCTCGAGATCCTTGAGACGTGCTTGCAAAGGGTCTGCCGCTCGGTGTCCCAGCTCGGCGGCAAGATGCTCCTGCACCATCGCTGCCTGGTGCGCCTCCTCGAGCACGCTGTACCAGGTGCCGAGAACAGACCTACCGACCACCACGAATCCCTCGAGGGGTGAGTATTCGTAGTTGCTCGGTTTCATTCTGTTCTTTTTCGTTTTCGTTCGTTTTACCCAAACAAATCCGTTTCCTCGCCACCCTGAAGAGCGACGCGCTTGTCTGCTGGAACCGTGTCCTTCATTTGCACGCACAGCTTGCCTTAATCATCAGCAGAGTGTTTGAATTTGTACAAAAAAAAACCAAATCATAGGTGAGCATTGAATGGTTGGTTGTAACAGGGTTGAGATTGGACTGTAAACCAAGATGGGGTCGAGCTGACAAAGACACAGTTCAGCGTCCCTCGCACAGGGGGGGGGGGGCGTCATGCGGGCTCAGAGCACATTACGAAATGGAAGTGCATTGTGGGAAGTCCGGAACCGCATACGCAACGACGTGCAGCAACACCGCAGCGAGATTTGAACAGGAACAAACAACCAGAGGTGGAGAAGCGTTGTGGGGAGAGGGAGAGAGGGAGCCCCAAACCACAGCACAACGATGATGAACAAAGGATGAACCAACGTACTGAGTGCCTTGGCGTACTCGGACTCGATGGCCTGGCGCTTGCGGATGAACGAGACGACGTCGCGGGCCATGGCGAGGCCGTCCTCAGTGTACTTGCACACATTGTCAAAGTTGTGCTGGACCCCACCACCACCACCACCATGACAAGCGCCAGTTAGTTAATGTGTGGATTTGAATGGATTGACAGTGTGAGAGAGTGTGTGTGAGTGAGTGCGTTGAGGGTTTCGGGTCGGCTTGGGAACTGTTTGTTGAAGGGGAAACCCGCAAAACGAAAGAAAGACCATCTCCGACACTCGACACTGGAGTCCTCCAAACAAATCCAAACGAGACATTCGTGTTTGTTGATGACGATTCGCATTTGTTGTCGTTAGCAAAGTGAAGGGAAAGTGAAGGGAAAGTGAAGAGAATGAACGAAGAGGGGAAAGAAGGGGAAAAAATGATCCGCTTTTGCATTGCGGCAAAAGGAATAAAAAAAAAAATAAAGTAAAAATAAAGTAAAAATAAAGTAACGATTGAAAGTGGAAAACGAGAACCACGAGACGAGGTCGATTGGAGAGTGAGCAGAACGAAGAGGGAAGTGAATGAGGGGGAGGGAGGAAGAGGAGGCGGGAGGGAGGGAGAGAAGAGAGAGAAGGGGAGCGACGTACCACAAGCGACTTTGCAAACGTCAAAACCATTGGAAAAAAAAAAAAGAAAAAAAAAAAGAATGAATGAATGAATGAATGAATGAAAGATCGAACAGAAGTGATACAAAGGGAAAAAGATATGGCGTATCATTGGGGAAGAAGGAGGGCGGGGGTGGGGTGGGGGTTGGGGAGCTGCAATGCGAAACAAGGAAAGAAAAGAAAAGCAGCTTTTGGAGTTCTGAGGAAGGATTTGAAAAGACAGTTCAAAAAAGTGCTCAGAAAGTGTATTCCATGAAACATAGAAACAAAAGAAACAAAAGAAACAAAGGCAACCGTTGTTAAAACTTGTTGACTTGCTTCATCTCGATTGAAACAACAACAACGAAAACGCAGATCGCCCAACAGCAAGACCGCATTTTGGTGTGTTTGCTGGCGTTTTTGCTAGACGCCGTGGCACGCCCTCGCCCCCGCACTATTCGACATAATCAGCACCGGTGGTCGATGCCAAAAACTCGGGACTGGAATTGCCGCTGCGCTGCAAGAGGTAGAACGTGCGAACCAGATACAGCGAACCACACACAACCACCAGCGGTGCTGGTCCATCCGTGGTCTCAGAAGTCATGGCTGCGTATGTGCTCTGAAGTGCAGCAAACAAGCTGGCCTCTGATCGCACCTTGATCCTGGGTGAGGAAAACCCCTGGAGTTGCTCAGCAAGGTCCGTTGGCTGGATGCACGACAGCCACGGCATGGACTTGGGAGGCGTATGAGGGACGCAGACAATCGTTTCATTTTGTGTTGGCTTGGGCGATGGACTGCGACCCGCTGCGGCCTCACTCTCGGGCACGGCGAGCAAGGCTCGACCAATCTCTGCCACGTCCTTTGACTGCGTCACCGCCAGAATCCACACGATAGGCCGAGGCGGGAGCTTGGGATTGGCATCCACCCACGCCTGCTGCTCGGCGTCGACAAATCTCCGAAGCTCAACAAACGCGGCCGGGTTGTGCGCTCCATCAAGGAGGACTGGCATGTCAATTTTCCCGCCGCTATTGGACGGCAGACTCTCTTTTTTCGTTTTCGTCTTCGTTTCCGCGGGTTGCTTGGCCGTGTTGGCTGCATCAGCTTTGGTCGAGGAGGAGGAAGAGGAAGAAGAAGAGGAGGAGGACGAGGAGTCGAACGTAAACCGAGTCCACTGCATTCGGCCCGGCCAATAAAACTGCGCCAGTCCTTGCGCAATGTGTTCATCACGAATGTGGTAGAATGTAGGGTGGGAGATGCGGGCCGACCGAATCACATCGACAGCAATGCCAGCATTAATAAGCGTTGTTGGGCTGGGACTGGGCAGTTGAAATTCAATCCCAGCGTAGCGGGCGCGGTACAACTGACGCGTGCTGGGTGTTTCGGACTTTGAATTGGACTGTGCGAGTTGGCGTGCAGCATCGGAGGCAGGAGATGCGGTGATGTGGGCATCGGGCGAGACCAGCTCGGCCGGCTCAGACCAAACCGGACAGGAGCTTTGGTATATCAAGGAGGTGGCGATCGTACGGACCACTTCGAGATCATGCATGGGGCCAACGACTGTAGGCTTGAAAGATCGAGCAATGGCACTCTTGTTCTGGGCGATTTGCGTCACGGCGCCCCCAAGAAATTGGCTGTGCTCGAGTGAGACCGAGGTAACGACGCTAACGGCACTTGACCGGATCAAGTTGGTCGCATCGTGCATGCCACCCATGCCGCATTCAATCACTGCCACATCGACCTTGCTTGCAATGAATATGCGGAAGGCAACCAGCGTCAGCACCTCAAACTCGGTCAAAAAGCGGTCCTTCTCGTTGGGGAAGGCGAAGCGTGCATACGGGGTGGGGCGCTTTTGGAAATCCTCCAGCCGTGCCAAAACCCACGCACGCGACTCTTCAAGGAGCTCTTCCGACACCGGCCGGTTGTTGATGCGAATTGAATCCCGGTCATGCACCAGCGGCGGGGACACAAACAAGCCCGTGGTCAGCCCGGATACCCGCAGCGTGCTTTCGGTCATGGCACACACCATGCCCTTTCCGTTTGTGCCTGCTACATGAATGACTGGCGGCAGTAGCAATGGCAGGCGGTCTGCGTGCTCTTGGACAAATCGCACCAACCGCGCGTACGCCTTGCCAGACATTGAAATTTCAGGCTTGGACGACGCATGTCGCGCCGGAGTGGCGTAGATCGGACTTGGTGCTTGCACGAACGTGTTGAACATTGCATGAGATTGGACCCTGGTCGGAAGCATTTGTGCAGAGCCATTGTAAAAAGGCGACAATGTGGACGACGACGAGGCAGAGGTCGCGGAACGAGCGAGCGGCTCTCCGCCCAGCAGACCGCCCGGTCTTGTCGGAAAGTGCTCAGTGGCTTGGTGATGCGATGAGAACGCGCGCTGCGGCGTCGCGGCGGTGGCGGTCGACTGCCGGCTGAGCGGCTTCTTGGCGGGAACCAGCAGCTTCTTGGCGGGAAGCAGCAGCCGCGAGCTCAGCATCCGCGTGGACGGGCGGTGCGTTGGCGCGTCGTCGCTGTGCAGAGTGGCACTCAGTGTCGGATGGTGCAAGTCGCGTTGTGCGTGCTGACGCAATGCTGGGCGCGCCACAATGGCAGCACAGCAGCGCAGCATGGTTTGGATTCGCAGCAGAGACGGTAGGCAAAAGCGGAAGACGACTGGGTATCAGATCGGATTGACTAAGAAAGAACTTGAAGGTTGTGATAAATGACGATTCATATGGGGATGCAGTTGGATGATCGCTCACTCATAGACAGTTGTAACAGCTGGTTTTCGATGTTGCACAAATTCAACAAACCCCACCAGTCAGTATACTGTATGTCTCGATTTATCCATCACGGTTCGTCCGAAGGTTGAGCAACCATCATTGTTGGCTTTATCCGCGCTGACCTTGTCGGCAGGATTCTTGTCACTTTGTCGACGATAATCCGACACATAGTCCGCGAATTCACCAAAAATCGCATTCGGAGTCGCAGGTGTAGCAGAGTACACTTCCGTGATGATCAACCCATGCTCCAGATACCATTTCAACAAGCGAGAAAACAGACAAATCTTGGTGGCTTGCAGAACTCCAACCAACTTTCGCGCGCGAAAAATCAGGTACAAAATTGAAATGACTGAGACATTCATTTGCGGAAATGCTGCCCAAACAACTTCACAATGCCCAGACCCCCGCTCTTCAGCTGGACGAGCTGGACGAAGCGGCAATGAGCGACAATGAGCGACAATGAGCGACAGATTTTGCGGCGTCATTTACACAGGCGTGGCGCTGCACGATTGTCGTCACCAGTTCCTTTCATGGGAAGGGACACTGATGCTCCATGACGCGCATTCAAGCACCGACTACGAAAAATGTCGCCAAAGTCGCTGGGACGATACGACGACAGGAAATGACGCCGGCGTGAAAAAAAATGTCTATTGATAACGTTTCAAAGCGCTTGCACTAATCGCTGCACCATCGCGTTAATCTGGGCTACTGTCATGAACTCTGAGTTTTGGATGGCGTTTGCAATCAGCACAACCTGCTGCGGGGTTTGTGCGTTAATCCAGGTGCGGCCGTTGAGCCCAATCGCCGTTTCCAGCGCAAAGTGCTTGCCGAGCGCAATAAGCACGGCCGGATCACGAGAGAGCAATCTGCGTGAGAAGGGAAACGGTGATAGACAAGAGAGAAAGAGAGAGAGAGAGAGAGAGAGAGAGGTGAGCGGGTTCGGAATGGGAGCGATCTCTGGCTTTCTGCAAATCCTCACCCCCACCCCTATCCCTCTCTTCTTCCTGCTGCAGGCGCATTTTTTACCTCCGGGTCAAGCCTGATGAAATGTGAATTAGATACCCGCCGGTGAGCTCGCCCATGCCCGCGGCCTTGTCTGCCGCGTCGATGCAGACCATTTCGGGCTCCATGTCCTTATTCGCCACGGCGAGCTTGCCATAGACGAGCGCGCCAATCGCCAAGTTGGGTCTGTTGCGCTTTGTTGCGCCTTCGAACGCCAGGAACGAGAGCGACGCAGATGCAGCCGCGCCAATGTCGACCTTGAATGCCTCGCCCATGCGGTCTGTGATAATCCCGACGACGAGCTCGTCCTTGGCCGGCACATACTAACAAACATCAACGTCGAGCATTTTGTCGAGCATCCGACCACAAACGCACAAAGTTGAGTGAAAATCCGACCAATGCCTCAATGGTTTTGCCAATGCAAATCCACATGGACGGCAATCATCCACTTCAGTTCACAGCCTCGCTTTCTGGCGACGCGTTTACCCGCTTCTGGGAGGACGCAATGTACAGGCGCGCGACCTGGCTCGAGTGTGCGTTGGCGCCAGTGCCCGTGCTCGCGGCGCCCATGCTGCCTTGGAGGACGCCTGCGCGGCTCGCTGCAATGACGCGGCCGCCTTCCTGCGCCAGGCCAGGCCCCAGCCGCAGTCGCCCGCCGTGCTGCGTAAACGCGTGCAAGCTTGAGTTTGAGGTGGTTGAGCCTGGACCGTCGGCAGGGTCGGCCGAGTCGCCCGCTTCGAGATCGCCCAGCGCGTCGCCCGGCAGCACCACCGAGCCAATGCGTGGAAACAGCTCGTCAATGGTCGCCATTGTGCTTTGGTGAATGTGATGCAAAAAGTAGTAGATGAAATAAGATTGAATACGATACAAGTTAGAAGTTGAAGATAGACGATCGAAGGGGGCTGTTCAAAGTGTTCAATGGCGAGAAATCTGAGACTGAACTGAGCTTCTCAGAGATTCTGATCGTAAGGCGACAATGCTAGAGCCATGTTCCCCCAACCCCATCCCTCCCGTCGTTGGGTAACCTACCAGCTGTGTGAGTCGATTGAGAAGATTGTTTGAGCTGGCTTTTGCTGGCAAACCATTGAGACATCATTCTGGTTTTTCGAACGTTGATCAGAATCAGAATTCAACATTTTTGATTCCATTTTCTGATTTTTCTGATTGACTTTCTGATTTTCTGATTGATTTTCCGCTTTCGGATTTTGAAACCGTTTCACTTTTTTTTTTTTTTTTTTTTTTTGTTTCACTTTTTTTTTTTTTTTGAAACGGAGCTCGCTTTCGTTTTTTTTTGCTTTGCTGCTTCCTCTGCGCTTGAAGCCACTTCGATTTCCACTACGAGCAATGACCAAGACATCCAAGAAGGCGTCAGCGGTGCAGGCAAAGCCAGAGCCGCAGTCTGGCGACGAAGAGAACGTCGCTGCGTCGGTGTCCGTTTCAAACACGAAACCGTCGCCGCGCTCGCCAAGCAAGGCCAAAGCCAGACGGTCGAAGCCCGCCGTCGACGACGAGGCAGATGAAGACGTGGTCGACGTTGTAGAGGAGCTTCCCGCCCGCAGATCGCCTCGCAGGTCGCCCCACAACTTGGAGAAGCCCGAACCGCGGACAAGCTCTCCCGCCGTCGCAAAGTCTCGGCAGTCCAAAGCTGCAGATGCTGAAGAACAAGCTCAGACACAACCTATGCCGAGCTCTCCTGCCAAATCGAGGACTGCTCGCGCAGCAGCAGCAAAGCCCACAGCGCGATCACTAAAAGGGCAGATCGATGCTGTTGCTGCTTCTGCTGCTGCTGCTTCTACTACTGCTCCTGCTCCTGCTACTGCTCCTGCTACTGCTTCTGCTCCTACTGCTGCGACTTCTGAGAACAGCTCATCCAATACCGAGAAAAATACCCAAGCAATTGCAGCACCATCCGGCGTGCCAATCTCGAGACAAGCGACCCTCCCTCTGCCGCCAGTTCTCACTCCGACCTCAAGCTTTGAACGACGGAGCATGCGACAGTGTTCGTCAGAAGTCAAGGTGAGTTACTGCGTTAGATGAGGTACACGCACACAAAGCAAGAACGCAATTTTGTGGAACTAACATGCATTATTGTTCCGGTTTTGCGCCGCACAGAGACTCCTCCTCGCAAACATTCAGCAGGCCATTCGAATTGGCAACGAGGACCATCTGGAGGTACGAGTGAACCAGACTCGTGGATTCATGCAATCACCGTTTGCTTTTGCTTAACTGAGCAATTTGTCTGCTCTCACAACAGGTTTACCAAACGCCCACCATCGGATTTGGAATCAAAGCCACGCGTGATTATGAACGAAGTGACTACGTGTGCGAGTACGCAGGCGACTTGATTGACATTTCTGAGGCGAAGCGTCGGAACGAAGAGTACATGAAGGATGAGTCGATTGGCTGCTACATGTACTTTTTCCAGCACAAGGAGACCAGGTGGTGGTAAGAATACAATGTCCAACAATGCATCGCCATGCTTGTGCTTTGGTTTTGTTGTTCGATGTTCCTCTAATTAACCTTGTTTCCCCGCTGGTCAGTGTTGATGCGACGCATTCGACAAGAAAAGGCCGCCTCATCAACCACAGCAAGACCGACCAAAACCTCCTCACCCGCATTTTAACTGTCGACGACAAGCCAAGGCTTGTGTTTTTCGCCACCAAACACATCAGTCGGGGCGATGCTCTGTGGTATGACTATGGGGAACGAAACGCCGCCACAATCGCAGCGATGCCGTGGCTCGCCCAGTAGCAAAACAAAGACGTGTACTTTAAATGCTGAGCAAAATACAAGGAGAATATTGAGCGTACTGGTACACTTCTTTCTCTAGAAGTCGACATCATCCGAATCAGTGTCCCGCAGGTTGAGGAGAGATTCGCGGGCCTCTGTCAGATCGTCACGGCTCACGCCACAATTATCATACTCGTGCGCGTAGGTAGCGTAGCTCGCGTCACGTAGGGCCTTGACTGCGTGATTGACGGCGCCACTGCTCACCCGACCACCAGAGCGGAGGGACGCGATGACGGGGTGAGAAGTCGGAATTTCCGAGGCGGAGGCGTATCCAAAGACCGAGCACGGGAATGGGGCCTCCAACGGGAAGGCGCTAGACGTGTCACATGCTTGCGACAGCGATCTGATGAGAGCAAAAGGGTTGAGTTCACGTGAGCGAGGCGCATCTCTTAGTAAAATAACAAAAACAAAGGCCGACGGACAACCTACCCAGCAACGGCAAAGTGAGAAAACACTTCTTGCGTTTGCTCTCCAGATAACCCCTTGAGAATTCCACGAAGCGTCGTGAATTGAGACCGAATGTCACCCTGCATAAAGTACCAAAATCAAGCCAAAGAACCAGATGGAACACATTTAAAACAGAACTCGTTGAAGAGGAGCACCCGAGAGCCAGAAATATACCTTCACAGAAACACCAGGTGTAAATGATGTAAAGGCAGCTTCGACATCAGAGGAGCGGTACGAAGGGGCAGACTCGAGTTGCTTGTCCAGATTTTCGGGACTGAAGGTCCTTGGGTAGCGCGTGGCAGCGGCGAGGCCGGCCAAGCCACCCCGGGCACCGCCGAGTGCAAGCACGCTCAGGATGTGATGAATGGATGTGTGCTGCTTGGTCAATCGATAAGGCAGGGTGACCGTGTCGATGAGAGACGCCACCACGGCAGAAGAATGATACCACGAATTAGCCTGTGTTGGGAGGTAGCAAGTGGGTGAGAAGTAGGTGAGACGGTGAAAGCTTGTTGGGGAATTCGGCCAAGACGATAATGGGGGGAAAACTGGGGTCTGCTTTACACGAGCATTCAGTCCGGGTGGAGAAAAGTTCAAAATGGAGTCGGAAACGGGAACGTAACAGGACGCCAATTCACTGATTGCCGCAGTACTAAGAACGTTGTTGATGGCACTCTTGGCTCGGTACGTCTCCTATTTGCGTGCCCAGAACCCAAGACAAAAAAAAAAAAAAAAAAAAAAAAAAAAACGAGAGTGAGTGCGATTTTCAAACACTCTCACACAATACAAAACCTGATTGTGACCTGCTGCAGATCGTCCGAGTAGTTGTGACAATACGGAGACAGCCCAAATACGAGACGTGACTTTGAGCCATACTCGTCTGCAACGAGCGATAAGACGGATTCCGTCAAGCCACCAAACCCACTGGCGACATCCGCAAGGATGTGAAACCCATGCAGAGAGTCGCATTCCTCCGCAAAGAAGTGCAAGTCGGTTTCCACCTTGTCTTGGAACTGTTTTGAGAGGAGGTTGGAGCCAAGATGAGCAAATTTCGAACACGAGCAGGCAAACTCATTCACCCCAAAAAGCTCTGTCGAGTCTCTTACATCTGGATCTGCCCAGACAGAGGAGCCGTGGCCGTAAAGATCGAACGGCTCGATGGAGCTGTGATGCACAAACTTGGATGTCAGCTGAACTGAACGGGGATGCAAGTGCATGACACAGACGTCCGACCAAAACCGAACATTTTGGTAGTCGAGCACGAATCGTTCGCGCTGGGGTCTGGGTCGCCCTGCAATCGCCGCCTACAAGCGAGATGACAAGAGCCAGGACAACGCAAGCAAGGTAAGCACGTAAAAGTTAGACAAACGGTCAGATTGTACTGTGCAGGTCATGTATGAGGCGGTAACTGCTCACGAGCACCACAGCAGTGCTCAGATGCCTTACATGATAATCTGCGTCCAGCTCGGCCATGAAGGGGTGCTTCTGAGCAGTGGATTGCTCGATTCGTTGAATATTCCCAGCCCTGTCAAAATCATTTCGCCACCACCCCGAAATACATTATGAGCAAAAACAAAAACAAAAGCGCACACCCGATAACTCTGAGCTCTACTGCATTGAAATTGAATGGCGGTGCGGTGACAAACATGACGAGTGAGTGAGTGAACTAAGGGAGGTTACCATGCGGCTTGCTGGTCGGCGCTGCTGGTGGACGGTCGCTCCGAGTACTCCGAGTACAACCCGGCGCCAACCTTGCTCATTGTGCTGAGACTGCCCTTCAGGTCGAACGCGAGCAGGCGCGGCGTGTACGTCGAGATCACCGCGCCCGTCTGATTGCCACTCAGCAGCAGCGAGCCCGATGATGCGCTGGCTTCGTCGTCGCTCGCCCGCGTCTGGCCGCTGCGGAAGAGCACGTCGTGGTCGACATGCTGGACTGCGTTCGGACTCGGGAGCGTGAACTGCGCCTGCTGGGCGTTCCAGAAGTGCGTTCCGACAAAATTCGCATAGTGGCCAAACTGGAGCGTGATGACCTCGCGCGTCGACATTGTCAAACGTGCAGTACTACTGTATGAGGGGACAAACAAAGAGTGACAAGTACATACAGCATATGGAAGCGTGATTGCAAGCGAACGATTCATCCCAGACCAAAGTAACATGCTATTGAACAGAAAACCGGTGGTACAAAAACGACTTAAACTACTAAGCTCATCACTCGTCAACAGAGGAAGAGAAACAACAACAGCGACTCAAAAAAAAAAAATCATTCTTTTTACACATGCGAGGGCCAAGCGTCTTGCTCGGTGGAAGAGCGACTGGCGTCCTCTCGCATGGACTCGGCCATCAGAGCAGAGGTGGATCTTGGCGCGGACAACCGATCGCCGCTGTCGTCTGCTTCTCCTTCTTCCGCCTTCTCCTTGGAATCGAGCTCGTCTTCGTACTTGAGGACCTCGCCGGGTATTTGCCCAACCACAAGGCGGAGGTTGAGATGTGTGATGCACTGCAGGCCCTCCATCGCCATAATGACAAACAGCTCGTAGATTGAGCCGCCCCAGACGGTCGAGTCCCACTGGTAGTTGGCAGTGCCGTCATCCATTTCGCGCGGCATGCCGTACCGACCAAAAATGTAGAACGCTCCGAGCTGCGCGAGAACTGGAGGGCAAAAAAAAAAAAAAAAAAACCACAAAAAACACAGAAATCAGCGAAAATGTCAGATTCTGACTCAAACCAACATCCGACAAAACTGTCAAGTTACTTTGGAAGAGCGGTAGAATGGCGGCAGCAGTGTGGTAGCCGAGTACTCGCTGGCCTTCCAGAATACATCGCCGACAATGCTCGAGCACAAGTCCGGTTGCCATCAGCAAGACAATCGAGACACACATGAGGAACGCGGAGAGTCCGAACGGCCATTGCGGAAATGCTGATTCGCACAGCCAAAATACAAAGCATTTGTGAGTGCACACTTGTTCGCACTATCGCAATAGCACTTGACCCTCACTGAAGGATGCTCCCAAACGAAACAACAAAAAACTCGAAATCCAAAAGAATGAATCCAAATCTCAAGCAAAACACGTACTTGCGCGGTGGCCAAAGTCCGAGTACTCGAACAGCAGTCCGACATTCTTGTCGCTGACATCGACATGGACATTGAAGGTGCCTGGAGTTGACGGCGTCGGCGGCGCAGCAGTGACATTGCGCGTCTGCGAGATGCTCGTCTCGCCCCAGAACGGCAGCACGAGCGACAGCAGCAGCGTCTTGCCCAGCACGGCAAACAGCACAAACGACACAAACCGTATCCGCGTCCTCAGCTTGAGCATTCTACGCACGCGCGGGGTCGCCAGCGCCAGCACTCGCGGCGGCACTTGCTTGGCTTTGATCGTTGGCTGCTTGCGGTCGGCCGACTCGGTGGCGGCGGTGGGTTCTGCTCCGGCTCCGGCTCCAGCCGCTTTCAGTCTATCAGCTGCATTGCTGTTGGCACTACTGTTGCTACTTGGAAACTGGAGCACCTCGAGCTCGGTCGCGTCGCCGCTGCTCTGCTGCTCCAGTTGTTGAAGGTCTTGATTGGGTTGTTGTTGGGCAATGGAAGCCCAGTCAGTCTCATTCTCAGGCGTCGTCAATGCTGTCGGACGCAGCTCAATGCAGACAGCGCCAATGTCGCTGCTACTGCTGCTGAGCATGGCGGAGTGGCTCGAGGCGTCCGAGCGAGTCCAGCTCATTTTGGGAAGCCGGCAACCGCACAAAGAAAGGAGTGGAACATGTCTGAGAAAAAATCAACCGCAAAAGCAACTCCAGTCATGTTGGATGCACTGCGAACAAGCTTGCCATGTACGGGAGCTGGTGCGCGAGCAAGGGGGGGGGAGCGTGAAAAGCCTCAGAGTTCTTTGGTCGCAATACAGCGATTTTCGCTTGTCAGAGGACCTCAGTGGACTCGGCGCCGGAATGACAGAGCGGCAAGACGTTGCTCGCAAACAGGTTGCATTCAACCGAAATATTACACTTAAAACGGCATGACAAAAAATGCGTTTGGAAGAACAGAGTACGGTGGAAGAAACCGAAACTCGAATTCGCGCGCTGTGGCGGGACGTGATACAAGTCCTTCCAGCCGGCGAAGGTTGCTGGAACTTGAATTCTAGCTCATTTAGCTGTTAATGAAAGCCGGGAGTATTGGTTGGTTCGGATTTGGGGCTTGCGCCCCGTCACGACCTGCGTCAATCAAAAAGATCAATTGATGTGCTCCAGTCGATCTAAAGTTGGATTGGAGTATGTTCTCGCCGAAATCCTTGATTTTTAAACATAATAATACATAAAATTGATAAGAAAGACAAAATTTGAAAGAATGGCGCTGGTCATTGATGGGCGATCGTCCCTTCGCCGCCTCCGAGAATGTTGCTCCAATTTACTCGTGTTTGGTGCGGTCCCCAACGCCTGCGAGGGCACAAGTGCCCTACATATTTGACTTGAACTATATTTCGAATCAACCAGTGGTGGAAGAATTGATAACGGGAGCGGGACAAGGGATATCACGCTGGCCCAAGTACGCGACAAAGATCCTGGCACCATTCGCTTTCACTCGACATCTACGCTCGGTCGAGTCGTTTCCAACACAGTACAACAAGGTCAAAACCAATTTATTCAGCTAAACGTTGACATACTAGTACAAGGAGCAAATTGTCCAAAATAAATTCCACATCATTGACATAAAAACCAACACACATTTTATCGCTTCAGCACCTCGCAACGGCACATTGGGCACGCCGTATGCGACTCGAGCCACAGTCCAACGCAGCTAACGTGGAAGACATGTCCACACGATGGGAGGCGAACCATCACATCGCCAGCTGCGACGCACTCCATGCAAATTGGGCATTGAGCTTCGTCGTCGTGCGTGCATCCGTCGCACCCATCGTTGCAAGACACATCACTGTCTTCGTCGGAATCCATACGGAAGATCTGATCGTCTCGTAGCTCGTCCACAAGCGCCGGCGTGTCCGAGCTCTTCTTCACCTCGTACGCGTACTTTTCGAACAGCTCGGACAAGCGGTCGGGATGGATTCCAGCAGGTCGGAGCTCAACAAGGGGCTGCTGTGCACGATCGAGCTGGAACAAGGCCGCTGCGACGTGAGCGCTCCCGAGCTGATCGCTTCTCGACACGATAATGCGCGAGTGCTGCGCACGGAGCCGTGCCAGCAAGTCGGCGCGCGAAAATGCATGTGCCATTTGAGAATCAGCGCAAAGGCTAAAGATGCACATGCCGAACGTGGCAAGCACCACTTCGTTTTGAGCGACTGTGAGAGCCAGCGTCAGAGGCTGGACGAGCGGAGCAAACACCCGTTCGTCTTGCGAGACTTGGGCAATGTTCGCAATCGCATGCGTCAGGCAACGCACCAGCTCGGAATGCTCTTCGAGATACTCGGCAAGCGCGGTTGATTGCTGGCTCAGTGAGCCGGCGCTTGATGCCGCGACAATAGGCGCTAGAACGGCCTGCATGCTTGCGATCAAAGTGGCAGCGCAGTTCTCGGAGAGCAGCTGGACGCAGCAGGCCGTATGCACGCCAATATTGGCCACGGTCTGTGCAATCAGCTTGGCCGTGATTGGCGCGTAAATCCTGCTGCTCGAAACGGGGTGGGGCTTGATTTGCAGCAAGGCGACGAGCTGACGCGGAATTTCGGCCAAGGATAGAAAGCGACCGCTCGTTCCTTCCATCAAGGAAATGTTGGCAAACACACGCGCCAAGAAGAAGGTGACATCGTTGTCCTCGTTCTCCTCCACGTTAAGATCTGCTCCGTGTTGCCGAGCGTACTCTTCCACTTCGAGGTACCACTTGAGGGTTCCCGAAAAGATATCCATGGCGTAAGAGTAGAAGCGCGCGCGAGACTGGTCGCGTGCGCGATTTAGAGAATTCTCGGGGATTGGCATTGGTGCACTCGTTGTGCGAAGCGCGGGAGAAGGAAGGCCGTGTTCAGACGTGGAATTCGGCGCGTCATGGTGCTCGGACTGGTCGGATTCGCTCGCCTCGTCCGAGCTCTCAAAATTGAGGGGGCAGCCAGTGACGGCGCACGGTGACGATGGGTTGGATGCGCCCTTGTCATCAGGGCTGTGGTTGAGCGACTGGGCACTCAGAATCAACGCTGCCGCGGTCGGGACGCGCGTGCAATGCGCCAGACCTCGAGCGACCTGCACGGCTGCAGTGGGATAGCCCTGCTCCGCCGTATGACGAAGCAAGTGCACCAGCGCGGCCACACCGCTGACCGGCCGGTCGCACGGGAAGGGCGCGCCCGAGCAAGGCCACGGAATCTGAATGTTGGTTGCCAGCACGACATTTTCGTTGGAGTGCGCAAACAGATTGGCAATGGCATGCGTTGCGCAGCGCACCACCTCCATGTTGTCGAGATGACGGGGAAGGAGCTGAAGCAGTGATTCGACCGCACCTCGGCGGCTGAGCTGGTCTGAGAGAATTTCTGAATGGTGCGACCAATTGGCGAGCGTCCTGGCAGCCTCGATGACCACGACTGGCGTCCATGCGTGGCCCAGCAGCATAACCACGCCATCAAGCACCCCTGGCTGGATGATTTGGCGCAGAATCTGCTCGTCAGGTTGTTGGCGAGCCACTCCAGCAGCACGTTGCAGAGCGTGGATTTGCTGATGCATTTCTTGGCTTGAGGTACTCGTTTTGCCGATCAGAGCGGAGGGCTGCAGCGCAGCAAACAGCTCAATCACTGGAGCCGGCGCGAATGATATTTGCACGGCAGGAGGAGAAATGCTTCCCGATGGAAGGTGCGCGTGGAGTTCGGCGTCGACGTCGCTTGTGTGTTCTGTGGTGCATTAGGTGGTGATAATTTGATGCATTGACGGAGGAAGAGGAGAAGAAGAAGCGGGATTCGCAGGATGTGAGCAGCTGCACGGTACATTTCTAAATTTGTGCAGTTCTGCAGTTCTACACCAACTTACCATGCACTTCATGAACCACATTGGCCTTGTGCAGCGAATCGTGCTCTTGAAATGCTGCCTCATTCTCCCGAGTATGGGCGGCACGGGGATGGTGATGATGCGCGTGATTGTGCTGCTGTCGAACAGCCGCGTTGTGCTCCTGCGATTCCGAGCTCATTCTTGGATGAAGAAGGCGCTTGTGATGGCTGAAACTTGTACGTTTTGTTGATAAGCAAAGGTATGTCGATTACAAAAACAAATGCACAGACCGAACAGTGCCGCAGATTGATGTCCGCAGATTTCGAAGACTTGGATGGACCAAATCGGACGGACTTGCTTTTGGTTGTTTTGCCGATTCTTTGCTCAAACGCTTTCGATGTTCGCAGATCTAGTCGAGTCAACCTTCGAGTGACGAACAGCACTAAATGGAAACGAAACGGGGAAAAACAAAAATGAAGAGTGAACAACTGGAACTGAATTTGTGTTTTGCACAAAAAAAAAAAAAAAACAACGCTTGGAAATTGTGCGCATTCAGAACCGAACGCGATTGGCTGGAAATTGGCGAACGCAGAGCGAGGTGGAAAAGTCATCAGCAGCCATTCCGCGACCGGCAATCTGCGACTGACGCAATGGCAGCCAAATGGCAGGAGATGGTGTCAATTCGGAAAAGGAGGGCTGAGGAGGTGGTGGGCCGGGGCAAAGCAAGGCGACTCTTTGATGCGCGAGAGGGAGAGATGTCTGTTTCGTTTTCAGCCAATCCAACGCCATTGTCAACATCACCATTTTAGCCATCTGACGGGTTCATGCGCGCAAAAGATTTACTCCAACGAAATGGAAAAGTGGAAACAACAACAACAACAACAAAAAAGGGCGGGAACAAGCAGGCTACAAGGGATAGACTCGCGACAAAATGGCGACGACTCGATGGCTGCTTTCACGATGCAACCGAATGGCAAACAGTAATCGGCGATCACCCAGGTTATTCACCAGCTGGAAGTCAAAGTCAATATGCAGCAAAGGCAATCAGCAAACCAAATGAAAAACAGGGGCAAAACCTCAAAGCAACAAAACCAACGACAATTACCGTCGTTTGCAACTTTGTCGCATCCTCTTCGACATCGGCAATGCCTTGGAGCAGCTCGGGAGAGAATCGTGCCACAAGAGCTTCACGCAAGCTCAGTCCCTACATGCCACAACGAGGAAAAAAAGGAATAGCCAAAAAAAAAAACCAAAAAAAAAGAAGGCCAGCCACGAGTCAAAATCCGAAACAACCACGATTCCACTATCGTGTCGCTAAAAGAAAACCCCGCCATACCTCATCCACTCGATGAACGGTTTCCGCGCAGTCAGGCGTGACACCAATTTTGAGCGGCTCGCTTTGGGCGTTGATGCCGGAAATGCTCATGCTCCAAGCAGTCCTCGCAAATGTGGTCGCGCCAGCAGCTTCCACTGCCGGAACAATGCTCATATCAAACGAACGCTTGGGCGGGACAATCAGCCCAAAAGGATGCGCCGTGTTTGGCACGGAGCTGATGTCAAAGGTCCAGACCAGCTCTGGTTCCGGAATACCTTTGGATGCGGCAGCCAGTTGCTGCGAGCTCAGCTTGGGTGCGCTTTCGGCGAGCACGGCCGCAGAAGACGCACCTTTGAGGGACTGGCTAGGACTGGGTTTGGCACCGCCACGAAGCCGTTTGCTGGAGCGCGTCGCAACCGTCTCAGAGGCGGACGGCGCGTCCATCGCACTGGCGGATCTTCGACTGCGCGTGGGTAGGGAAGTCGACGATGACGTGCCAGCTGTGGCGTTTGTCTGCGAGGAAGAGGCTGTTGGCGTCAAAGCCGATGCATTCGCTTCTTCCAGCACGCAGACTTGGGCAACTTCCTCGCTCAGGTGAAAGCTATTGATGGTGCCTTGAACAAGAACCGACATGGACTCAAACAGGTGCAGATTGGCGGCTGCCGTCTTGACCTCGTCCAAGGAACTCAAGGGCGGGTGGCTGTGCCGATGGCCTGTCGACTCCCACGCATTGCTTCCGTCATCGGAATGGGCGAGCTCAGTCATTTGGTCGACAGTATCCGGCATGCGGTCTCCAACGATCACTGGGTGAAGCAGCAGTTTCATTGGACGCAGGAAGGACAGACTTGTGGCGTTGCAAGCTGCAATCACATGCTTGACCACTGGCGACGCCAAATATTCGCGCACCTGCGACGTAGGACTCAAAAACGCCATGTTCCTGCTCTCAATGGCAATAGTTTCGAGACTAAGGCGACAGGTTGTGCGAGCCATCGCCGCTGCATCATGCATGGCGACTGCGGAAGGCTGCAGCACGAACGGGCCAAGGCGATCCGTCTCTGGGCTGGGATCGGCAGTCAGTGCTGCAGCATCGTCAAGCACAGCGGATCCTGCACAAGTCTGGCGCTCGGTTGGGAGCGAGTAGAATTGGGATTCGCGAGTCGTGACCCCAAAACATCGCGTCGTTCTGTCTGACTTTATGCCAGTGCTGTCGATTTTGATGGGGGGCCTTACAAACTTGAGCCGTGTCAGCAACACGGCTTGGCCAGGGAGGGCGCTCGAGATAAAGCCCGACTGAGAGCAGGTGCCAACGCGGACCCAAAACGGTGCGGAGGGTTTGGCTTTGGCACCTGCGCCCAAGTCCACCACACAAATCCAGCGATACACAACAAACTTGGACGATGGCAGTCGCTCGCGTTCGATCGGTCCGACGGCCGTGATGATGCCTGCAAGCGTGATCGTTGTTGACGAGGTCAGTCGATCAAACAGGGCAATCGGGACAACGGTCTCGATGGCCGAGGCTGGCGGGAAGATGTCGTTTCCAGAGTATGACAGGGTATCAAAGTGTCCAGTCGGCGTTAGCCGCGAGACTTGGGCTTCGGGGTGCGACTGGTTGAGCGAAAGCTCGTACGGAAAGTTTGGGAATGTTGCTTGATATGCAGGCTGCAGTTTGAAGCCTGAAATAACCAAGACATCGCCGACAGCGATAGATTGGTAGAATCTCGCGCAAAGATCATTCCAGAAGACGACAGGGATGGCTCCGGTATCGTCGGCTGGAAGCGAAGCAATCACAAAAAAAAAAAAAAAACCCGAAAAAAAAAGCAATTGGACTAGTAACGCTGCCGACCCGCAGTACCCCTCTGCGTGGAATACCCAAATAAAAAGCCATGCACACAATCCTACCAATGACCAGCCCAAAGATGATGGGGTAGAGCTGCCGCGAACCGGGCTTGGCGTACGAAGAAACATCGGTCTTGCGGACGACGCGACCCATGATGGAAGGTTTTGCGTCGAGTTCAGCGTGTTTGGAGATGATTTCCCCAATGGGATGACCGTCTGCGCCTTGGTCCTGTGGATACACATGGAGGGTTGGCGACACGAAACAAAGCGCAACGTACAAAGCGCAACGTACCTGAGTCAGATTGATATTGAGTTTACTCCACCTGCTATCGTAAGAAGGAAAGTCCAAGCTGTAAAGATCGCTATAGTAGACTCGGCCACGAGTGAGCGGAGTGAGTGTGTCTGAAAAGCTCTCGAGTTGGTGCTTCAGGAGCCTGCCGGCATGCTCGTATTCCACGAGAATTCCGAATGGCTCTGCCTGTAGGATCTTTTCGTCGACCTGCCGAGCAATGCTTTTGACCTAGTTGTGTCAGATGCGTGGAGGAAAGGTGAATCAAGCCAAAAAATAAATAAATAAATAAATAGGAAACAACATGAACAACCAGGAAGGTGAAACATCGTATGGGAGTATGCTTACTCGAATCACATCAAATTGCTGCAATGCGCCAGAGTGTACATTCTTGTTGAAGATCGATGCAAGCAGCAGCTTTACCTACGTGCGCATCACCACAAACAAACAACCAAAAAAAAAAAACAAATAAAAAATCACTCAGCAGCCACGATCTCGGATACGGATTGGCACACTTACCGTGGATGTGCCGTCGCTGAGCACCACATCGAACGCATCAGCAAAGCCGTCTGAAGTTTGCCGGCTAACTGCCAAATGACGGTCGTCGACCGTGTCTGATGGAAGATCGAAATGTCAAAACAATCAACAGGTTTGAGCACAAATTGTTAGTCCGATCATCATCGCAATCCCCACATATTGAATGACAGTGGGTTTGATCAATCGTTCCAGTGGTGAGCAACAACAACCACCACAAAGTCTCAGTCCGACCATTGCGATTCAGCAGGCATTGAATTTTGTTTCAGCCGCTTTTGCGTTCAACTTTTTCCCGCCTTTTTTTGATTTTATTTTTATTTTTGTATTTTTTTTTCAAGATTTTGTTGTGTTTCGTTTTCTCGTTTCGCCGCTCGAACGGGCACGCGAGCCATCCACTGCGGGACCTGGCCAGCCTGTGTGCAAGAAGGCATTGGCTCCACGAAGTGTGTGAGATCAGAGCGAGCGTCGATCGCTCTGTTGCTCTGCTTGTGAGAGTGGGAGCGAGAGAAACCCTTCACCGCTCGCTTCACTCGACTTTGAAAGTTGCGCGCTGCTCCACCACCCCCGCTCCCAGCCAACAGGACGCTCGACGACTCACATCGGAAGATTGCAAGAACGTGAAGCACGGAGTCGACGGCGATTGGGCTGCCGAACGGGTGCGCGGCGTCGCGGTTGTTCACAATGTCGTTCAGCGCGGCGATTGCATTTGGCGAGAGTGGCGGTGTCGGCGCGTTTGACATTGGTTCTGAGACGACAACCAACAAAAAAACAAGGACTGATAACTGAGGCGCAATCGAATAATACATGCGATTGAAACGCGCGCATTGATTTGGGCATATTGTCGCTAATGTCGGCGAATAATGTTGATCACCATTTCAGTCGACCCCTTTCGGTAATGTGCAGGTCAGTTGTCGTTTGTGTTGTTGGAGGGTTTGCTTTGCTTTGCTGTACAGCTGCTTCAATGGTGCTGGATCGACCGTTGACTGAGAGCCAGCACAGGTTGTATGACCTCGTTGCGAATTCGCAGAGTAAGTGCAAGCCAGTATTTATTGGAAAGTGCGACCTTCCGTGTGCTTACCCAGTGGCGTGACGGACAGTCTGACAATGGAACGGGTTAACAATGGCGGAGCGCTGGCGATTGCTGAAGCACTCAGAGTGAACAAGACGGTGACTACACTCAGGTAGGTTGGCCAGCCATACCTCGCCATGTTGTCTTTCTGCTCACCCGTTGCGAGATAGTCTACGCAACAATTTCATTGGCCATGCTGGTGTTCAGTCGCTTAGGAAGGCGCAGACAGTCAACTGCAGGCGTTCACTTACGTATGAGCGCCATTGTTGCTCGGGCAAACATGCTCAAACTGACGGAGTGGCCATACTTGCTGATCATGTACCTCGCTGGTTTGTTGCACAGCTTCGACTTCCAGAGAGACCCTCTTGCACTCTCCTTACTGCCGCGCTTCGAAACTGCCGAGAACACTCAGACCGTGTTCAACCTGCTGATCAGCGGACCGGAGATGAAGGATCAATTCGCGACTCTGCCGGCCCTGCCGGTCGAGATTGCCGAACTCATTATGGACGAAGCGTCTTACTGGCAGGGCGAGCAATGCGCTCAACATTTATCCTTCTATCCTAGGGCATTTACAGTGCCTCGGAACGTCAATGGAGCGTCGATTCGTGTGAAAACCATTCAAGCGCTTCGTGACAGAAAAATACCTCCCGATGTATTTGACGATCAGTCCGGCGAGTCATCCCATCATCCGACAAATGCGCGAGGGTTGGACGGTTGAAATTCGATCAAGCAAGTCGGACCATGCAATGCGATTCAATTGGCTTCATGTCGGATACCTCTGACAACCTTTGATGGCCGATGCTCCAGCTCCTGTTGTTGCTGTGTTTTTCGAGTGCATTGAATAACCTCCTCAAATGAACGGAAGTGTGGAGGTGGAACAACTTTTTCATTCAGTACAATTCGTCCACACCAAGCAAACAAAAAGAAGCGCGCGGGGGAGGTCGGTAATCAAACAACACCAAACCTTCAACCCAGTCGCAGCACGGCACAACAATTTGGGCGACTCGACGCGTTGCGCAACGTCCAACATCGAAGCAACGCAAAGCGCACCAAAAAATCGACCGGCATACTCATGTAGCAAGTACAAGCAAGAAGAAAAGAATCAAGGCGCAGGTCAACAAAAAGAACATGGTTCGAAAAAACAAATGCATCAAACTAAAAAAAAAAAAAGAAGAAAAATGAAAAACATCTCCAAGTGTTGTCGAGATGATCGACGGTTTCAGAAAGGTACCTCTCAGTTTGTGTATGGGGAAGCCAGCCCCTCTCACAAGAATAAAGGAGTCCAGAAAAAAAAAGCATTGGGCAACCAACCGTCTCAATCAGAATGGTGGACGCCTCGCTCGTGCTTGCGGAGCGCAACCAGACGCGTGAACGTCTTGGGGCAGTAGGTGCAGGCGTGGCGAATGCCCTTGTGGATGGAGTTGATGTGCGTGCGCAGACTGCGCGCCATGGTGAAGACCTTGTCGCACTGGTCGCAGTGGTAGCGCGCACTCGTGTGCTTGGCCAGCATGTGCGTGCGCAGATTGCAGTGCACGTTGAAGCAGCGCCCGCAAAACTCGCAACGGAAGCGCGCGCCATTGTGGATGGACTCGATGTGTGATCGCAGCCCACTCGCGACCAGATACCGCTTGTTGCAAATGGTGCAATCATACAGCGTGCCGGGGTGCTCCACCTCTGCATGCGCGAGCAACCGAGACAGCTTGGGCATCATCTTGTCGCAGTGCTCACAGGCGTACACGGTGCCCTGGTGTTTGGCAGACATGTGCAGACGCAGGTCGAGCGGGGTTTCGCAAACCACGCCACATGGTTGGCAGTTGTACCGCGGGCGGTTGTGCACGGCATTCAGATGCTTGCGCATGGCATACGCAGTCTTGAGCACCTCCCCACAGCCAGCCATGGGGCAGGTGTTGTTGTGCTGAGCCATCCAGCTTTCCGTGACAATGCCAGTCTCAAAGACACGCTTGCCCGAGGGGTTTGCGTACTCGACCAGCAAATCTCGAGTGAGTACGGCCAGCCGCAGCTCACTGTCTTGACTGTGCTCGCTGTCCAGACGGGGGCGGCGCACAGCGCGACCCGATTCGTCTGGCGACGCGTGCGAATGATTGCAGTGTTGGTGATGCCTGGTGCCATCGCGGTAATCCTCATCATCATCGTCATCGTCATCGTGGCTGGTGCTATCCTCGTCTTGGGCATGGTAGGGATCATCCTCTTCCTCCTCGTCGTCTTCGGGCTCCTCTTCTTCTTCCTCGTCCTCGGCATCGGCGGCGGCGTCGTCGTCGTCGTCGTCGGCAGCAGCAGCAGCAGGCTTGCGATGGCGAGCATGAGTCGGAGCGTGCATTTCAGTGCGCGACCGCTTGATTCCGCCAGGCGCAGGTGCAGCAGAAGCAGCAGGAGCAGCCGACAAGGAGGTCTTGTCCTCTTCGCTGGAGGTGCTCGACGAGCTGGATCGCTTGCTTCGCTTGGCGACGAGAGCCGCGTCCGCTTGAGAGGATGCCACTGTGGTCGGCGACACGGTCTGGCCCAAGGGTGCAACGGCAGGCTTGTCCTCGTAAGCCTCGTCGTGCGACACCTTCTTCCAGAGATCGCGGGCCTTGGCCACCGCAGCCGTCACAAACGCAACGGCATCCGACGAGGAAGCAGAAGCCGTGTTGGCGACGCTGGGATGCAGCATTCGAGATCGATTCGGATGGCTGGGTGTGGTTGTAGAATTTGGCCCGTGGACGGTCACAAAGTGGAATTGTTGTTGTTGTTGCTGCTGCTGAGGCTGCTGCAGAGGAAGGTGGTGGTGAGGGTGCACTTGCCCTTGGACGTACGGCGCAGCAGCAGACTGGGGCATGTTGAGCATGGGGGCAGACTGGTCAAAGGAATGTTTCTGGGGAACATGGTGGGCGGGATTTACAATCCAATGCTGCTGTTGCTGCGGTTGAGGCCCAGCAACACTCGGCATGGCGTGCATTTGCAACGGTGCAGCGTGACCGTGAATGGACGGCATCGACGATGAGGACGACGAGGCGAGCGCCGAGAGGGCAGCAGCGGCCGCGGCGGTGGTTGCAGCAGCCATCGGATGCGGATCGCTGCTCACGTGCATCATCATCGGAGGAATTGCAGAGGAGGCAGCAGCAGCAGCAGCAGCACTGACTCCCATGGACATGACGGATGGTGTTCCGGATGCGGTCGTGGTGGTGCGGGGCGACACGGGCACGGCAAACGCACTGCTGCTCGTGGTTGGGGTGATGAGGGAGGGAGGGTAGACCGTTGACAACGACGACGACGACAGCGACGTCGCGTTCAGGATGCTCGCGTTCGCCATGGGTGAGGATGAAGCAACAGGGATGCCTGTGGCGGCGGCGGCGGCGGTGGTGGTCTGTGGGAAGAAGCGGACGGTCGAGGTCGTCGAGCCAGCGGACGAGGCGCCAGACCGCGGAGTGGGCTCACCTTCCATTGCCGACGCTCCGACAACAAATCCGGTGGGTGCCGAGAAGGTCATTCCAGCGCTGCCAGCAGCGCCGGATGACGACGTGTGGAGTTGTTGGTGATGCTGCTGCGTCATAGAAGGAGCAGCAGCAGCCTGTTGATAAAAGATCTGTTGTTGCGGTTGCTGCGGCATGAAATGCTGTTGGAATTGCTGCTGCTGCTGCGGTTGCTGCTGCTGTGGGAAGGGCTGCAGCTGAGGGTGCTGAGCATGGTAGGGCTGGTTCAGGATGACGACCGGGCTGGGCTTGGGAAGGCGGGCGAGCGTTGAGGAGGTCGTCGGCTCGTGCTCGGTTGGCGACGGAAGCGGCATACCATTCTTGTGGTGCGGCTGCTGGTGGTGGTGCTGGTGGTGTGGGTGCGGCTGCTGCTGTTGCTGTTGCTGCTGTTGTTGTTGCTGGGCTTGCTGAGCGAGCAGGGTCGAGGCAGCCGACATGAACGCAGAGAACGACTGCGAGCCATGCGACGAGGTTGCCGACGAGGGCGGAGTTGGCTGCCGGAAGTAATAGGCTTGCTGCGGTTGTTGCTGCTGCTGCTGATGGTGCTGCTGCTGCTGCTGAACCATGGGCTGGCCAACGTGGTGCGCCATACCCTGCTGCTGTTGCTGGGGGTGGTAAGGCGCAGCAGTCGCAGTAGCAGGGGCTGGGTATGAAGTGTAAAACTGCTGGGGACAAGCCTCCGATCCAGCCGTCGTCCACTGCTGCTGCTGCTGATGCTGCTGCTGATGCTGCTGCTGATGCTGCTGCTGATAGTGGTTACTGGGGTGGCTGCGAGGGGCAGGCGGGACCATCATGAGCATCGGGCCGTTGGCATTCGAGACGGAAGAAGGTGTTGCTCCAAAAGGGGTCAGCTGAGTCAACACTGGCTGCTGCTGCTGCTGCTGCTGCTGCTGAGGGGCATAGTACGACCCCTGCTGATGCTGCTGCTGCTGCTGCGGCTGCTGCTGCTGCTGATTCTGGAGTTGCTGCATCATCAGCATGGGAGGCGCAGAGGGGGCAGGAGCAGAAGGAGCGGATGGAAGGGCGGCCGCCGCAAGCAGAGTTGGGACGTAGGAAGACTGAGAATGCTGAGAATGATGATACGCCGCTGCAGTCAGTGTCGACGTGGGCGCAGGTGGCATCAATGGCTGGAAGGGGTTTGTTGCAGCTGGTTGAAGATGCGGACGCTGATGCTGTTGCTGCTGCTGTAAACAAGAATGGAGGACGTGTTGCTGTGGTTGTGGTTGTGGTTGCTGGGGAGTGGACAGGGACGACAATGGCATTCAACCGCGCAGCAGCTGTGCTTGTCGAAGAAAGAGATGCAAGTCGGAAGAAAGAAAGAAAGAGAAGTCGTAGGAAGAAAAGCAATCGGAAGAGAGAGAGGAAGGATGAGAAGGAACGAGCGTTTGAATGGGAAAAAGTTAAAAGCCGCGGAAATAAAAAAAAAAAAATAAAAAACAATAAAAAACAACAAAAAAATAAAAACCGGACTCGACTTTAAGCTTGGTTTTGAATCAGCCTTTCGAAACGCTGAAGCGGCAGCAACGCGGGAAGGGGGAGGGGGAGTCAAGCGGAGGGAATAAGGGCCAGCAAGAGCGTGAACTAGATCAGAAGCAGACTTGGAGACAGCAGCAGGAGATGCCTGGGGACGGAAGCGGAGAGCGCGTGCAAAGGAACGAAAAAAAAAAAAGCGAAAAAAAAAAAAGGGGGAGGGGATGATGACTCGGCAGACCAGCTGCAGAGACGATTTGAAAAAGAGGAGGGGGAAAGCGGATCGGAAAGGGGAGGAAGGAGAAGATGAAGATGATGAGTAGGAAGAAGAAGAAGAGAGCGAAGGAATGAGAGTGAAAGAGAGAGCGGGAATTGAAAAGTGTGAGACGAGAAGGATGTGACGCGTTTTTGCGGGTTTGTGGTTAAAGGACGAAAATAAAAATAAAAAAAAATAAAAAAAAAACGAGTCAGTGAGTGATGCGCCAGCGCATGCTCAAGCAGGAAGGAGAACGAGAGGAAGAAGAAGGAAGAAAAAAGGAAATCAAGGATGGAAGGAAGAACAACGAGATGGAACGGAGGCAGTCAAGTGCACGACAGAGCTCATGCAACAAGAAAAAAAAAAAAAAAAAAAAACAAGAAAAGCGTTGGTGTTGTTTGTGTTTTTGTGGGTTGGATCACTCACGCAACCACCACCGAAAAGAAAAAAAAAAAAAAAAAAAAAAAACGAGGGAAAGGAAAAGAGGAGGAGACGACAAGTGAAGAAAAGAGGATGAAAAGATGATGAAAAAATGGGGCGTTAGATGAAAAGAAAAGGGTGCCTGCTTTTGCCAGCAAAAGTCAAGCTCAAATCGCCGAAAAATATAAAAAAAATAGTAAAAAAAAAAAAATAGAGTGGAAAATAAAATCGACATAAAAAAACACAAAACTCCAAATAAAAACACAAGTTGTGATTTTTTAACCCTTTAAAAAAAGTCACAGAAACATGATGCATGAGACACCAGCGAGTCAGCCTCGGCGGTAAGAGCAAAATAGCGGAAAAAAAAAACACTACATTGACGAAAGGACGATCGAGAGGCAAAGAGAGATAACAAACAGGCAAAACAGCAGTTGCTGCCCTCTCTTCTGCAGACGAAGATAAACAAAGAACAGCTGTTGGAGAAAGATGCGTGTGCCGTAGATCCGTCCATTAGATCCCGACGCTTCATCTTGCTTCAAACGAGATCCAGGTCACGATGAATGCTTTTGGGCCCCCCCTCAAAGCTACACTGTAGGGTCATGTTGCCAAAGCACACGCTGCGTTTGACACCTACGCGGCGATCGCCGGCACACAAATTGCGTTGGTAGGCGTAACCTTTCTCTTTTGTGGGATGGATTTTTTTTTTTTTTTTTTTGTTGGGTTGCATTTTTTTATTTGTCCTGTCAAAGTTGTGCATACCTCCGATGACCAGGAGCCAAAAGCGAAGGAAGTCGATCGAATGGGAGAAGGGGTTGTTGGGGGCGCGGTTGTTGGACCAGATGCACCGAGATTGCACTCCAAAAAACAAAAACAAAACAACATGCAAAAGTGTGATGTAAAGACGGCGAACTCAGCCTCTGAAATTCACCCGCTCGACTGTACATCCAACATAAAGCGATTCAAAATGCACATCTCGAGAAGACTTGCTGGCTCGAACTTGAACCTGCCAACCCGCGCGCATTTGTTGGATGACAGGATGGTTGGCTGGCACGATTGTCACAAGCTGGAGACTCCGATTGGCAAAAGTCGGTTTTGCTGAGAATTCATATTGAACAGCGCCTTGCTCATCTAGGACAACCAAATCAAAGCCGCTGCCGATGATGTCGTTACTTCTATTCCAGTCACGAAGCACTTGAATTGCTTTCACACGGATTGAATTCCCATTGACACCTTGAGGGACGGTGACTTTCAGAATAGAGTTGGGAGTATCATCACCAAACCACTGTCGCTTGGTGTGCTGCACGCCTTGCCAGTAGTGCGCTTCGTCCATAATGAGCTCGGCAATCTCGGCTGGTAGTGCTGGTAGAGATGTGGGTTGATCCTCCAACTCCTGTCCTCTGGTCAGCAAGCGAAACACGGTCTGAAGGTCTTCAGCAGTTGCCATTCGTGGAAACAAGGAGAATGCAATAAAGTGGAGCTGGGGTTTGAAGCTGTCCAAGCGAGTCAGCAGGGCGACTCCTTTGGTTGGAGCACAAATCGTTCGGACAAACAACGAACACAAGTCTATTCAGAGTTCGGTTGACTTGACGCGCTTCACGAATCGCTTGAAAACCAGCCTTGCCAATGCAGTTGTATGTTAGACTATCGCTTAAAGGGTGAGCAAGGTATGTCTGATCCTGGCTCAATGAGCGAGACCAGCAAAGCAAAGAGCGCAGCAACTTACTCGAGAACTCCAGCCTCGTGTTCACCTTGAGTGCTTCAGCAATTGCCAACCCTCCAGCATCGCCAATCTGATTCTGTTGCAGACTGTTCATCCCCTCCATCAGTGAGCACCCTGAATGCCCTTTGTAAGTTCACCCACTCACTCGCAAGCATTCGTGGAAGCGAGATGCCTTACTCCAGAGAACACAGCGTCTTGTTCACTTTGAGTGTGTCCGCGATCGCCTGCGCTCCAGCATCGCTAATCTGATTCTGAGCCAGTCTGTCCGTCCCCTCCGTCTGTGAGCACTCCTAATCCCTTCTACTTGATCATCCACAAGCATTCGTCAAAAAAAAAAAAAACGCCTTACGAGAGTGAAGTCATGCTTTTGTTCGCTTTGAGTGCTTCAGCAATCGCCTGCGCTCCGCCGTCGCCAATCTGATTCATCCACAAGCTGTACATTTCTTCCATCAATGAGCCACTCTTACTGTCGTGAATCACCCACCCAACAGCACAGATGCCTTACTAGAGCGCAATCAGTGTCTTGTTCACTTTGAGTGCTTCAGCAATCGCTTGCGCTCCAGTATCGCCAATCTGATTCTCCCACAGACTGTCCGTCCGTTGTTGTCAGTACACTTGCTGGATTACCCACCGAACAACACAGATGCCTGACCAGAGGTCCTTCAGCGTCGTGTTCACTTTGAGTGCCTCGGCAATCGCTTGCGCTTCAGCATCGCCAATCTGTGCAGCCCCCAGACTGTTCCTCCGTTTCGTCAGTCCACACACGCGTTGTCACACGGGTCCAATCAGCTCGAGTTTTCTCTTACGATAAAGATCCTCTCGCATTCTTGACTCTGTCGAACGCGATACGCTGCCCGCCAGTCATGCTCTCATAGGACACCCCTTCCCAAAAAACAAACTCGATGCAATTGTCTTTTTTTCTTTTGTTTCTCTAGATTCGTCCTCGGCCTTGTTTCTCTAGATTCGTCCTCGGCCTTCATGCTCATCTACACTCGTCTCTTGTTTGACCTTCTTTTTTGACAAAGCGTTGCTCTGCGACATGCGCTGGCCGAATTTTCCACAGTAGCTCTGCAGCATGTACTGTGATATCAAACACACACACACCCTCCCCCTTGTGGATGGTAGATCGCGTTGGTTTGAACGAGGGAAAGAGGGGCTTCTTTCACAGTCCGCCAGTCCGCTTTCACATGTTCCACCTGGTCAATCCAACAAGCGTCTGCAATGGTTTTGCATTCGCCATTTCCATCCCATTGAGTGTAGATGGTGTCCACCTTTTCGTCATTGTGTATTTTCCTTCCTAAATGTAGTTTCTTCTCTGCTCAGTCTTTTTCAATCTCCAGCCCACATCCTACCCACACATGTCGCACCATCCGCACGCCGCTGTCGCACCGCCGTCCGAGGTGGTTGTCATTCTCGATGCCGGTGCCCAGTATGGCAAGGTGATTGATCGCAAGGTCCGCGAGCTCAACGTCGCCACCGAGCTGCTCCCGCTCAACACACCGATCGACGTCCTCAAGGCCGGCAACTACAAGTACGGGACGCACCCAGCCACCGTCTCACTGCCATCATCATCCTCGTCATCATCATCCTCATCATCATCATCCTCATCATCATCCTCATCAAGTGCACACTATCCCCAGCATTTTGCCTCGCCTCAGTCTGTCGGGGTTTGCTGCTGTGGCCCCATTTCTGCTCCCCTACTTTGCTCGCTCCTCCCCTACTTTGCTCCTTCGTCCTCTCCATCCTCTCCTTCTTAAAAAACACCCCCTTCCGTTGTCACTTTGTTCGTCCTCCGTTTCTGAAGCTTGTGCTGGTTTGCAGTCAACGCACGATCCAAGTCCTCATGTGGGCGCCTCGTGTGTCCTCCGCCACTGACTCTATTGAAGTGTTCGCCCCCCCCCCCTTCGCTCTCTCCCTTCCCCCTTCCCTCTCTCTCTCTCATTCACTATCTCATCACATCAACCGTCAACACTTTCAGCCAATTCCCAGGACAACGAGCGACGCCCTGAGTCTTATCGAGTGTTGAATGAAGTACCTCTCCTTGAATGGGTCCACAGCGAAACCCCTTTCCGCCTTCCCCCACCCCTCCCCTTCTATACCAGTGACTAAACTTGACTCTCTTTGGTCTCTGATTTCGAATTGTTGACTGCGACTGCATGCAGAGCTGTCATCATCTCGGGTGGACCAAGCTCAGTGTACTCGGAGAACGCACCAAAGTACGATCCCGCGCTGCTGGACATTGGCATCCCGCTCTTGGGCATCTGCTACGGCATGCAGCTCTGCAACCTGCACTTTGGCGGCACCGTCGTGCGGAAGGAGCAGCGCGAGGACGGTCAGGACGAGATTCTCGTCGAGACGGACTCGCCCTTGTTCAAGAACCTCGCTCGCGAGCAGCAGGTCCTGCTGACCCATGGAGATTCAATCGATCAGGTGGCGCCGGGCTTCCGTGTCTCTGCGCGCTCGGGCGTGCTCGTGTCGGCCATCGAAGACCCCAAGCGTCGCATCTATGGCGTCCAGTTCCACCCCGAAGTCGAACTCAGCACCAACGGCAAGGAGATGATTCGCAACTTTTTGTTCGAGTGCGCCGGCTGCACTGGCTCGTACACGATCGAGGACCGCGAGGATGTCTGCATCAAGGAAATCCAGTCGCTCGTCGGCGACAAGAAGGTGCTCGTGCTTGTTTCGGGCGGCGTCGACTCGTCCGTCTGCGCTGCGCTGCTCACCAAGGCCATCAACCCCGACCGAGTCGTTGCTCTGCACATTGACAATGGTTTTATGCGCCAAGACGAGTCCAAGCTCGTCTCTGTCTCGCTCGGCCACCTCGGCCTCAACCTGCGTGTGGTCGATGCTTCCGAGACCTTCTACAATGCCACCACCACCATCACTGCCCGCGATCGCGTCACCAAGTACGAGACCAAGAAACTCAAGGAGACCACTGCTCCCGAGGAGAAGCGCAAGATTGTCGGCGACACGTTCATGCGGTGCGTTGTGTTGTTGCTCGTCCAAAGTTTTTTTTTTTTTTTTTTTTTTTTTTGGCAGTGTCGGGTGTCTGCTCATCGGGCTAATATTTTCCATGCATCTTCGCGTGGGGCTGCTTTTGTACTACACAGAGTCGCTGAAACAGCCGTCAAGGACCTCAACCTCCGCCCAGAAGACGTCTATCTCGCCCAGGGCACCTTGAGGCCGGATCTCATCGAGAGCGCTTCGTCGCTCGCCTCGAGTGCCGCTGACGCCATCAAGACACACCACAACGACACCGAGCTCGTGCGCGAGTTGCGCAAGCTTGGTCGTGTGATTGAGCCGCTCAAGGACTACCACAAGGACGAGGTGCGCGAGCTTGGCAAAAAGCTCGGTCTGCCCACCGAAATGGTGATGCGACAGCCCTTCCCCGGGCCTGGCCTTGTGGTGCGCATTTTGTGCACGGAAAAGCCGTTTATTGATGCCTCGTTTGACGCCACCAACCAACTGTTGAAGGACATTGTCAACACTCGCGCCATCTCGTCAGACCGCCAGGCAGTGCGCGACCGCATTGTCAGCTCCATCAACGGCGATCCATCCTGGCTTCACGAGGATCACGGCCTCTCCGTCACGCTGCTGCCCGTCATGACGGTCGGCGTCCAAGGCGATGGTCGCACGTACAGCTACATTGCCGCGCTCTCGCTGGCCAAGCCTGCGTCGGGTGCTGCCGACTGGAAGAAGCTCTTTGCATTTGCCAAGCTCATTCCCAAGGTGTGCCACAACATCAACCGTGTCGTGTACGTGTTTGGCGAGCCTGTGGACAGGCCCATTCGCCGCATCTCGGTGACCCACCTCACACCCGACGTTGTCGACCAGCTTCGCGCAGCTGATGCTGTTGTCAACCGCCATCTGCTCGAGGCCAACTTGGTGACCGCCTTGAGCCAAGTCCCTGTGATTGTCTTCCCCGTGGACTTTGAGGACGGCAAGGGCTCGCCTGGACTCGCATCAGAGGAAGGCGCCGTCATCTCGCCCCGACGCTCAATCGCCATCCGCACGTTCATCACCAACGACTTTATGACTGGCGTTCCAGCGGTACCCGGTCGCGACATTCCCGAAGACGTGCTGTCCAAGATGGTGGCCGAGGTTCTCGCCGCGACTCCCAACATTTCGCGCGTCGTGTACGATCTTACCTCCAAGCCACCAGGCACCACCGAGTGGGAATAACTCACCGGGATTGAATGTCTAGTGTGTGCGTGTGCGTGTGTGTATGAAGGGTTTTCTTGTTGTTTCAGTGAACACGATTCAAATCAAAGCCAACGATTGCAGCGCCAACAATGGATTGAAATTTGGTTTGGCTCCCTTTGCGCCAATGACAGGGATAGGTGACCGCGGTTTGTTCGAAAATGTCGGCTTTACCCATCAGGCTTCTGCCATACAAGGAGGCCTGCGTGGCTTCGGGGGACACAAGCCTTGATGAAGCACATCAACATCGTTTTGGTCCAACCTTCTTTCTTGACGATTTCTTGGACACACACTTGTATTGCATGCCTGGAGTTGTAATTCAGTTGATGCTGCGTTGATATCGTCTTGGGGCTGGCTTTTTTTTTTTTTTTTTTTTTTTTTTTTTTTTTGTTTGTTTGTTTGTTTGTTTGTTTGTTTGTTTGTTTGTTGTTTGTTTCTTTGTTTATTTGTTTGTTTCTTTGTTTGTTTATCGTCGCCACTTTGGATTAATGACGATGAAACACGAAATGCTAGGCACAAATCTGAACAGAGACGATGCGAACAAAAACAGGTCGCTTGACAAACCTTTTGGGAGCAACTGACAGTCCTTTGCTGTTCTGCTGAGATCGTCCAAGAATACTATCGTTTTCGAAGATGAATTCGAGACAGCGCGAGTTGTATGACAAAGTCAAGAATGCGAAGAAGCATCTCGAGTAAGAGGAAGCTCGAGGTTATTGGCAACAATGTGGACAGCGAGTTGTACCGACGAAAATGGAGGGAACAGTCTGGCTGAGAGGCAGATTGGCGATGCTGAAGCGCAAGCCATTGCTGAGGCACTCAAAGTGAACACGACGGTGACGGAGCTCAGGTAAGACAGCTCGCATTCACGGATGCTTGCAAGTGCCATTCCGAGGTGCTCACGGATGGAGGGGACGGGACAAGTCTCTACCAGAATCGGATTGGCGCTACTGGAGCGCGGGCGATTGCTGAGGCACTCCAAATGAACAAGGCAGTGACTACGCTCGAGTAAGCTGAATCTTGGTGACTGATGCATGAGGAAGTGATCCAGTAGAGGTCAGTCCGAGTGCTCACGAACGGAGGGGACGGACAGCCTGCGAGAGAATCAGATTGGCGCTGCCGGAGCGCAGGCGATTGCTGAAGCACTCAAGGTGAACACGACACTGGCTGTGCTCAGGTAAGGCATCATCTATCTCACTTTGATGTGAGTGGGTGATTTCAGTAGAGGGACTGCAAGGGTGGTTCACTGAGGGATGGACAGTTTGTATCAGAATCAGATTGGCGATGCTGGAGCGCAGGCCATTGCTGAGGCACTCAGAGAGAACAAGACGGTGACTCGGCTCGGGTAAGACAGCTCGCTTCCACGAATGTTTGCCAGTGGGGGAACCTACAAAGGGCATTCATAGTGCTTACTGATGGAGGGGATGAACAGTCTGTACCAGAATCAGACTGGCGATGCTGGAGCGCTGGCAATTGCTGAGGCACTCAAAGTGAACACGACGCTGGGGTTGCTCGAGTAAGTTGCTGTGCGCTTTGCTTTGCTGGTCTCGGTCGTTGGGCGAGGGTCAGCCATACCTTGCTCACCCTTGAAACGATAGTCTACGATTCAATTGCATTGGCAAAGCTGGTCTTCAAGCGATTGGTGAAGCGCGTCAAGTCAACCGAACTCTGACTACACTTTTGTTCGTTGTTTTATCCAAACGATTCATGCTCCAACCAAAGGAGTTGCCCCGCTGAGTGCTCATTCACCTTGCTTGCATAGAATCGATCGGCAGGTGCATCCTCGTTTGTTCTCCTTACTTCCACGACGATTAGCAACTGCTGAAGATCTTCAGAACGTGTTTCACTTACTGGCCAGCGGACAGGAGCTGAAAGATCAACCCATATCTCTTCCAGCACTACCAGCCGAGCTTGCCGAGCTCATTATGGACAAAGCGCACTACTGGCAAGGCGTGCAGCACACCAAGCGATCGCATTTTTATGATTCCCCCGAGCGTATTCTGAAAGTCACACTACCTCAAAGGATTGATGGAGGTTCGGTTCGTGTGAAAGCAATTCAAGTGTTTCGTGACATGGGAAACCGTTTCGACAGCAACGGCAGCAGCCGCTTTGATTTGATTGTCCTAGATGAGCAACGCGCTGTTCAATATGAATGCTCGGTGAAACCGACCCTCGTCGATTCGAGCCTCGAGCTTGTGACAATCCTGCCAGCGAGTCATCCTGTCATCCGACAAATGCGCGCGGGTTGGCAGGTTCAAGTTCGAGCCAGCAAGTCTTCTCGAGATGTAGTGTTTGAATCGCTTCGTGTTGGATATGTTTAACGACAGTCATGGGAATGCTCTGCTACACTCCAACCCATATCTGTCAGCTCAGTGCCCAATATGCAGGCAATCTGCCTATTCGTCCCTCTCGTGTAACGTGCTCGTTAAACACCAAGTTTAGTCTTCTCTAAGTTTCTTCTCTCTCCTCGCATGCTCTGCGCAGAGCCCATCTTTCTCGCACGTTTCTAGCATGATCGCAATGTTGCTTCCTGGCTTGCTCGTTTGCCCTATGCAACCTCCGTTATTCCATACGATCAGATTGAACTCGATCAATTTGTTTTCGGATTCTTGGTTGACTCTTCGCTGCAAGCGTATCAAGACCTCATCTGCTCAAACTTGACGCGCACAACCACACAATGCGATAACAGATCTATCCAAATCATTTCGACGCTGCTCAGTTTATTATTTGGTAGGCACTTTGAACTTTTTTTTTTTTTTTTTTTTTTTTTTTTTTTTTTTTTTTTTTTGTTTCCCCCTGTCGTTCCTTCTCTCTCTCTCTCTCTCGCTCTCTGGTCCGCCTCTCCGCCTCTCTCTCTCCTCTCTCTCTCTCTCCTCTCTCTTCGCACTCGCGCTTGCGTTTGCTGAATGGCTTTCGATGTATTTTTTGTTGTTCTTTTGCGAAACGTCTGCCATCAAGTGCAAATGCATGGCTGGTTCGACATGTGAGAAGCAGCGAGTCTTGTCCTTCAGCCTCGATGTTTTGTTCCTCTTCTTCTCTGCTGCTCCTACTTCTCTCTTCGCTCTCTTTTCGCTTGCTGATGATGCTTCAGTGAATGGTGTGAGACGCGACGAACGCGGTCGCCCTGATGCTGCCACACTCACAGTTCCAATCGAGTGTACCACACTCACTCACCCCCACCTCTCGCACCCAACTCGCCTCCTCCCTCTTCTCTCTCCACTCGACTCGGCCGATGCCATCACGTTGCCGTTGTCTGCGCAATCGCTGCTGTTTGTGCAGCTCTGCGCACAACCAGTCGAACCTCCCTTTTCTCCAAATCCCGCTGCTTCTCTCTGCCTTTTCGTTCATCTCTTTCGTTATCGCCTCCTCTTCTTCCTTCGTCACGAGTAGTTTTTTTTGGTTGTTCTGTTGTTTTGTTGCTTTGTTGTGTTTCTGTGGTCGGGAATTTCCCCTACAAAAAAAAAAAAAAAAAAAAGCGCGTGGTTTCACTGTTTTCGGAACCCGACGCTCGGCTTTGCTCAGAGGAGGTCGCTTGTTTTTGGTTTTTGGTTTTTTGATGGTTTGCACCGAATTTGTAATTTGGGCACGGTGTTAAGATTATCACTCGGCAAATCGATGCTGTGGTGTGGGTGACTTTGCTGGGAGGTGTGAAGAGTCAGGTCGTGGGGGAGAATGGGATGTGGGTGGGCGAGCCGGAGGGTGTGAAGCGGGGGTGTGGCAAAATGGGGGATTTTGGGCACCCCATTCAATCAAGAACATTATTGAGAAGGTTGCATCAAACATTCATCATCAAGCAAGATCCACTGATTCAATCTTAAACCCACTCACTTGGATCTGATCTCGTCAGCTTGCTTTTGTTCTAGTTTGATTTTTTTGCTGTTCGCTCGTTCGTTCGTTCGTTCGTTCGTTTCCAAGTCACATCCTCAAGCAAAACAAACAACCGACTGTGCAAGTGTGTTTCACCTTCAAACGCAACAAAACGTGATTTGATTCGATCCTCTGCCCTGGCTGGATTCAAGCAAGCGCCCGATAATCATGTCCGAACTGGCCGCTGCTGCTGCTGCTGCTGTTGCTGACGCTGGCACTCTCGGAAACGACACTGTCTGCGATATCAACTCGGGCGACACTGCATGGGTATCCATCTCGTTTGTGCTCGTGCTGGGCATGATGCCGGCGCTGGCCTTTTTCGAGGCAGGCCTGCTGCGCTCCAAGAACACCTTGTCGATTATTACGCAGATTTTCAGCGGCATTGCCGTGCTCAGCACCATGTGGAACGTCTTTGGCTACTCGCTCACTTTCGGCACCGATCAGGGTGGCGTCATTGGCACCTTTGACAATGCGCTCTTCCTGGACGTGTCGTTCTCGCGCTGCTCGCCGCACGCGCCAACCATTCCCGCGGCTGTGTTTGCCCTCTTCCAGATGATGTTTGCCGCCATCACCCCGCTGCTCATGACGGGCTCGTTCGCAGAGCGTCTCAAGTTCCGCTCCTTCATGCTCATCATTATTTTGTGGGAGATTTTCGTCTACTACCCGGTGGCGCACTGGATTTGGGGCAACGGCTGGCTCGCCAAGCTCGGCACGCTCGACTTTGCTGGCGGCATTGTCATTCACACGACTGCTGGCGCAAGCTGCCTTGTTGGCGCACTCCTTCTCGGTCGTCGCCAGGGGTTTGACCAGTACCACGGCGAGTTCCCACCCTCCAACGTGCCGCTGGCTGCTCTCGGTGCCGGTCTTTTGTGGATGGGCTGGTTTGGCTTTAACGCAGGCAGCGCGCTCCGCGCCGGTGCCCTCTCGACGTCCGCCATCGCCTCCACCCAGATTGGCTCGAGCATGTGCGGATGTGTCTGGTTTTTCATTGCCTGGTGGCGCCATCGCCCGTCGACCCTGGCCATCTTGAACGGTGTCATTGCAGGCCTCGCAGGCATCACCCCTGCCGCTGGCTACATTAACTCCCAGGCCAGCCTGGTCCTCGGCCTTGTTCTGGGCGTTGCCTCGTACTTTAGCGTGCACTTCATCAAGGGCCGCCTGCGCATTGACGATGCCTTGGACGTCAGCTCGGTGCACGGTCTGACTGGCATTATCGGAGCGCTGGCCACTGGCCTTGCAGCGGACGCGAGCATTGACGAGGGCATTCCGAACGGCGTGATCAACGGTGGCGGCTGGTGGCTGTTTGGCTACCAAGTGACGGGCGTCGTTGTTGCTGGCACCTACGCTGCCGCCGTCACCTTTGTGATTATGAAGGCGATTGACCGCTTCGGAGGCCTTGCCATCTCTGAAGAGGAGGAGCACCACGGTCTGGACCATGTCGAGCACGGCGAGCGCGCGTACGATCACTACTTTGACGAGAACAATCTGGCCTCGAGCCAAATCTCCTCCCCGGTGCCCATGCTCCATGCGGCTCAAAATATTGACGAGGAGGACGAGCAGACTGCCCTCATCTCCAAGAAGCCCTCTGCCAACCCCAGCCCGCGTCCGCCATCATCGCTCTCCCGTGGCACGACTCCTGCGCCCCGCATCTCCCGCGATGTTAACACGACTGGCAGTGGCTTTTTCTTTGAGCGTACCAAGCTGAGCAAGAACATTCAATAACCGGATGTTCCTCAGCCGTGCGTGGTTGTTGTCGTAGTTGCTTTTTCTGGTTTCTCTTGTTTTATTTGGTTGTTTCGTTGTCGGTTTAGTTTTCTACCACCATAAAGAGTTTTTGCTCGTCAGTTTTGTTCGCAACTAGTTGACCATAGCACTACTACAGTACTGTATATCTCTATTTTGCATGTCTGAATTGCTTTGGTAGAACTCTGATTCAGTTCAACTCTACAAGTCGAACGCGCTTTCCTTCAGTTTCCCTTTCTATTTCCTTCCTTCCTATCACCATCTCTGTTTCTATTCTCTCTTCTTCACTTATCACCTTGACTGCCTTCACTCTTACTTTATACTAGAAATGAAAGTTTCGCGTCTGAAGCACTCGCGACGCTTGCTTCGCTTCTACAGCAGCAAGTTTGATCTCAACCCGCCGTACACTGTACTCGGTAACAGACCACCCCCCCCCAAAAAAAACAAGCCATAATCCACGCTACTACTTGATCTCAATGAAAGGGGAAAGAGTTGGCTGAACGTGCACATTGGACTGAGGCTTGCTGAGGCTCAGACAGACACCCGACGATCCATTCTCGGATTTTTTCATGATGTTGGCATGTGTGCTGACCTTTGCTGTTGAATTGCATGCATGGCTGTCTGGGTGGGTCATAGTGGACGGCACGTTCATGATCGCTGCGCTCGAGTCCAAGCTCCATGTGCAAGAGCACATCCCGGCGTACCTCGGCGCACAGACCGCCCTCGTGACCACCGCGTGCATCGTCAACGAGCTCAAGATGCTTGGCGAAGTCTACGCCGGCGCGTACCTTGCAACGCGCAAGCTGGAGCATCGCCGCTGCGGCCACTCGCCCGCGTTGACTGGCTCGCAGTGCCTCATGCGTCTCATCGGTAACAACTACCGCGCTTCCTGGTCTAGCCAGAATGCTGTTCCAGGCGTTTTGTTGTTGTTGTTGTTGTTGTTGTTGTTGTTGTTGTGATGGTTGTGCTGTCGGGGTGGCTGGATCGGCGGGGCGCTGAACTCACTGTTCGCTGTGCCTGTCAGGTGAATCGGGCAATCCGCACAAGCTGCTGGTTGCAACACAAGATTACGTGCTGCGACAACGCCTGCGCAAAGTGCCCTGTACGTCAAGCCATTTGATTTAATTTGCTTCCGAGATCAGTCTGGGCACAATGGCAACGAACGCATAACTATGTGGCTAAACATTGTGTTTTGATTCTCGCTCCCGTCATCAGGCGTTCCTATTCTCTATGTCGACTACAACTGTGCCATTCTGGAGGCACCATCAGATGCATCGCAGTCGAAAGCCTCAAAGGTGACTTCCTTGACCTCGTGGTTTGCTTGTGTCGATCGCAAAACTCAGCGTCGCGGTTTTTTGTTTGTTTGTTTTTTGTTTGTTTTGTTTTTCATTCATTCATTCATGCAGCTCGAACACAACAAGCTCGGTGCTTCGAGTGAGGAAAAGCACAAGCTCAAGCAGCTCGTGCCCCTTGATGACGGCAAGCCAAAGTTCCGACGAAAAGTCGCCCAAGAACCAAACTCCCTCGCCAGCAAAAAGGCCGCCGTCAAACCAACCGCAGCCGCATCTGGGTCTGCTACTCGAAACGGAGATGCATTCGCACTGACACGTGGTATGATCAAGAAGCTGCGGCGAAAACGCATGGCGTTGATCGCAAAGGGGCTAGATCCCGGCTACGTCCCACCGTCTGTCATTGCGCGAGCTGCTGCCGAGGCTGCAGCTGCAGTAGAATCAGCCCGAAATGCATCATCATCATCATCTGGTTTGAGCGATTATTCTTCTGGTCGGTTCGCTGCCGGAGTGAAGCGCCCAGCCGATGACGTGGAGGAATCTGTAAGTTTTTTTTTTCCGTTTCCTCGCTGATACATTCGTGGTTTGGGGGAGACAGTCCGAGTACGTGCCATTTATTTACTTACTTTTCCCCAATCCGTATGGTCTGGTCAGAATGCAACAAACGGCTTGGCTGACGGCAAGCGTAAACGTGTTCGTCGACACCGACCGCGCAGCGCTCGTGCTGCCGCTGACACGACGGTTGATGGTCAAGAGGAAGCCGACGATGAATAATCTAGTGTTTTAGTGTCAATTTCTTGGAGATAACATGTATTTGTACATTAATTTTGAAGGCCGTTGATCAACAAACTTTTTTTCTGCGTGTTAAGAACAGCAAGGGAAGTTTGTCTTATACAATCACTCGTGTCGGCCCTGGATAGCGCGGATGCTCTACCACCCCGGGCCCAAACTTGTACTCGAGAAATTCAATGTGATGGTTTGGAATGGAGACGTTCATGCCCAAAAATTCTGAAATGGGAAGAGACAACAGAATGCGACGTCAGCACATGGCACACACATCAAACCCCCCCCTCCCCACACACATACACACACAGTGCATTTCATCGCATAAATGAAACGCGCGAGGCAGGTACCTATCCGGGCAAGAGGCTTGAGATAATGCGCAGGAAATTCAGTGTCCTGCTTGTGCGTCGCCATCCAAGTGGATTTGGTCATCATTCCACCCTCTGGTTCGTTCTTGGTACGATCGGACGGCCGTTCATGGAAGGGAAATATGTCGACGTGAAGGTGGTTGGAGGCGCTGAATTGAATGCGATAAAAGTCGCCCTCACGCGCGTTCTCCCAAATGTACCCGTCCAGCTCCTTTCCAACGCCGTCCGCGAGCTTTGAGGCGGCCAAGAGTTCAGGGCACTTGCTCACGTCTTCGAGGTAGATGCCAATGTCAATGTCGTAGTCCTATCAATCGTGAAATCGAAACGGTCGAGTGAGCCACGACAAGTCAACACCTTGTTTCTTTGCCTCGCTTCACCACACACAAAACTCACCCAAGGAATAATGTCGTGATGGCGCGCAGCACCCAGCAAGCTGCCACCCTCCAGCCAATACCGAACTCCTGCCTTGTCCAAGAGATTAAACAGGTATCGCCCGGTGGTTCGGAGCGCATCGAGGCAGCATGGAGGCGTCCAGCGCCCGGCTGCAATGTACTCGGGAGAGTCGTGAAAAACTGTGCCAAAGCACCGCGAGGTCTTTTTCGAGCAGCCGAGCGACCGCACTTCGCGTTTGGATGCCGGCACGCCGTCAAGTGGAGAGCGCAGGTGCGCATTCAATAACGTGAGTGGGGATTGCTGCACGGTCGTGCCTTGGTTTGGCTCCTCGCCTTCGTGGCCGCCGGATGCAACTTCGAGTGGCCCGCTCAAAAAGTGAGAATTCCAATGCGGAGGGAGGTAATTGTTCAACGCCTGGGCATTCGTCGGATCGGGCTCGGGGCGGACGGAAACGCGGGCAATCTGCTTGAGGTGAAACCGTGGGTACAGCGATTGCTGCAGCCTGCCGAATAGCGCTTCGTACTTTTGTCGCTGGTGGGCATCAAGCACGGCCGTTCGATCGGGCGTTTGCAACACAGGGGTTGTCACCAACGCGGTCTGTTTGTTTCGTTTTGGCGCAAAGTTTTGATTGCAACAGAGTTAAGCCCACAACGAAACAAAACATGAACACTACCGCGCTTGTCTTGCAGCAGACTTACACGCCACCCTTTGACGGAGGCTTCAAGAAAAATGCCAAAGGAGGTCGGACGCTCCGTCCATGAAAGCTGGCTCAAGCTCGAGGCAGCCAGGAGCAGCGGCGTCTCGTCGAATGCGATCGCGTGCGAACCAGTCAAGTCGCAGCGTATCCGCGAGCACTGCTGAGTGGGCACGACCTCGACCGTCGGCAAAGTAAAGTCGTCGCCCAGCACCTGCTGAGCAAAATCCTCCCATTGCTTCCGCAGTGACACCTCGAGCAGGCTCAGCTGTGCGAAATGCGTGACAATCTCAGCCTGTTCGCTCTTGTCGACGATCGGCGACTCTGGCGGAAAGTATGTCAGAGACCACCGGCGGACGTCCAGGACAAAGTCTTCGCAGCTGCAGAGCAACTTTGAGCGCGACGGCTTGTCCGCGTCCGTTGGCACGGTGATGACTTGGCCCGCAACAAGGACAGACCGCGCCATACTGCTCTCCGCGGGGTCTGCGACAACCTCGTCGTAGCCAAGCAACAAGGTCTGCTGCGCCCACGCCAACAGCAACAACGCGGCCTCGGCGCGACTCTGCGGCACCACTGCATCGGGAACGAGAAACACGAGTCGCGTCGAAATGTGGTGCATCGGATCACGAAGCACCGCATCCTGGCCTGGTCGAAAGTTCAGGGGTATCACCTTGGTATCGCCGGCAAGTGCGTCCTTGGAGAGCTGGAGCGGCGGATACGGCACTTCGCTCGCAACGATGCGCACGGCAATCTCGGGAAAGAGCGCGCGCCAGGCATCGACCGTCTCTGCAATGCGGTTTTCAAAGTAGAAAAAGTCGCGGAAAATCAAGCTCACCTGCGACTCAAATGCAGCCGCGAGGGCGTGCGGTGGCAACGCGGCCAAAACAGCCGCAAGCGATTCGTCATCGAGCAGCGTGTGCGTCTGCCCCGCAATCGGCAAGTCTCCCAGAACGTCAACCCCGCTAGAATCATCCTGATCGTGCTCAAGAGTCGTCCGCGGCGGCGGAGGGTGGGCTGCAGAATGGCGGCCTTTGGTGAACATGTGCCGGTGAGATGCGTCATTGTTGATGGGCGTTGCTGCCATCCACCACAACGCCATCAGATTGACTGCCACCATCGCGGCAATGAACAGCACAAAGGCAGGCGACCGGCACCTCGGCCGTGGTTGCGCCACGCGGACGGTCCGAATCATGCTGCTGCTGCTGCTGCTGCTGCTGCTGCTACTGCTTTGAGAACGAGGCCTGCTTGATGAATTTGACACGTCTGTCAAAAAACAAAAAACAAATGTATGACGACTGGATCTAGATCCCGACGCAATTGGACTCAAACCAGATCTCTCGATGAAATTTGTTTTTTGCTTTCTTCATCATTATCTGTGACACGCAAAGGGAGGAATCGTTAGATATGAAGTGCATTGAGCGCTGAGCGAGCAGAGTGGCACAGAATTATCATAATCGTCTTGTTCTTCTTCTTCTTCCTCCTCCTTTTTTGAATTCTCACAATCACAGTGAAAAGGTGATTGTATTGTGGCAGCAATACACCAAAAACCAAAACCAAAATCAAACCCCTCCCCCCTTTTCAAAGCATGGGCATCCAACCAATGTACATCTGGCAGAGTTTAACCACATCGGTCGCTTCCAGCAGCAAGTCGTCGACTTGGCCTTCGATGGAGAGCGGCATGGAATCGCTTATGCGTCCTTGCAGGCGATTTACAATCGCGGTGATGGTTTTCAGGGCCTCCTCGTTCGGATTTTCGCTGCTGGTCGAAGCAGAGTTGGCACCGGCGCGATGCGCCTGCTGCACTTTGCCTTGAATGTTGCCCCACTCGACGAACGGGTCGTAGATGCACGTCCGGAGCACAGACATGAGCGTGTCGCACTGGTTTCGCAGCAGCCGGAGGGTCACTTCGCAAGTCTTGCGGAAGACGCCTTCGTACCCAGTCATCCCCAGCGCCTCGACAAGATTGGGCGTCAGCCGGAACGGCACCTGCTCGGCTGTTTGGAACTGCTTGCCGCGCTCAAACAGGCAGTTGAAATCAACGTGCACCGCCTCGCCAGTGCTCGAGTCAAACAAAATATTCTCTCCATGCCGGTCACCCAAGCCGACAATGTAACCGACCATCGACATGACGGCCAGCGTGCGTGCGTACGCGAGACGGGCGGCATACCACGCCAGCGGATCCGGAAACATGGACAAAAACCACGCGCCAAACACGGGGGGAAAGCACGGCAAAACCTCCTTAATGTACAGCACCACCCGAACGGCGGGGTCGTTAACATTGGCGCCGCCGACGCGACGCGGATTGAACACGGTCTTCCAGAGAGTGGAGGCAGATGTGTACTGCTTGCGTGTCTTGTAGATGCGCTGCAGAATAAACCGAAAGCCCTCCGTATTCTGCACCCACTCAAGCAGGCCGCACTCTTCGTTGAGCGGCACGACGGCGTACGTGCGAATGCGCAGCTGACGCTGGCGAGTGTCGGGATCGCGCTTGAGCAGCTTGTTGACCATGGTGTTAAACTCCATCACGCGGCAGTCCTTGCGCAGGTCGTCCTTCGGCTTGGCCAGGTAAAAGTAGCGCTTTCCGTCGCTTGCAACAATGGTGACCTTGCGAGGACGCTGCAAGGAGCTGAGAACCTCAACTTCATCTTCAACTTTGACAACATTTGGCGTGGAATCGGGAAAGGGCGAGAACTGAACATTGCTGCCCGTGCCAGACATTGTTGCAGACTGCGGCAGGGTGGCCGAGAGCGAGGACTGCAGCGGTAACAGCACATCCTCGCCGCAAAACTCGGCCAGCTCTGGACAAGATTTGGCCAAGGAGAAGCTCGTGATGGTGGAGCGCGTGAGGTCAATGTTGCACAACCGAAGCAGGGCGTCGGTTAGCGTCGAGTACGTCTGAACAAGAGGAGCAAAGGACACTGACGCCAATCTAGCTCCTGACTGTTGCTGCGCAACAGTAGCAGCGACGTGACGGTTGGGCGTGGAACGACCGCGACCGATACTGCCAGTAGCGGCGCTTGTTGTTGTCGCCTCCTCGGCAGAAACGTCAGGCTGCGTGGCAAAACGCTTGAGAATCTCAAGGCACCGGGTCGACCGCTGCCTATGCGTGGATTTGGAAATGGCCATCATGTACCACAGCCCTTGTGCGGGATAGGCTCGCAGGACTCGAAGCAGGATGGCCTCCAGCACACGCATGACGCTCGTGCTCGAGTGGCAAATGCGCGAAACGAGCTGGGAGAACACAATGTAGAAGAGATATGGTGGGATTCGGTCGACCGATCGACGCATGATGACATTGAGGCGGTGAAGGGTCAGCGCGGGCAGCACGTCCGGAGGGGTTTTCGGGAGTTTCTCTGGCGGCTCGATACCATCGACAATCAAGTCCATGACGGCCTTGTGGTCCTTCTCGAGCGCCATCATGCGCGAATCAGACACCTTGGCGCCGAAATCGAGCCAGAGCGAGAGCATGCGCGGCAGAGATTGGAAAACGTACTCGTTGCCGTACATTAGCGAATGGCTAAAGTTGTGCAGAATGTGCGGGAGACAGCCGGACATTCGCAAGCTTTCCGACTCTAGAATGGCGTGATAAAACTGGCCCAAGAAGAAAAATCCCTTCTCCCACCGCGGCTGCATGCTAACCACCTTGTTGTACTGGACGATAATGCTGTTGACTTGCGTCTGGGCCGTTTGCTGCATCCATCGGCCCTCCATGAGCAGCGTCTTGGCTTCGGCAAGCTTGTCGTCGCTCGTCACGGTGCGCAGTAACAGCTCGGCCGCAGATGCCGCAGCGGAATCGCTTGTGCTCTTGTTGTAGTTGGCGGAAGATTGCAGACGTAAGCCCTCCATGAAGCGGTCCCTTTGCAGCCCGCTCAAAGCCTGATGAAACTCTCCGCGCGCCCACAGCACCTTGGCCTTTTCCAGGTAAATGTTGGGCGTGCCGACAGCCGTGGCATGTGTAATGGCACGCGAAGCCGTTTGGAATAATCTTGCCCGTCGCGCAACTTTGGCACTTTGACGCCAGCATTCGCCAATGTCTGTCTGGGAAATTAGACGAGCTTCTCGGTGCACATCCACGGCCATCGGTAGCTGGCTCGCTGCTGAGAGCATGGTAGCAGCAGCAGCAGCAGCAGGAGCAGGAGCAGCAGACAGAGAAACTCGCTCGTTCATATAGTTGCGCTTGAACGATCGCGAGGCCTTTTGACCACCACCAGATTGAGCATCCATGAGCAAAGACAGCAACGTGCGCCGCAGATTGAGCAAAGGCTCGCGTGCTCGGTACCCAGGCTGCGTGAGACGGACCCTAGCATCCCAGTTTTCCAGCAGTCTGTCCGCATTGACGAGCGCCGTCGCAGCAGTCGATGATGTTGGGGCAATGCTTTCCTCCGTCATGCGAAGAACGGGAAGCAAAGACTGCTCGATTTCGGTCAGCATGTGCAGCTGGAGAATGAGCGGATAGCCTCGTTGGTACGAGCCCGAATCCATGCGAACCGCCGCGAGGCCCGGCATGATGAGATTGCGAGTGGCCTCAAGCTCTGCCAAGAATTTCGGCGCATCAGACCGTCGGAAGTGCTGGAGAATTCGACCAACAGACACGTCAAAGCAAGTTTGCTGGGGAGCCGCCAGAAATTCGTCCATCGCCGACCAGTCGGCCAGACGCCAAGCGGCTTGCACTCGGTACGAATTTAAAGGCATGCACCACTCTGGGTGGGTGGTCAGCGCACCGTTGATGTGCATGATGGCTGTTTCAAACTGGCCCATGTTGAGCAAGCAATTGATAACGCCGCGATGCTGCGTCAACTCCGCCGCCGTCAGCTCGTTGTTGGCCAGGGTGGAAGTGCTGGTGGGGTGCAGTGCAGGCGCATCCTCCTCCGGCTCGTCAGTGTCCATCAGTGCGGATTCAGCCAAGGACGAGGCCGGAGCAGCAGTGGCTTGTTGGCTGTAGGATTTTCGATGAAGCTCGCCAAGCGCCTGCTCTCGCAGGGAAAGCGCTGCAGTCCAGTCGCCCGCGCTCTCTTGCTCGAGCACCAATTCTTCGATACCAGCGGCATTGAGTCGGATGGCATTGACACCGGCCAATTCGTCAGCTGCATCCAGAGCGGCGTACAACTCTTGCAGCTGAGGCAGATGGCTCTGCAACGTCTGGTCCATCATCAGCACCGTGGTTTTCGGCACTCCATGCAGGTTGTTCAGAACAGTATACAGGGCAGACGAGGTTGACAAGGTCGATGAAGACGCCGTCCCGCCGCTGGTGCCGGGTGCGCCTGACGCCAATGCGCTTTGGTTGGAAGCCTTCGCTGCTTTCGCAGCGTCAATCATCGACGCCCTCGCCGTGCCAACCTCTTGCTGGACATAAAGCTCGTACGTCATGATCGCTCGCGCATAGTCTCGGCTGGCGCGCGCTGCGTGGGACATCAGATTGAGCGGAAGTGCCGCAAGAAACTTGTCAATGTGCACAAAGAGCCGTTCTCCAAGGTTTGGATCGTCGAGCCTGAGCTCAGGGCAATGGCCGCTGCTCCTCTTTCGAACCCACAGAAGGATTGGATCGAGAGCGGCAAACAAAGTCTGGACGCACATCGACAGCGACGCGGGCAGCGGACCAGAAGACGACGACGACGCGGCAGCGTTCAGGACGGCAAGCGCTTCGACTTTGACCTCGTTTTGACTGGCTTCGTTTCCGAAAAGCAGGACGTTCGCGACAAGGGTTGGCAGCAAAAAGACAGCCGTCTGTACGTCGTCCTTGATCACTCCGCGGCATGCTTGAAGCAAGGCAAAGCCGGGCGCCATTGGCTGGATGGCCTGAAGGAGCTCGTCCGCCCAAAAGCCGACCCAAGCCGCGTAGGCAATCGAAGAATGGTAAATGCTTCCATTGCTACTGCGCCGCGCGCGCTTGCGTGTGGACTTGAACACGTAGGTTGTTGACAGGTAGGGCTGGACGATGATTCGATCCTGTGGCGTCAGCTTTTGCCACGTCGCGGTGCCAATGAGGCCGGACGCAGAGTCGGGGTAGAGGCGTTGCCGACACCACTGCAGCACTTGTTGAATGGCACACGCCGCACGATCTTGGATGGGCGCGGACGTGGCGCCGAGGAAAACCTTCACCAGACAATCGCTCAAAAGTGCAACCGCAAAGCTGTCGTCTCGGAAGGGCACTTCGGGAAGTTTGATGACGGCGTCTGCGGCGGATATGCGCCCTGCAATCGGAGCAACAGTGCCAGATGCGTCCGCCGAGCTGACCAGGTTTGGCTTGGAGCGAAACAGGGATGTCGGGATGCTGACGCGCGCTGGATCAACGGCGCCGAGAGCTCCCACACATTCGCCCACAAGCAGTCTGACAGTGGGGCTCGAGTCCTTGCTGGCTTGCATCAGCACAGCCACAATGCGGGACAATGCAATGTCACGAGATGACGTGACTTCCGTCGTTGTCGCGGCCATCTCGGCAAGGGTGGCTGCATCCGCCGTAATGTCATCGCCGAGATGCTGGCCTGCCGCCAGAAATGAGCGCAGTCGGACCAATGCTCGAGCACGCACAATCACATTCTCGTGCGCAACGCCCTGCAGAAGCAGCTGCACACGCGCGTGTCGATCCACGTGCAGATTGAGCGCCTCGCATTCTCTTCGCATCACTGCATAGACGCCCTTGAGTCGCTCGGTGGTTTCCTTTGGCAGCAACGCGGTGACGGCGTCGAGGTGGCTGGCAGCAGATTTGCCAGTGTTGCTGATGGCGTTCCCCTTGGCCCCAGCAGCTGCAGCAGCTGCAGGAGTGTGCTGCGTGGCGTCAGTTGTCATAAAGTCGTCCAACGCAGCTTCTCGGTTTTGCTGCATCGAGAATGGGGTCGCCAAACCAGCGGCCAGAGTGTTGCCGGGTGCCGATCCGTTTGTAAGCCCTCCGCGTCGGCCACTTGCGGCATGATTGTTCAAGCCGGGACGCGCGAAAGGGCGAGGTCCCGAAATGGCCGACGATGCAAAAAAGAGCAAGTGCGGGTGGGTTTGCTCCAACTCTGAGACTGGGGAAACAGGCGAGAGCAGCACAAACAACTTGCCCAAAGCTGGCCCAAAGCCCTGAGCGAGGTGCAGCACAATGCGCTCGAGGATGGTCGCCACTTCGACAGAGCATGCGTCCAGCATGGTGAGAAGTGTAAACACTGCGTGTTGCAACACGGCAGAGAGAGACTCAGGCTTGAGTGACTGCAGAAAGTAGCCCCACACGCGAGTGGCGAGCACCAGCTCGGCCTGGGTCTGTGCAGCCCGTGTCACTGCATTCAAAATGGACAAGAGTTTTGGCGTGCACGGCTGTAGGTTTTCTGGCAGCACAATTCGGAAGAGGGCGATGAGGCCTTGGAGTGCTCGTCTCCGCGCGGTTGGATTGGATGGATCTTCATTGTGCTTGATGAGCGGCTTTTGTAGCCGTGTGATGAGCATAAAGAGGAGCTCGTCGCACAAGCACGCGGCCAAAATTTCGTCGGGCTTGGAGGCCTTGGATTGCTCGATTCTCGCTCGCAACTTGGCGTTCGTGGTTGTCGAATTGTGTGCAGACGGTGCAGAGCCAGCAGCGTACTGCAGAAACGTGGCAAGAGCAGCGATAGCCTGTGTGTGTGTAAAGGCAACGTTCAGCGCGTAAAATTCACAAGCTCCGCAGGTGAGCCAAAACGCTCAAACAAAAAACAACAGCAAAGAAACCGAGAAAAACACACACACACACACACACACACATACACACACACACACGAGAAAAACACACACACACACACACACACACACACACACACACACACACACACACACACACACACACACACACACACACACACACACACACACACACACACACACACACAATTAAAAAAAAGACAACTACGAACAATAAAACGGCATACCTTGCTGCTCAGCTGCTGAGGATCCATCCCATTCATGGCAAGACGGTCGCCCGCAAAACCATCGCCAACTAGCAGCACAGTTTGATGAAGCAGACTTTCGAGAGAGCTGGAAATCATCTGGTTTTCAGTCACAACGTCGGGAATTTCCTGCTGCAGAAACCTGCGGGCCTCGTCACGCTCCGGAGGCTCAAGTAGAAATATGCGAGCCAGAATGTGCTGGAGCTTGGACTCGAGCACCAGGCTCGGGTGTGAACCGCAAAGCTGGCTGAGTTGGTGCAAAGCTGCGGACGAACACTGCTGCACGATGGCCGGCAGCAGGTGACGCCTCGCCTGCCATATGAAGTTCGACGGGGTCGTGTCACATAGCTCTGCCAGCAGCTTGATTGCACTCATCGGCGAGGTCTCGTTGAGCGACAGGGACGTGACTTCGCCGTTGACAGCATCCGTCACCGCGCTTGAAGCATTCGAACTCGTCCAAGCCCCGGCCAGCACAGGAATGAGAATGACTGCGATTCGATTCATGTAGGGCTTGAACAAGTCATAGACGGCAACACTTCTAGCTTCAGCGACAGTTTTTATCTGGTTAGGTGTGCCAAAAATGAAAAGGAAACAATTTGAAATAAGGTGAGTAAAATGACCATTATTGGCGTTCAGGATGGAATGAGTGAGGAGAGAAAGGTTGTTGGCTGGCAACTCACTTGTTCGTAGGCGGTGGCGCGCAGCTCTGGCACCTCGTGGGAAAGAAATTCGACGAGCGAAATGAGCGCAACCACCAGAAACTCGCCCTCGGCTGCCTGTGCGAGCTTGCCCACGGTGTGGATCAAGCCTCGGGCGCGATGTCGCGTTTGCTTTATTCGCGCGTCGACGTCTTGCGAGCCGTCGCGCAGGGACGACTCTGCGAGCTGGATGTTGTGCTTGGCGTCCTTGAGTTCGGTTAGAATGCGCCGATGCATTTGGGTATGCAAGAAGGACGCGGGTAACAGTGATGCACGCGCCACAAAGCGTTGGAGGACATCACTGTCAGAGGTAACAAAAATCATCAGCCTTGCAGTTGGAAAACTCTGAACAAACATCACACGCACTCACATAAAAGAAAATTGCCTTACCTCATGGCCATTCTGACGTCAGTGGACTCATCTTGCACATACTGAACTGTGCTTAGGACGGCACCGAAGGACGAGAGAGCCAAGACATCGGAGATGGAATTGGTGGTGGTGGAGGAATTGGCTGGAGACGGCGCAGACACGCTCGCATGCAGGCGTTCTGCAAGCGTGCTTGTCATCAGCTCGTGGTCACGCGTCATGTTGGCGTGCTCCAGAATGCAGACAACAAGCCGCAACGTGTGCGTGCGCAAGTGCACTGGGAAGGCCGGCTTGACAAACGGCAGAAGCGTCAGAAGGTCCTGCAGTCTGGTTTTGGAAAGCACCTCTGAAATAACATGAGCTTGCTGAAGACGAGCAATTGCTGTCAGAGGCGGCACGACAGAGCGGCGAGATGGCAACGCCAAGCCAAGAGCGGTTGGGCGCAACCGTGAGCTGGACGCCTTTGCCTGGCGCTTCTCGCAGGTGAGACAAGTTGCGTGAAACTGCAAACAGGATGCGCGAAGTGCAGGACGAGGCGCGGAACCAACCACGCAGAGAAGCTGACCAATTGCGCACGCTGCACGTTCAGCGAGCGCCGAGAAGGGCGCAGTGCACGCTGCATCCGTCCAAACAGCGGCAGGTGCTGCAGTGCAAACAGAAACAACAACGCCCAGTGCATCGAGCAAGCCTGCAATGGACGTACACGCAAGAGAGGCAGCCAGAGTCGCATTGGTGGCTGGCCCTGCAGAGGTGGAGGTGGCGGTGGAAGCGACAAAAGTCCGCATTGGCAGTGGCGAGCGCCGAGGATCGGTTGGCGCAACACATGGATGCGAGGGCCACCAGTGCCGCAAAGAAACATCCACAAACGGGAGCGCTAGAGCTACGGTGGCCTCGCAGGCAGCACTGTGAGCGGCGGAACGCTCGGCCAGCAAACCAGCCGAGCGCACCGCACGAGCAGCGAGATCGAGCCGAACGGCAGGATAGTGGTCGATTGGCGCATCGCACACGAGCCTCAGCACAGCATTGACCACACTCTGCCACAAAAAGGCGAGGTCGAATGCGCCAGGCTGCAGGTGCATCCCCTGCTGGCTGCTGCTGCTGCTGCCAACACGAGACGGCCAGTACGACTCTGTATCCAGCGTAGCGAGGCTCTGTCGGCGAAAATCAAGAGTCAAAAGATCTCGAACATGCTGGGAAGCGGCAAACAGGCCCTCTCGGTCCCTGGCAAGCTCAGTGCTCCAGCGCTGCGCGTCCGGCTCGGGTAGGTTTGTCGGCATTGTTGATTTGAGAGGGAGAGGCACGAGCGTGGCCAGCCATAACATTGAGTTTCGAAGCTCGGGCTGCTGCGGCTGCGCAAGAACCAGGCTGCGCATGGAATCTAGCAAGGAAATGACAATCGCAGCAAGGCTTCCCGCGGTGCTCGCGTAGGCCGACGCGACGTGCCTCAGAGCCAATTGTGCCGGAGTATGGCATCGTGTGTACTCCAGCAGAGGGGAGGTAGTAGCGGTGGGCACCCTCTTGAAAATATCTGACTCGGCGTCCCGCGCATGCTGAATAATAAATAAAAACACGGGAAGAGTCGCCATCCAAGTTTTGATGACGCAATAGCATTGAGCTGTGGAAGGCAAAGCAAGGGGAGTCGCGGCCAACGTGGCGCACAACAACTCGACGTTGGCGGCCGCTTGTACCGACTCGACTGGAACTGTCGGGAAGAATGCCGAGACAGGCGCCAGCAAGCCGTCGGTGGGACCGTTGTTGCTGTTGTTGTTGGCGTTGTTGTTGCTGGGGGAGCGGTGGCAGGGAAACTCGCCGAGCTGCAACTGAATGCGAGCTGCAAGGGTCGCGAGCTCGGTGCAAACTTGGTCGAGAAGAGGGGCAGAGGGGTCCAACACAAGAGCGACAGAACCGTTGGCTGTAGCCGCAGACAACGCCTGCTCCGACACAGCCTTGTGCGGTGAGACGGAAGCACTGCGCTGCTGGTGGTGGTCGTGCGCTTCAGGCTCGGATCGCCGGACACGTTTGTGTTGCGATCGACCAATCGTCAGGTCGCTGTCTGCAGCAAGGGTGCGACTTGCGATTGCCTGCTCCACCTCCAGGCATGAGGCAAGAAGCTGCGCGGCCGTCCGTTGGCTCGAAACCAACCAATGCTCTTGGGCAAGAACGAACAGGCTGGAACCGAGCCGCGAGAACGCCTCGGACAATGCGAGGGCGGCAAACTCTGCAATGCGCAGGGAAGATGCATCATTGTCAGCGCTAAAGTTCCCCGGAGACGCAACGAGACTAGCGCAGACAACAGGTGCCAGCTGGCCGATCAGCTGTGTAGTTGTCACACGCAGGTCGTCGAGAAAGGGAGCAACCACTTGCAAAGACATCTTGAGCTGTGCCAGAGCACGGCTGTCAGAAAGGACGGGAACGTTGCAAATGATGAAAACTAGAATTGGAAACAGCTCGCCGGAAGTCAGCTCTTGGAGAACGAGATTGGGTTGGGCAACGAGGATGGAGTGCAGGGTGTGGACGAGCGTGCCTGCTGAGGACTGCGTGTCGGCGGCTGACGAGCGCGCGTGGCCTGCGTTGTCGGACGCTGCAGGAGTGAGAATAAGCTGCCAACACGGGGCTGGCTGGGTGGGCAATGGAAGAGCCAAGTCTGCAATCCATTGTCGTGTTAACAAGATGACGGCGCGAGCAACCATCACAGCAAGAGCTCGCTGCGACAAGAGCGTGACTGCCGCGGGCATCATCGCAGCCAGACCGTGCCCTGCTGCAAGTGCAAGGCTGAACATGGACGGTGGAGTGGCGTATGGCAACGGGCTCAGCGCCGAGATGATAGTGGTGCAAAAAGTGCGCAAGAGCCGCGGGGCAAAATCGGCCAGAAAGTGGGTCGAGTGCTGCGAGATGCGTGTCAGGACTCGAAACATGCCGCATTGTAGGGCGATTGCGTGATCCGTGGTGGGAAGATCAATGACGAGACCCTGTTGCCCTGAACCTGGAAGCGCGCAAGACTGTGCAAACGTGCAAAGACACAAGTCGGAGTACTCATCATCAGGCTGCTGCAAAAATGTGTCCAGAATCGTGTTGAGATCTGGGGGGAGAATCAAAAAAAAAAAAAAAAAAAAAAAAAAAAAAAAAAAAAAAGAGGATGGACCGGAAGCAGCATGGGTGAGACGTCAAACGAAAGAGCCAACTCAACAGAATACAAGACAGCAACACAGACAAAACCTACCATCCATCATGTCGATGGCTTCGGCAATCAGTTGTCGAAAATGCATGAGACACTTGTTGCGAAGCAGCTGAAAGATGGCCACAAGAGTATTGACGAGATCGTCAGCCACCGCACCCCATTGAGGCTCGGCCAACGCCGTGAACAAGCGGCCCATCAAGACGGCAAGGACATCCAGATGGTCGCGAGGAATTGGCACAGTTTGCCCCACCATGAGGGATGAGGATCCAGCCGGTGGATGGGCAAACTGAGCCAAGCTTTGAAGAGTTGCTCGGTGCACATCCATCGGCGGTAGCTCGGTCACAGGCAGTGCAATAGCAGCAGTCGCGTCGTCAGGTACGAACGTTTGCGGCAGCTGCTCGACAAAGTGCTGCACAATCCGCAATGTCAAAGTGGCGGCTTCACCTAGAGTTTGACCGTAGCATTACGGCATACGAACAAAACAAAATCAGAAAATGTGATGTCGAGGGACAGAAGTGTTTCAAATGTGAGTCGAGAACAGAGTGTTTCAGAGACTGGCCAATTTTTCCCGCCAAAATTGTTAGCTGCGTGGCTTTGATCCCGACATCCGACCCTCACCGCCCACCATTCAACAAGAACACGGCTTGCGTTTCAAATGCACTCAACGCGGCGAATGGCGACCAACAGCGATCGCGAACGCGAGGATGGGGGGGGGAGCCTTTGAGCAACTGCGTGCGACGAGGTCATCGCTTTGCTTTGCTGCGACGGGGACGACCATCCAACCCAAGCGCCCAGCAATAGCAGCAACAGCAGCAACAGCGCAGAGAGTTCATCGAAGGAATTGGCAAAATGGATGGACGCACTGGATGGAAGGACGAGGTACGACTTGACAGCCGCAATCAGACTCTTCTGGTAGTGCTGCAGGAGCCCGCGGTACTGCTGCGTGCTCGTCGCTTGTTCGAGCGCAGGCTGATCGAGCAGAATGTCGAGCAGCTGGTCGAGCGTCAAGTGCTCGGAGCGATCGTCGCTGCCAGTGTCCATGGCGCGTGGCAGAACGGCAGCAAGCTCAGAAGCAGCCATTGGACGACAGAAGCATGACGACTGGTCTGAGTTTTTGAGTTTGGAGTTGGGGGTTGGTTATTTTTTCGGTTTGGGTGGATTGTACATGCATGTATGCAAAGTGACGATCAGTATTGAGTAAAACTCGTGCGAACAGCTTGAAACGGATGTTTGAGACGGGTAATGGAGGAACATGGCACCGTTTACACCTGTCCGCGAGACCTATTTGTTACGGCAACCGGAGAATCTCTGAGAATGTGGTGCTCGACAGCACCAATGCTGCAGTCTTCAGACGAGAGCAAGGTGGACCTGTTGCCGATAATCGGGCTGCTGTATTTCAGCCTGATGTGGGCTGTTGCGAGATGGCATGGTGCAGCAATTGCTGTACAGTGAAGGCCGGTGACACGAAGCTGGACACGGTGAGAAGCTTTCATGTTTTGAAAGCAACGGGTTTGCACCCAAACATTCCAATAACTGTCGTTAGACAAATCCAACATAAAGCGATTCAAACTGCACATCGGAGGGAGACTTGCTGGCTCGAACTTGAACCTGCCAACCCGCGCGCATTTGTCGGATGACAGGATGACTCGCTGGCAAGATGGTCACAAGCTCGAGGTTCGAATCGACGACAGTCGGGTGCACAGCCCATTCGTACTGAACATCACCTTGTTCATCTTGGACAGTCAAATCGAAAACACAAACACCGGTGTTGTCAGGACGCTTGCGCCAGTCACGAAGCACTTGAATTGCTTTCACACGGATTGAATTTCCTTGAGGCACGGTGACTTTCAGAACGCGGTCGGGGGTATCGACATGAAAGTATTCTCGTTTGGCATGCTGCACGCCTTGCCAGTAGTGCGCTTTGTCCATAATGAGCTCGGCAATCTCGGCTGGCAGTGCTGGTAGAGATGTGGGTTGATCCTCCAGCGCCAGCCCGCTGGCCAGCAAGTGAAACACGTTGTGAAGGTCTTCAGCAGTTGCCAATCGTGGAAGCAAGGAGAATGCAAGAGGGTTGATCTGCTTGTCGATCCTGCGCACGAACAAACAAAGTGAATGAGCACTCAGCAGGGTGACTCCTTTGGTTGGAGCACAAATCGTTCGGACAAACAACGAACAAAAGTGTCTTCAGAATACGGTTGACTTGACGCGCTTCACCAATCGCTTGAAGACCAGCCTTGCCAATGAAATTGAATCGTATACTATCGCTTAAAGAGTGAGCAAGGTATGTCTGAGCCTCGCCCAACGACCGAGACCAGCAAGCAAAGCGCACAGCAACTTACTCGAGCCACCACAGCTGTTTGTTCACCATGAGTGCTTCAGCAATTGCCTGCGCTCCAATGTCACCAATCTGATTGCCTCTCAGACTGTCCATCTCCTCCATCAGTGAGCACTCTGTGTCATCTGCGAATCATTCACTCACATGCATCAGTCCAAAGAAGCTGCCTTACTCGAGCTTCTCCAGCGTCTTGTTCACTTTGAGTGCCTCAGCAATCGCGTGCGCTCCAGCATCGTCAATCTGATTCTGATACAAACTATCCATCCCCGCCGTCAGCGAGCACTCCGAATACCTTCTACTTGACCACCCGCTCACATGCATCAGTCAAAAGAAGCTGCCTTACTAGAGCTCCTTCAGCGTCTTGTTCTCTCTGAGTGCCTCAGCAATGGCCTGCGCTCCAGCATCGCCAATCTGATTCTGATACAAACTGTCCATCCCTCAGTGAACCACCCTTGCAGTCCCTCTACTGAAATCACCCACTCACATCAAAGTGAGATAGATGATGCCTTACCTGAGCACAGCCAGTGTCGTGTTCACCTTGAGTGCTTCAGCAATCGCCTGCGCTCCGGCAGCGCCAATCTGATTCTCTCGCAGGCTGTCCGTCCCCTCCGTTCGTGAGCACTCGGACTGACCTCTACTGGATCACCCACTCATAAGCACCAGTAGATGCGAATTGACTGACTTGAGCTCCTTCAGCGTCGTGTTCACTTTGAGTGCTTCAGCAATGGCACGCGCTCCAGCATCACCAATCTGATTCTGTGGCAGACTGTCCGTCCTTCGTCGTCAGTCCACTGCTGGATTACCCACCCAACAGCACAGATGCCATACTTGAGCCCGGTCAGCGCCGTGTTCACTCTGAGAGCCTCAGCAATCACTTGCGCTCCCGCATCGTCAATCTGGTTCTGGTGCAGACTGTCCATCCATTTCGTCAGTACACACGCCGTCGCACTGTCTTTTCAATCAGCTCGGCTTTTATCTTACATGAGCCCTCCACTCGCATTCTTGACCTTGTCATACAACTCTCGCTCTCTATCAACCATGCTTTGCATCGTCTTCGACAGCTTAACAAGGACTGGCACTAATCCCAAAGCGACTCCATTTCTGAGTCTTGATTGTTTCCAGATTCCGTGCTCGGAATTCATTTTTTCTTAGACATAGCCAACATAAAGCGATTCAAACACTACATCTCGAGAAGACTTGCTGGCTCGAACTTGAACCTGCCAACCCGCGCGCATTTGTCGGATGACAGGATGACTCGCTGGCAGGATTGTCACAAGCTCGAGGCTCGAATCGGCGAGGGTCGGTTTCACCGAGCATTCATATTGAACAGCGCGTTGCTCATCTAGGACAATCAAATCAAAGCGGCTGCTGCCGTTGCTGTCGAAACGGTTTCCCATGTCACGAAACACCTGAATTGATTTTACACGGATTGAATTCCCATTGACGCCTTGAGGCAGTGTGACTTTCAGAATATGCTCGGGGGAATCATCACCAAACCGTGATCGCTTGGTATGCTGCACGCCTTGCCAGTAGTGCGCTTTGTCCATAATGAGCTCGGCAAGCTCGGCTGGTAGTGCTGGAAGAGAGGTGGGTTGATCTTTCAGCTCCTGTCCGCTGGCCAGTAAGTGAAACACGTTTTGAAGATCTTCAGCAGTTGCTAATCGTCGTGGAAGTAAGGAGAACAAACGAGGATGCACCTGCCGATCGATTCTATGCAAGCAAGGTGAATGAGCACTCAGCGGAGCAACTCCTTTGGTTGGAGCACAAATCGTTCGGACCAACAAACCTACCCAACGTCAGTCGAAGCACGGTTGTCTTTGCGCGCTTCATCAAACGCTTGAAGACCAGCATTGCCAATGCAATTTAGTTGTAGGCTGTCGTTTCAAGGGTGAGCAACGTATGGCAAATGAGCGAGACCAGCAAAGCATAGTGCGCAGCAACTTACTCGAGAAACCCCAGCCTCGTGTTCACTTTAATTCCTTCAGCAATCTCCTGAGCGCCAATGTCACCAATCTGATTCTCCCGCAAACTATACGTCTCATTCATCAGAGAGCGCTCTCTTTGCTCTGTGCTGCATCGCCCGCTCATATGCATCAGTCAAAAGAAGCTGCCTCACTCAAGATAAGTCAGTGGCGGGTTCACTTTGAGTGCCTCAGCGATTGTCTGAGCTCCAGCATCGCCAATCCGATTCCGGTGCAGACTGTTCACATTCCCTCCATCGGTGAGCACTCTGAATGTCATCTGTTGAATCATTCACTCATACGCATCAGGAAAAGTGAGATGAATTACGAGAGCCAACCCATCTGTGTGTTCACTTTGAGCAGTTCGGCAATCGCATGCGCACCAGCAGCGCCAATCTGATTCGCGCTCAGACTGCGAATGCCTTCCATCAGTGAGCACCGCATGGCCTCTGTTGCATCACATGCATCTGAGTTTCCTTACACGAGATATTTCAGCGTCGTGTTCACTTTGAGTGCGTCGGCAATGACCTGCGCTCCAATGTCACCAATCTGATTCTCACTCAAACTGTCCGTCTCTCCATCTGTGAGCACTCTCATTGCCCTGTGCTGCATCACCCGCTCACATGCATCAGTCACAACAAAGCTGCCTCACTTGAGAACTGTCACCGTCTTGTTCACTTTAAGTGCTTCGGCAATCGTGCGCACTCCAGCACTGCCAATCCCATTCACATTCAGCCTGTCCCCATCTCCTCCATCAGTGAAAACTCTATTTGCCCTCTGCTGAAATCTCGCACTGGTACGCACCAGGAACTCTGAGATGCCATACCTGAGCAGAGTTAGCGTCGTGGTCACTCTGAGTGCTTCAGCAATGGCCCGAGCACCAGCCTCACCAATCTGACAATAACTCAGTCTGTCCAAAATCCCCCCCCCACCTCCATCAATGAGCCACTCTTGCTGTCGTTCTACCGGATCACCCACTCACATGCATCAATCAAGGTGAGATGCCTTACCGGAGCTCAGTCAGCGTCGTGTTCACTTTGAGCGCTTCAGCCAAAGCCTGATCGCCAATCTGTTCCTGGCTCAGACTGCTCCTCCATTTCGTCAGCACACTCGTTGTCCACGCTGTTTCCGAGAAATTCGTCTTTCTCTTACACGAGCTCTCTTTTCGCATTGACTTGGTTGTCCAACTGTCTCTCAGTCATGCTCTGATAGGTCTAGATCCAGAAATGCCAACGCACGACTGACCCCTTCCCAAAGTAAGTATCCCCTCAAAGTGACTCAAATGCCAAAGCATTTCCGTTTCTTTGCCTCCATTCTTAACAGATTCGCGCTCGGAATTCATGTTCACTCAGTAGTTGGTGAGAGAGCAATAAAGTGATTGTTGTGGTGCTGAGCGCTGCTGTCCATCCAGATTTCCACAGACCGGCGCCATGCAACACTTGTTTATTTGCCTTAGCAATGTTTTTAGTAGATACTGGGGATGTGCATATCATGCTTTTGTAGCTTTTCCGGCCTATTTTCGCGCATCGCTCACATCCACTCGCACGTCCCAAGGCTGTTCTTTTCATTTTCTACTTGCGCATACTCTCCAACAAGGCTCAGAATCCAATAAAAGAGTCACAAGGGACCTTCCCTGTCACCCTGCTCTTGCCCGCACGATAAGCGCTGCTTGTTTTGGTTTCTTGAGGTTTTTTTTTTCCGTTTTGCTTAGATTTTCGTTTCAGTCTCCTGCTGTTTCAACTCCATTTCCGCCCTCCCCTCCCCCATCTCTTTCCGCCCTTCCCTCAGACCCCCTCTTTGCTTTCTTGCAATTCCACATTGTTCTCCAGCTCACTCTTCTCGTTCTATTGTAAATCCTGTTCTGTTCGCATTGTGTTTTTTTGCCTTTGAGTGCGGTTTTGGTCGACCACCTTTCCGGCTTTCTGTACTTCCGCCTCGGCTCCTTTCTCCTCAAACGTCCTTACGAGTCGGAACCGCATTGCCGATAGAGATGATAGCTCGTGGGAGTGCGGATAATGGTCCCAACGTCAAACAGCCGAAACCCGAAGCAAGCTTGTGTTGTTTGTTTGTTGTTGAGTTTTGCGGCGAAAGCGAGCGTCGGTTTGTCCTGCCTCAACACCCGCGCTCCTCCACCTGCGCCACTCGTCTGGCTCTGTTCCATTGCCGCATGTGTGTGAATGGTGTGTGAGATGGGGGAGGTCGAGAAAGTGACGCGTGTTCCAGTTTCGGCTCTCTCAGGCGCTCCAAAAAACCAAAAAACCAAAAAAAAAAAAAAAAAAAAAAAAAAAAAAAAAGGGCTGCGGTGTTTGGCCTTTTTGCTGTCTCGCCATTCGATTGTTGCCCTTGCTTTGTGCTCCTCGGTGGAGTGCGGGCGTCCCGGGCAACCAGGGACACGTGTGTGCTCTCACTGCTCGGTGTGGCTCCTCGGGTCGCGCGAGTGGGCTGCTGCGCTGCAGGCGGTCGGCCGAGTTGTGGTCTGCGCGAGCGAGGATTACTTATTTTTATTTTTCTTTTTATTTTTTATTTTTTATTTTTTATTTGTTTGTTTTATTGTGCTTTTCCATTGAAAAATTATTATTTTTGGTTTTTTTTTTTTTTTTTGTTTTTTGAGAAAGGGCAGAGCGGCAGAGCAGAGTGCTGTGGGCCTCGTTGCATCTCTCCTCCTTCTCCTTCTCCTCGTCCTCCTCTTTTGTATGCCATTCAAGTGCTGCACGGCGGACTGGCTCACGGTTGAAGCGAGAACAAACAAATCCCAAAAAACAAAAACACAAATTTTCGGCCATTCCGATCCATTCAATTGGAAACCGGTCATCGAAATTTGTGATCACTGATTCTTCGGCCGGGCTGCGCAACCCACTCCAACGGCTCGACTTGTGCTCGTATGCAGCTCCAGTGAAGCAGCGTCGCGGGGGTTTCACAAAGGCGCGACTTTTCGGGGGGGGGGGCGAGCGGATGCGGGTTTATGGGATTGAGCTCAGGTTGTTGCTCCTGGCACCCTTCGAGCCCTTAACACATCCTTTAATCTCCGTGTGGACAAAAAAGATGGTCTTACTTTGGGTTTAACCAACCAAAAAGCAGCGACACTTTGCAGCTCGTGTGCATGGCGATTTGTGGGCAGTTTGCTCGATTCTTTGCTTCTTGGGAATTGGCTTTGTAGTGCTTCTCAATCTTGCTGCTGGTGCCTTTGGGATGTCCTTTTTGTTCGCTTGGCATCGTTGCTCTGGTTGAAGTTGTGTGCTCACGCTGTGTGTTCCATCCTTTTTTTCGTGCTGCTTTTCGCATTTGACAGATTTTTCCCCATTCTTCCTTTTCTCTTTCTTCCACTCACTCGGCTGAGCGCTTCCATTTTTCTTCTTTCTTCTTTTTTTCTTCTCTTATCTTTTTCTTACTTTGTCTTTTTTGCCTTTTGCTGCTGCCCTGCCCTCGTGTGTTCAGGACTTTGCTCCGAAACCGCACCCAGAACCGCAGTTTGGCTTTTTTTTTTTTTTTTGATAATCTTCTCTCTTCTCCCCTGCCGTACGTAGGGGGGACCTTTCTCTTACTCGTTCGCTTGCGAGCTTTTTCGGCGTGGAAAGCACCTCAGCAACAAAAGCAACGTAGCCCGGAGTCTGTGCGGAGGTTTTCAGACTCTGTTTTAAGGGTTTCTCGCGCGATATCCATTCTTTCTTTTCTTCTTTGTTCTCAAGCCCCTCCCTTCTTTTCCATCGGACGCCACCCGCCGTGTTCACTTCCTAAAAGCCCCGAGTCTCTGCAAGTCCAGTCTTTCGTGTGAGGGGCACAAGCTTGAAGCGGCAAGTTCGCACCTCGTTTCAAAAAACCAAAAACAAAAAACCAAAAACAAAAACAAAAGCCGCCCCATGCCTGACAGTCCCACGGCGGTCCTGTCGCCGTCCTTCAACATGCTGTCTCCCATGAACACCAGCAGCAGCAGCAGCAGTAGCATCAGTGGTAGCAGTAGCAACAACAATCACATGGGCAGCCATCTCCATCACCACCCGCAGCACCTCGCAATGGCGTCTCCTTCAGCCTTGGGAGGCGGTTCTTTGTCGACGCACCATCTGCTGGCATCGCCCACCGTTCCCGTTGCTTCGCCGACCGCTGCTGCTGCTGCTGCTGCTGCTTCGTCCTCGTCCCTCTACCACCTGCAGCACCTGCACCACCTGCAGCAGCAACAACAGCAGCAACAACAACAACAACAGTCGCCATCGTCGCAGCGAGCAATGCAGCAGCAGATGCTGGTGACTGCGAGCAGCAGCTGCAGTTCGCCCAGCATTCCGACGATGCCAACCGCCGCTGCCGCCGCCTCGGCCGCCTCGTCCTCCAGCGGGGCAACCAGTGCCGCTGCCCTCGATAACTTCATGTCGTCGTCGTCGATGATCCTGCAGCCCTTGCCCCCGCTCTCCGTCCTCCAGCAGAACTACAACTTGCTCTCCAAGATGCTGCAAGCGCATTCGGTAAACCAAAAAAAAAAAAAAAAAAAAAAAAAATATTCTCTTACATTGAAAAACCGTTTCTTTACTTTTTTTTTTTTTTTTTTTTTTTTTACTTTTGACTTCTTCTTCACGATCTGAGTTTCCTGCGACACGTCTCGATGCTGAACGCTCGCTTGGTGGGCTGAGATGCTGGATCTGGGTTGAAGACACCTCGCTGCTTTCGACTTGTTTGAGAAAACGGCTCTTTTCGTGTGATTTTTCCAGCTTGTTTTGCTTTTTTCTTTTCTTTTTTATGTGCCGTGTCCCGTTCCAGTCGACGGCTGATTTGATGATCGATCGTGATGATGATCATGATTGGGAAAAAAAATTGGTTGGTCAATGTCTTGGCGATCATGTCTGCACAAAGTATTTTTTTGTGTGTGTCTTCATCGTCTTTCTGTGAGCTGCTGAGGCGGTGGCGTGTTGGCTGATTTTTTTTTAACATCTCTCTTCCTATGATCACGCGTGATATCGTGCATCACAGTGAAAAGATAACGGTCGCTTTTCTGTCATGCGCCATGGGTTGTGATGTTTTTATTTTTTTAAACGCCTCACGACGTCTGCTCTCTCACGTCGTGCGGATGCTCGCTCACTTCAATGCAAAACCTTTGTGTTCCAATCTCAAGCAGGACCACGATTCTAACGCATACACGGAAATCGCGGCGGGCTTACTCGCGCTGGAACAGCAAATCTCGCTTCTGCAGCGCTATCCCATGCACCAGCAGCAGTCCCAGCCGTCCTCTGCGAGCGAGACTGGCATCAGTGCTTCATCCTCAAACTCGTCCATCTCGTCGTACACCAACTTGCCCTTGCAAACATCGGTGGCGTCCTTTGCGAGCGCCAACTCGTTCCGACAGTCGTCGCAGCAGAATCTGGCCGCGCTGGCGTCTCCACGCGAGCACGCACTGCTCGATGGCATTGGCGCCATGCACATTGCCTCGCCCATTATTGGAGTGCAGCAAATGCCCAGCAGGCGCCCTTCCATCATGGAGGAAGAAGAGGAATCGGCTGGCGAGTCGTCGGCCACAGCCGCTCAATCGCAGCAGCCTTCATTGCAGCTGCAGCAACAACAGCAGCAACAACAACAGCAGCAGCAACAACAACAACAGCAACAACAACAGCACCAGACCCAAATAATGAGCGCGGCAGCCAAACGCTTGTCGCCAGGCACGATGCGACGTGCATTCAACGCCTCGCCCACAACGAGCATGACCATGAACATGGCTCTCTTGAACAGCCTTGGTCAAAGCGTGACCCCGCCGACCTCGGCGCCCATTGCCACATTCACCGCCACGCACTCTGTTGGATCGGCGCCGCCAATCTCGTCGTGCAACACGCTCATTGACGATGAAACGGCCATCTCGCTCACAGAACAGCTGCGTCAGCAGAATCAGGCCACCATGATGCAGGTGCACTTCCTGCAGCAGCAGCTCGCTGCCTTTGAAAAGCAAAAGCTGCTCCAAACCCCGAACGGCGCGCTGGATGCCTCGGCCTCGCCGCAGTCCATGACAAGCCCCATCATGTCTGGCATGGCTGGTAGCAACTCGAGTCTCAATAGCAATGGCAGCGCCAGCAGCAGCAGCCAGCAGCAGGCCAACAATCGGCGGCGCTTCAATTCCCTCGACTCGAACAAGCAGCCCGACCCCGCAACGCTCGGCCCTCACCCCGTCAGCATGTCCCCTTCTATGCAGCGACGCCAGCATGTCGTTTCTAACAACAACATGGCACCGCCGGTTGCCGGAATTCTCAAGCCGCCGCATCGCCGGCGTCGTGCCAACTCGGACACCTCCACCATGCAAGCGGTGGCAGAGTTTGCCAACCTCCCGCTCAAGGCACGCAATCTGCCTGCGTCCTTTTTCGAGCCCAAGGCGCGCCAGCGTCCCAATGCTTCCCAGTCCCTTGCCCGAAACAACAGCACGGTCAGCGCAACGGACGCCCAGCAGCTGCAGCAGCTATTGAGCCAAATGCCCGCCGGATCTGGCATTGTCATGCCACCTACACCCGCAGGCTCGACGCCAGACATGAGCTACAGCATGCCAGACTCTTCGCGCTCGTCCTTTACCACCACCGACGCGAATGGCGTGCAGATGATGATTAGCAGCACTGCGGTGGGTCACAATGGTGCCACAGTGATGCGTCGCGGGAGCTCGCCTAGCACACTCGGTTCCGGCTTGAGGAAGGCAGGGCCAGAGGATGCTGAACACCCGCTCGTCCGCCGCGCGTCTGGCTCCAACTCGCCCGGCATCGTTGGTCCCTGGGCAGGCAACGGCAACGCACGCGCACCGCTGCTGGGTTCGAGCGGCCCTGTCTCTGGGCGCCGCAGCTCTGCATCGTCCATTTTCCATGCCAACAATCATCACATGCAGGGTGCTACGTCCGGCACATCTTCTCCAACAGCCATTTCACCTTCCTTTTCGCAGTATGGTTTCCCCTCCACGGTCCAGACCATCCCGGAAAATGAGGTGAAGGGCCAGGACGAGCTGCAGCAAGTCTACCAATCCATGATTCAGGCGCAGCAGGTGCACCTGCAGCAAATTCAACAGCAACTGCCCCGCAACAGCACTATGGCGCAGCAGCACCAACAGCAAATCCAGCAACTTCAGCAGCTGTTGCAATCGCCAGAGTATCAAGCTGCATTCATGTATGGTCTAGCAACTGCCGAGCGCTCCGCCGAGTCACAGCCCATGGCCACGGACATGCAGGAGCAACTGCAATTTTTGCAACAGCTGCGACAGCACGAGGAGCAACAACAACAGCAGCTGCAGCAAGAGCAACAACAGCCACAGCTCTTGCAGCTTGAAGCCCCAGCAGCAAGCAACCAAGTGCTCAACGACCAAGAATCCGTCAATCAAATGTTCAAGGCTCTTGCCGAGCAGTTCCAACAGCAACCAGAGCAGCAACCTGAAATGTTGCCTCCGGTCTCCTTGGGGCAGCACGACTCGCTTCCAGGAGTTGACGCCGACATTGGCGATTCGGAACTCGCAGCCCTCATGGTCGATCCGGACCTGATGACTCTGCTCTCCGGTTCTACCGTGTAAATTTTCCCGGTCATCTACGTGATTTCCTCGTAGATTTTTTTTTTTTTCAAAAAACAAATTTTTTTGCTTGTCGATGAAATTTGAGTCTCTTTGAGGCGATTTGCGGGTTGGCTCTCTTAACCGCTTCAACGAGTTGTGAATCATTATTCCGTCGTGCGATTGTGTTTTGGTTTCCTTTCCCATCCTTTATTTCGAGCGGCTCATCTTGTTGCCCATTCTCTTCTTCTTCTTCTTCGTCTTTGGTGTGTTTTGTCGGATTGAGTGATGTTTCGTTCTGTTTGTTTCCGTGCCCATTGTTACGCTTTGTTTTGTTCTATCAATAGATTGTCAATCTATTTGAAACTAATACAAAACCATAACTATCAAGATCACTATGCACTCATCACGCTCGCCTTGCGACGCCTGAGTGTCATGAGTTCCTTCAGTAGGCCCAACGCTTCGCGGCATCGGTCTCGAACGTGGTCTAGGTCATGCTGAGTGGGTCCGAGCAACACAGTAAGGTGGTTGGTGAGCATCCATGTTTTGTTCGACTGCGAGACAGAGGGCCAATACAACAAACCTGCAAAACGTGCGCTCCAAGTGTCGAAATCACAACAAGCTCCCGCATGCCGTCGCGCGTCAAATCGACATATTCGAGGCAATAGACTGGACGCGCAAATCCTCGTCGCCATACTCTCGAGTATTCTGGGACTCCGTCTGCGATAGCAAGAAGTGAAACCCATCATCAGTTTGCTTGGTTGACGGTGAACGAGTCAGCTCTGTCAACCAAGCAGACGTACCTTCATAGCCAATAATCTTGTAGCACAGCACCTGCTGCCCATAAGTGCCAAGCAGAAGCTCGTTTTGATGATCAAAATCGACATCTGCGACGAGCGAGCACAGCGTTGCATCAAAAAAGTCCGAGTCCGGCAGGACAATGGGACAGTCCAGGCCATTCTTTGACACGTCGCTGTATCGCACAATGCGGAGGTCAAGAGAGAAGTCGACAACAGTTAAGGCGGGAGGCGGGGGGGCTTCAAGTGAGCACAATGCCCGCGAAACTTTTCAGACATTAGCCGTTGCGTACAAGTATACAACAGCAGGGCCGAGACAACACGTCACTAGAAGCGAGATGGGATCGTCGCGTGGTTGCTCCAAATCTGATAAGAGTTTGAGAGAAATGAGAGAGGGTTGAGCAGGTGGGACCCTCAGCGCTACATGGAGGAAAAATCGGCATCGCCGCCACACCTTGAAGCTTTAAATCAGGGTGTACACCACTTGCTCTGCGCTCCTGAGAGCGGGTGGTGAACAATTTAACGCTAGAAATCGGTCCATCGAACGATACCGAAGTTACAACTGCGGAAACAAGCCCAGAATCGTCAGTGCAGGGGCGATTTGCATAATAGGTGAGAGTTTTGTTTTGTCGTCATTCGCTGTTTACATTGTGCAGGACTGGAGCTCGCGTCAATAGCAGATCGGCAAAGCTGCACATGGCCGGATTGAGTTCCAAAGGCACACATGCGTTCGCTCCCCGCGGTTTTCAAGTCCAACGTCGTGATGCTGCGCGCGCAAGCAAGTGGGTGGGGGCGGGGTCAGCAAGAGTCCAGCAAAACGTGATTCGTGACTTTACAACGGAAGGAGAAGGAAGAACGAAACAAAAAGGGACCACCCATACTTGGAAAGAATCGGACCGGAAATGGACGAAAAATCAATCGCGCCCGACTCGTAAAAGGTTGAGTTGGTGCTGTCTTCGCAAAAGATGTGCATCTTGCCATCGCTCCCGCCCAGGAGGAACACGGTCTGACTCTTGCCATCAATAACCAATCTAACAGCGTGGGTTTGTGTGATGAGTGATATATCCACCGCATTCGCGCATCAAGGAGACAACAACCAGAACAAAAACCACATACTCTGTGTGTTGTAACTTGAACGGAGTGAACATGATTGGAATAGCCTGGCAATCACCTGCACGACGCAATCCGATGACAAAATCGCCCGTGAGCCGCTCTCGCGTCACAGCGCGCATCGCTTCGAGAACGACAACACCACCAAACAACAAAAGATCCTACCAGCAAGCTTCTCAATGTCAACTGTCGGCGATGATCGGTGTGTAGTTGCTCCGTACACATTCAGGTACGATTGGCTTGGCAGCCCCTGCGTACTCGGCTACAATTTGACCCAGCAATCTCACACGTTAGAAATGGACGTACCACGCATAGTGAGTGAGTGAATCACAAAGTGGTGTGTAACTGTTACCTTGGTAAATGTGATTCCAATCGTAACGCCGGCAACCAATCCGGATCCCGTTCCTGATCCCGTTCCTGATCCCATTCCAGATCCCATTCCAGATCCCATTCCAGATCCGGATTGTCCAGAAGTGCAGAACGCGTCAATCGACACAATGTCGGCGTCGCTTGGGATGTACGTGAACGGCACGTCGACCGCCGACCAGGGCCCTTCCGTCCCGACGATACTCGGCAATGTCGTGGCATCATGCGCATGGACTGCGTTGGTGCTGTCCTGGGCGTCCGGGCGAGGCGGATCCGCTCGCGCCGTGTCAATGCAGGTGACGCGACCGGTGCGCGAAGCAACGAGCACCTGAGGCACAAAAACGTGAGAGAAGTTTCGCTGTTTAGTTAATGTAAACGATTTAAACTCAAACTAATCCAGTACTAAAACGACAAACGAAATCCCCCGCGTCTCCTTCTATCGTAGCACAAACCTTGGTACATGTCGGATGGTGAATGATGCACAGACTGTACACGTTCGCAGGCGACGGAAGGGCAACCGAGTGCTCTTCGACGAACGGTGCTGCCATCAATAGTTTGAATGAGTTTCTAAGAAAGAAGAAGAAGAAATTGAAAGACTGGATGGATGCCAAATCTTAGCGACTGAGCTTCTAGTACAATCAACACTGACATGCAGGCACGGTGGGGTCCAACGATACCAAACTCAACCCCGTCCGAGTTGCGCAACGTTAGGCTCGCTTTCGGCGCCTCGATTGGACGGTTTGCCAGACAAACGAGACGCCAGAGTAGAGCGCAACCAGTGCCACACACGCTACGGCAATAGCGTACATGACGTAGACGACGTCCTCGTGAGGGATGTGGCAAAACACAACGGACGCGACCACAGGCGAAGAGGCGTCGGTCGAGACCGTGGCAAGCAGAAACCGCGCATCCGGGTCGTTGCGGCGATTGAACGAGCCGACGCTGACCTCGATGGTGCCATCAGAGTGCGTAAAGACACAATCTTCGTGAGCGTGGGCCGAGAATACAAGCCGAGGGGCCAGCGATTCCAGTAAAAGCTTTGTGCCTTCCTCGGAAATGGTCTCGCGGTCTTCGCCCGACCTCATCTCGGCGAGCTGCTCCTCTGACAAGTTCACCAGAGGTAGCAAGTCAGGAAGAGTGACAACTTCATGACTTGAGACTTGCCGCCTGGCGACACGACCAGAGCGGTGGAGCTGCAAAACGCCCGAGCGGTCCTGAGGAACCGGACAGGTCACCGACGTCGGTGGCAGCTCTTGGCGATTGCTCTCGTCTGCGGTGCGCTCCATCTTGGTGCCACGTGCAATGTGATCGGCAATGCGATCGGCAATGCGATCGGCAATGCTTGTCCGGAAGAGAGGGAAATGCATTGCAAGAACGACTGGCGGGCGCTCGGTCGTGTCCGGTTGGAGCGTCAACTCTTGTGCAATGTCCGAGATGCGACTTCGTGTGGCGTTACACAGTGTACACCCATCCTGGCGCATCGCAATACTGTTCAACGTGACGAGCTGGATGGACTGTCGCTCGGTCGTTCTGTCAGAGTTGCTCGAAATCATGATCGAATCCGTGGCTGGGCCGAACGCATGGGCAAAACGCTCGAGCAGCCATTGATTCATGACATAGTGAAATCCAACATCGTGATTCCCAACGACGACCTTGAGCAACGGTGGTTGACGATTGGGACTGCGCATGCTCGACATGTCAAACACGCGATGAAACCGCCTCAGATCGTCGTCCCAGTTTTCTTGGGTGTCCCATTGGCCTTCATCAAAGATGTCTCCAAGCAGCAACACGGCGTGCGGACGCTGGTCTTCCGGCAGCAACTGAGCAATCGCTCGGAAGGACTGCTGCATTGCAAACTCGCGCCTCAGCCGATCGAGCCAGTGACCCCGCTGGTGCCCGATGAGATGCGGATCTGCAATGACCAGCAATCGGATTGCGTGTGGCTCGGACGCGGACGCGGACTCGGACTCGGACTCGGTCTTGGTCTTGGGCTCAATCTTGTTGAACTCTGGTAACGCAGAGTGAGCTTGAGCAGTGTTCATCCCGACCCGACCCAGCGTTGGCCATGAAGTGCAGTCAGTATTGTGGATGACTGCATTGTAAAGCCCGATCTGCTGGAAGAGCACGACTTCGGTCATCCAAAGGCACACTCCGACGACAACCAGAATGACCAGAATTGCACGTTGCAGCTGGCGAACCATTGGGTGCAAGCGGTTTGTTCTCTACTTGTAGATCTGGATATGAAGATGAGCCAAGGCTTGAAATTTGGCTCAGGATGCTCGCATTGAGAACTGTAGAAATGTGGCGGAAAAGGGAAAAGAAGAAGACAATTAGACTGAGCTGCTCAGAAACCGAAAAAACGAGGCGAAAATATCATTGAGCCGCAAAATTGTGCATGACAATTGCTGTTGGGGAGTGGGATGGTGTGTTATTGGCATTGAGAACAACAGAGCAGCAAGCTAAGAATGCATCATCGATCCAACCAATCACTCGTGCTTGAGCAGAGCCGCGGTCACTAGGGCGGGCGAATGAACGTGTAGCGGATGCGCAGCAATGACGACCAGCGGAATGGTCATGGACAACAGCTCGGCCTGGATTTGCGTCGGAGAAACCCACGTTTCGTTCGAGTCGAGCAACGGCTCGCAATCCGGAAGAATAGGCTTGCCTTGGTCAACCCGAGAGGCGATCGCAAACTCGATTCGCAGCCTCCACTTGACAGAAACTGATGATGGACGCATCAAGAAACGCAAGCAGACTTTGTCAGTGTCCAGAACAACAACAAAAACAAGAACAAAGGCGCTGCCCTCGTACGCAAATCCGTGTCGAAATCAGGCGTGCTTGCTTGAGGAACAGGAAGCGCAACATGGAGCTGCTTTGTATGGGCGCAGAATTCGTGATGCTCGGCATGAAGCCGCGTGGTGGACAGTTTTTGCGGGTTGACAGCGTATGGCAACCCGACCGTTTCGATGCATTCCAGATGAATGGCAATCTGGACGCAAAAAGACAAAAGGAAAACATACACATTTGCTTGAAATGAGTACATGGTACTTTTGACAACCAACACACCAAAACGGCTGTCGAGCTCAACCTGATAACAAGGGATGGTTGCGTCCGAAAAATCAAAGGTTCCAACGACATCCTCGCCCAGTCGATAGGCGGGTTTTCGTAGTTTGAAGCGCGCCACATGCCCAATGGAGGAGGTGATGTTGAATTTCGCTGCAAATCCGCATCAAGTCAAAACAAAAAAAAAACGTTCCAAAAGGTGTGCGAACAGATTCAAGAGGCGCGTCTTACATGCCCCTTGTCGAGTGGATACATTGGCAGTGACTAGCGACAAAAGCTCGAAAATGGTATCCGAGTCCCAGAGTTCCGAACGAGATGGCCCGCCTGCTGGCTCTGGCAACGACGGGAACGATCTCCGTGTCAAAGCTTGGCGAGACTCTTCGCCAAGGCCCCGTTTCGCCCCATCTTGTTGCGGCAAGGGACTTTGGCGCGATATTGACCGTTTTCGCTCTGGCACCCGAGCCAAAAATAAAATATGGTGAATCAAACCAATCGATCACGACAACAAAAATTCCGAACACATTCTGGCACTCACCCGAGTCACGATCCAGATGGAGTGCAGCTAATGTTGAGGTGAGCATTTCCACAGCTGGAGAATGAGGATTGAAAGAGAGATTTCGTCAGGGACTGACCCAAACACAACAAAAAAATGACATTACTCGTTGTGACACATTTGACTCACGCTGAATAACAAACACACGGAACGAAACGGGAAGGGAGACTGGATCGGCATTTCCAAGCTGAACGCCAACGTTAATTCGATAAGTGTAGCCTGCAGAAACGCCGCGATGTGATGGGGGAATGTCCAACGGCAAGGGAGCCATGTACTCGACTGTCGGTGGCACGGTCAAAGCGAACGGGTGAGTCAGTCGCTGACGCTCTGCAACGCATCCCAATGAGACTGCATGCCACGCTTTACATGACTGTGCTTGGCCTGCTTCCAGTAACGTGTTGTTGGTCAGAATCACAAGAGGCGAGCTAAACATCAACACGCCATTCGAATCGTCGCCTAATCACACAACATCAGAGCAGAGGCACTTTAGTATCGACTGCAGACCAAGCCTATCTGCCCATCCCACGATTTCTCGAACGACAAGCAAGCAAGATCAGATCAGCACAACCGATTTGCTCTACGATCGACAACAACACTGACCTCGATGGCGTGATGCGCGACCCGAGTGCGCAGTGTGACTGTGGTTTGGCGACACTGTCTGCTGTGATGGCGGGTGACTGTTCGGGGTTGACGGTTCGGACACCAATCCGCCTGGCAGGAAGGACGAGAAGAATGAGAGCAAGGACGAGGCGGTTGACTGGACACCTGGGCCTTGTTGAGCATCGGGATGGACGTCGTGATGGCTACTATGATCATGACGATGATGTTGACCATCTTGATGATGATGGCTCTCGATGGCTGGCGTCGCAGTGGACGGCGCTGAGAGCTGTTTCATTGCCAGCTGGACTGCCGCGATTGGCGCCGCGTCGTCCGTCATGACCTCCGCGTCGCGCGCGTGCGGATGTCGCTGCGGGTTGTTTGCGACTGCATCTGCGTTCGTGTACGCCGCGTTGAGGCGCGCGTGGCAGGTGACTTGGGCGCTGACCCAGGCAATCTTCTCGACGCCGCTCGTGCTTGTACCAGTCGTTCCAGTCGTACTCGCGTCGGTCGGCTTGGCGCTGGAATTGAGGTTTGTCAGCGCAATCGTCGCATGCACCGTCTCGCCAGCAAAGAAGACGCCGTTCCGCGCAAGCGTCACTCGCACGTCAAGCATGCGCGGCGAGAAATTTGAGAAAAGGGACTGAGAAAAGAGACTGAGAAAAGAGACTGAGAAATTGAGAAATGAAAGAGAAAATTACAGAGAAAAATGACTGAGAAAAATTACTGAGAAAAAGGGCTGAGAAAGGGACTGGTTTCAATTTCAATGCCTTTTGTTCCATTGCATCGATCTTGTTCGAAAGGCAAGAAGATCCAATGAGAGTGAAAGTCTGTACTGGATGATAATGTGCACACGGTCGTCGTTTTGAAGTGCCGTGGCGTTTTGAGGCTTTTTTTTGTTTTTCTTTTTGGAATTGACTCAGACTGGCAGTCCTTTTTGTTTGTTTCGATTCAACACTCTTTTTGCCAATGTTGTCGTATCAGAATATGAACCAGAGACAGCGGGAGTTGTACGACCAAGTCAGCAATGCGAGTCGGGTGCTCTTGTAAGAGAAAAGCCCGAGTTGATTGGAGCAGCGTGATAGCGTGTGTACGGATACAAAGGAGGACAGCCTGGATGACAATCAGATTAGCGATGCTGAGGCACAAGCGATTGCTGAGGCACTCAAAGTGAACACGACGCTTGACACGCTCAAGTAAGGCATCTCACTCTTGCTGGTGCATGTGAGTGGGTGATTCAGTAGAGTGCTCACTGATGGAGGGGGATGTGGACAGTCTGAGTGAGAATCAGATTGGCATTGTTGGAGCGCGGGCACTCGCTGAGGCACTCAAAGTGAATAAGACGCTGAAGGAGCTCAAGTCAGTCAATTCGCATCTACTGGTGCTTATGAGTGGGTGATCAAGTAGAGGTCAGTCCGAGTGCTCACGAACGGAGGGGACGGACAGCCTGCGAGAGAATCAGATTGGCGCTGCCGGAGCGCAGGCGATTGGTGAAGCACTCAAGGTGAACACGACACTGGCTGTGCTCAGGTAAGGCATCATCTATCTCACTTTGATGTGAGTGGGTGATTTCAGTAGAGGGACTGCAAGGGTGGTTCACTGAGGGATGGACAGTTTGTATCAGAATCAGATTGGCGATGCTGGAGCGCAGGCCATTGCTGAGGCACTCAGAGTGAACAAGACGCTGAAGGAGCTCTAGTAAGCCATTCCACTTTGACTGATGCGTGAGGGTGGGCGATTCAGAAGAGTGCTCACCGATGGAGGGTTGAGATGAACAGTCTGCACAACAATGAGATTGGCGATGTTGGAGCACAGGCGATTGCTGACACACTCAAAGTGAACAAGATGGTGCGGATGCTATTGTAAGGAATCTCACTTTGACTGATGCATGTGATCAAGTAGAAGGTGTTAGGAGTGTTCACTGATGGAGGAAATGTGGACAGTTTGGAAGAGAATCACATTGGTAACATTGGAGCGCAGGCAATCGCTGAAGCACTCATGGTGAACAAACAGCTGTGGTGGCTCGAGTAAGTTGCTGTGCGCTTTGCTTGCTGGTCTCGGTCGTTGGGCGAGGCTCAGACAAACGTTGCTCACCCCTGAAACGACAGGGTACATTTAAATTGCATTGGCAATGCTGGTATTCAAGCGATTAATGAAGCGCGTCATGTCAACCGAACTCTGAATGACCTTAGGTAGGTTTGTTTGTCCGAACGATTTGTCCTCCAACCACCGGACTCGCCCTGCTGCGTGCTCATTCACCTTGATTGTTCGTTGCACAGCATTTATCGCCAGCTCAACCCTCTTGCATTCTCCTTGCTTCCACGATTGGCAACTGCTGAAGACCTTCACAACGTGTTTCTCTTGCTGACCAGCGGACAGGAGCTGGAGGATCAATCGGCAGCTCTGCCCGCCCTACCAAACGAGCTTGCCGAACTCATTATGGACGAAGCGCACTACTGGCAAGGCGTGCAGCATACCAAACGAGAATGGTTTCATGTCGATACCCCCGACCGCGTTCTGAAAGTCACTGTGCCTCAAGGAAATTCAATCCGTGTGAAAGCAATTCAAGTGCTTCGTGACATGAGTAACCGCTCTGACAGCAACGGCAGCAGCGGCTTTGATTTGATTATCCGAGATGAGCAAGGTGCTATTCGATACGAATGCTCGGTGAAACCGACCCTCGTCGATTCGAGCCTCGAGCTTGTGACAATCCTGCCAGCCAATCATCCTGTCTTTCGACAAATGCGCGCGGGTTGGCAGGTTCAAGTTCGAGCCAGCAAGTCTCCCTCCGATGTAGCGTTTGAATCGCTTCGTGTTGGATATGTTTAACGACAGTCATGGGAACTGTCTGCCCTCCCGCTCCTTGACTAGTGAGTTCTTTGTCGTCGTCATCATCAAGCTCCGTCCCATCGGACGCAGCCAACACGCTCGCCAATTTCCTGATCCTTTTCGTAGATCTGCAACTCGAGCTTTGAGTTCATTGGTTGCTGCTTCTTTTGTGCTGTATTTCGATATACAAATTTCAATTTCAGTTCAGTCTTATTTCTTTGTTTCAAGTTCTGAGATTTTTTTTTTCTTTGCCCAGTTTTTGTTTCGACAATGTCCTCAGCACGCAGTAGAAAGTTTGCCGTGATGGGCTTCCGCGCTGTCGGTGAGTTTTTCAACATCAATGCCGTCTCTCTCTCTCTATCCCTCGTTCATTCAGCACTGAGAACTTGGGGGTTGTGGGAGTGAGAATTGTGTGAAACGAAGCGCAATCTGAGCCGTGTTTCAGCAGATTGAACGCACGAAGCGCCTCAGCAAGCGAGACCACACACAACGCTATACAATCCTCAATCATGTAATGAGGCTGTCGTTCATACCTCTGATAATGGATGACTGTTGTTGTGGTTGTAACGGAAAAAAACAACGCAATATCACATGCAAAACCGAAAAAAAAAAAAAAAAAAAAAGTTGGCTGGAACGTCATTGAGATGGATTTGTGCGTTTGTTGACTGGCGGCTTGCCTGGTTGTTTGTTTGGGTGGCAGCGGCGACGAACACGCCATGGCTTTGTGCTTATGCGAGCAGCCTGTGCTTTTGTGGGAGAGGGGAACGGAACGGACGCGGACGAGGTGGTGGTAGAAGGTTCAACGAAGCAAAAACGAAGGTTCAGAGCGGAATAACCAGCCTCTCCTCCCCCCTCTCCTTCCAGAGTGGGCAATGCCAAGCTGAGCGAGCGTTGGCAACGAACGAGAGTGCAGGATGTGAATGAACTGACTGAAAGGGTTGCGCGTCGGGGTTGGCTGGAGCAATGGTTTAGTGCTTTTGGAACGTGAACCAGAGGTAATGTCGCTAGAGCGATCGGAGAGAGAGACAGAGAGACAGAATCCCACTGTCCTGTTGCTTCAGAGTGAACATGCATTGTGTGTGTTGACTGACGCGCACTGCAGTGGAGAAGCGTCGCCAGAGTGCTGTAACTGGCAGAGCAGCGACGAAGCTCCGACCCCGTTGTTTCTGCCTCGCCTGCGTCCTCCCACTTCCCAATTCAAAGCCAGCGCAAGTCGCAATGTCTCTTCTGCTGCTTTCATTGCAACAGTACAGTGGACGGCGCTGCTAGCGTTGGTGAATGGCAAACGCGACAAGAGCTCAAAACACGCCACAACTAAACCTCCGACAATACCCAGCTTCCCTTCTCTCTGTCTCTCTCTCTCTCCCCCCCCCAGCTCATCGGCTGTATGGGTGCCCTGCGACGCATTCGAGCATTCCATACAAAACACCGAGCTACAGTCGCAGCATGCAGACCCCAAGGCGCCTCTTTGTCTTCGTTCGGAGCTTCTTTTCGACTTTATTCCTCTTTCGTGTCAGTTTTTGATGACGCGGTGCCGCTTCCTCGCTCGTGGGCGGTGGTGGTGGTGGCGACTTACCTCGCTGAAAACATGCAATCGTCGAACGGTCTTTGTTGCGCAAAAGACGCCGCGCCGCGGTCGTGGCTCGTTTAGATTTGCGCATTCGGTCTGAGAAGATGACTCATTGAAAAATTCTTTTGTTTGTCTTGTCTGAGCAGGCAAATCATCGCTCACCATGCAGTTCATCGAAGGCCAGTTCTCGGAAACATACAACCCGACCATTGAAAACACCTACCAAAAGCCACTGAGCTTGCGAGGAGGCCGCGATTTCCTGGTTGAAATTGTCGACACACCCGGCCAGGTATGAGTTTCTCCACTTCGCACTCATCCTCCACAGTGTGCACTTCCATGTCGTGCTCGAGGCTCATTCCTTCTGTTGGTTTTTTTGGTGTTTGGGTTCTGGTCTTGACGCTGTAGGACGAGTTTTCCATCTTCCCCACGCGTTATTCCGTCGGCATTCACGGCTACGTGCTGGTGTACTCGGTGACGTCTCGCACGAGCTTTGAGATGCTGAAAATCATTCGCGAAAAGCTGCTCAACATGACCGGCACCAACTCTGTCCCATTGGTACTCGTTGGCAACAAGGTAGGGGTTGCAGCTTTGTGTTGCTTTCGTTCTTTCGTTGCTTTTTGTTCTTTGTGAGCGCACTCAACGATTCCCGCACCCCCCCCCCATTCACTAATCAGACGGATCTCGTCGGCGAGCGCGTTGTGACGTTCGAGGACGGGCGCGAGCTCGCCGCGCAGTGGGGCTGTGGCTTTGTCGAGTCGTCTGCCAAGCGGAATAACAGTGTCAAGGAGATTTTCGAATCACTGCTTGAGGAGGTTGACAAGGACTCGCTGCCGCCACAAAAGGACAAGAGCGGTGGCTGTGTGATTGCTTGATTTCCCTCGTTGTACACGCAAATAGATGCAAAGGGTTTGTTGTTTGGGTGTCGAGACAAGCAAAAAACCACACACACACACGACTGGTATGCTTGCAAATGAAAATCAACATGCACACGGTCTAAGAACGATGACACTGATGCGACAGATTCCTAAGATGCTTCACTGGCTGGTGAAAATCACTGTTGGTGGGAGGAGCAAACCAAAGTCATCACATGAACACAGAGGTGAATATGTAATAGGTATGACCCGTAATTGTGCATTTGAAAGAGTTGAAAAAAAACGGAAGAAAAATCAGCAGACACACGACCAAAGCAAGCAGCATCTCACGCGCGGTAGCAGACAAGAGACAGCTGCAAGCTGGTCGTGTGCAGTCATCTCCTCCCTCGTGCGAAAGTATGATGGGAGAGGAGTGGAGAAGAAGCGGGCGAGCTGAGAAAGCCCAAAAGAGAGAAAAAAAAAACACAAAGAGAGAAAAAAAGTGCATTTCAATCCTCAGCGAGCAAGGTACAGGCGAATTCCCGCGGCCACAACCACCACACCCGCAATCACAGAAAGAGTCGAGGCTACTGCGACGGCCGAGGAGGCACGCTCATCGACAGAGCGGAGTTGCATCTCGAGCGCGCGGATGCGGCCCTGCGCCTGCGCCAGCTCCTCTGCTGTGACTGTGCTCGTGGTCGTGTACGCAGGGGGTTCGTTGGCATTGAAGGACGAGGTGCGAACATTACCCTGCGAGGAGCCTTCCTTGTGGGCGGTGCACCAAAGGCCAAAGCGACGACCGCGATCAATGTAGTCGAGGTTGTTCTGGAGCCACGCGTCGCCAATCTTGCCATTCTTCTTGTAGTGAGACAAGGCGACGCCACGCAGATGAGCAGCAGCCAGGTCGCCAATGTCCTCGGCGTCGTCAATGACAAAGCCGGCCGTCTTCATGTCCTTCAGGTAGGTGTCGGCGTTGCAGTTGTTCATGGCGAGGAATTTGAGTTCTTCGTTCTTGGCATCGATGGCCTGGATAATCAGAATCAGAGTTCAGAATCAGAAAAGAAAAAGACAAAAAAGTTGAGAAACGAGAAATCAAAACGGTCGGACAAAAGAGCATGGTACAAACTGCAAACCCACCTTGGCCTCATCTTCGGGGAAACCGAGACCGGGAATCCAGTGGTGGAAGAAGACAAAGCGGCCGTTGGGCTTGAGGACACGGAGGCATTCCTGGAAACAAGACGCGGTGCAAAGGTCAGAACAAACACTGGCAAGCATGACCGAGGTACAAAGACAAGCCTGCCTACACGGAAGATGTGAACGCGATCCTGGTGGCTGAGCGCATCGGGGTCTTGGCCGAAAATGGCATCGAACGAGCCATCAGCAAACGGAAGCTGGAAGGCGTTGCAGGCCACGAACGTGACGAGGTGCTCGACCTTGTCGGCCTTGGCTTGCTCCTTGGCCTAAGCAGTAGTAGTAGAAGAGAGGGAGAGTAAGAGAAAAATGAATGAGGCAACCAAGAGAACACTCGTCGATTGCGACACGGTGCAGCACTCACCCGGTTGATTGCCTTCTCAACAATGTCAATGCCGGTGATCTTGCAGTTGTACTCCTTGGCGAGCTGGATGGCCGAAGCGCCCTCGCCACAGCACAAGTCTAGGTAATGCTTGCCTTCCGCGCCCTCGCTGTCCGCGAGGTTGAGTTCAAGAGCAATGCGCTTGGTCATCCGCCAGCCACCTAAAATTGTTCAGAACATGTCAGAACATCAACCCACGACCACAGAAGATCCAAAAAATGCGACCCCAGCTTCACCGCACGATTACATCAAGAGATCGTGCGTCTTCCATCCACAAGCATCCGACACGCTCAACAAACACCTCAAAGTATTGACAGTACGTCAAAAACATTCAAAAAAGGGGGGGAATGTCGATTTGGTTTCAAAAATTCCCAGCACTCTGCTTTCCGGTAAACCAAAAACCAGACAATGCACTCCATCTGCCATTGTGCAATCGGGATCATGATGCTGAATGTTGTGATGAGCACAACCGCTCAAAACCAACAAAAACCGTCAAAAAAGACAAAAAAGCCAAAAAAGCAAAAAAAAAAAAAAAAAAAAAAAATCGTCATTGCTTTAAGGTTGGCGTTTTTCGCGATTGGATCCAGGATGAGCGTGTGATGAGTGTTTGAGCGCACGGACGCGACTGCGCATTGCGTACCTGCGTGCAGTTGCTCGCGGGGCTCGGGCCAGTGGGTTGCGAGGCGGTCGTGGAAGCCTTCACCGTAGTCCTATTCAACAACCAAAAAACAAACCAAAAAACCGTCAAAATGCATGAATAACAGGGTTTCATCGCGCTCATCCGACGTTGAATGTGAGGCACGCAGCAAACGGATGAGCAAGACCATCAGCAGCAGCAGCAAGCAACGATGCACAGCGAACGAAAATCAAAAAAAGGGCGGAAGAAACGACCTCGAAGAAAGCCATACAAACAAAACCCGACCACTGCAGCAATCAATGTCGTCACTACGCACTTCTTGCTCAAACCCTCACTCTTCCAAGCCCCAACTCCAGATCTGCGACTGCGTAATAAGGCTGTGCTGTGTGCCAATCGATGGATGTGGTGGGGGGGGGACTGACCGCATAGTGCTCCCAGCCAATCTTGCTCTTGTCAATCGAAGCCATTTTGTGTATTTTGAAAGACTGACGTGCTCCAAAATAGCCCCGAGCGATTGACAAGTAGTAGTGTGAGTTAAATGGGACATGCCATTTCGAGTCGATCGTTGCATGTTCGAGGGGCGACAGGGGACTTTGGAGGTGGCAGGGATTGCTCACAAAGTTTGCCAAAAGCAAAATCTCATTCCTCTGAAAAATCACCTCGTGAGCTGGGCCAGTCCACCCACCAGACAGACTACGAATGGGCTCATTCTCCATGTCATATATCACACTTGCACACGCACGCACGCACGAAGCCGGACCTCGCAAGCGAATCAGAGCAACAAACAAAAGAAACAAAAACATCGTTTTTGTTTCTGTTTCTTTTCCTGCTGTTCTGACACGCGCCAATTTTTGTTTCCCCCCCCCCCTTCACCAAGCAAAACCCTGCATCCAACATGTATTTCTTTTTCTTGTTGTCATCCCGAGGGACCGAAGAAGGGAATTACGAAATCGAACAACATCCACGCGGTGCGCCCGCTTCCACTTTTGGACGGCAAGCGAGCTCACTCTCTCCACTTTTCCGCCCCAGAAGCCATGAAGTTCAACCCCGACGTCAGCTCATCGCGCCGCAAGAGCCGCAAGGCCCACTTTGCCGCCCCGTCGTCGGTCCGCCGCATCCTCATGAGCGCCCCCCTCTCGAAGGAGCTCCGCACCAAGCACGGCATCCGCTCGCTCCCCATCCGCAAGGACGACGAGGTGACTGTTGTCCGTGGCTCGCACAAGCAGACCACCGGCAAGGTCTCTGCCGTCTACCGTCGCAAGTGGGTCATCCACCTCGACTCGCTCAACCGCGAGAAGCCCAACGGTGGCACGGTCGCTGTCGGCCTTGACCCCTCCAAGGTTGTGATCACCAAGATCAAGACCGACGCCAACCGCCGTGCTCTCCTCGAGCGCAAGGCCAAGCACGCCGCCGCCGCCAAGGGCAAGCACACTCAGGCCTCCGTTGCCAGCCAGTAAACAACCCCCCCCCCCACACAATAATCACCAGGCGCGGGGTGCGCGGGGTTGCTGTGGATCAAAGCAAATCGCACGGCAGCGCTAAAGCGAACAAGGAGGCTTTTTTTTTATTTTCTCGATTTTTTTTCAAAGGTAAGCTTTTTTTTTTTTTTTTGCCGTTTGAACGTTGTGTGCGACTTGTCCGTCCGGCTCGGTGGAGAGAGACGAATAGGGGGTGAGATTCACAGTGTCAGCAGCGCAAGGGCAGCAGCAGCGGCAAGCGGCAGGCACAGGGGAAAAAAAAAAAAAAAAAGCTGCAATGGAAATGCAATGGTTTTTTTTTTTTGAAAGAAAAAAAAAACATGTGCTCGTCCTTTTTTTTTTCTTCTTCTCTTGTGCTTCTCGCCGCTCTCCTGCGCCGCTGCTGCACCGCGTCTGCCCGGTTTCATGAAAGGACTGCATGCATTTGACTGCTGTGGGCAGCGCTTGGGACTGCGGCGTCCCGGGCTTTGGCGCAACAGCTGGCTTTTTTTTTTTTTTCTTCGATCTCTTTTTTTTTTTTTTTTTTTTTTTTTTTTTTTTTTTTTTCAGCGTGGTCGACCTGAGGTTTTTTTTTTTTTTTTTTTTCTTTGCTGGATTTGCATTACTTTTTTTTTTTTTTCGTTTTGGCTGCAACCACATTGTGGCTGCCGGGTGGGCTGCAGAAGCTTCCTGCTCGCCACCGCACCGCTTTTTTTGAGGTCATCTCTTTGCCGTTTGTCTTTCATGCGGTTGCTCTTTGGTCTTGCTGATGTGATTTGGTGTTCTGAACTGCAGGCTCACGTTTGAACTCTGTTTGCCATTGTTCCCGTGCCAGGTTTGCCTTCTTGGCCTTCACTGTCCCGGGGGTGTCCTGCCGATGATTGAAAAATGACAGAAACAAACTCTCCCTGCTTGTCGCTTTTAGTGTCGTTCCTTGCTTTATCTGCTGTGCTCCAAACTTCTTGTGTCGAATGCTAACGTTCCTTTTCCCCATGTTCCGGTCCTCCTGTTTGCTTCACTTTGTCCCTTGCCCATCTCACGTGTGGTCTTTATGGCAAGAGAAGCGCTGGATTGCGTTGATTGAACGGCATAGGAGGGGGTGCAGCCGTCATTCGATTCGCGACACTCGATGGACGCCTCTTGTGCACCACTCACGCACTGCATGCAAGCAATTACTGGGGCGATCGTGACCATTTTTGTGATTTGTATAGAACAGAACAGGGTGGATTGGGGGAAAAGCAGCATCGAGAACGAGAACGAGAACGAGAACAAGAAAATATGTTTGTAATCACACACTCCGCTAAGCGTCTTGATTGGTTGGCCTGTGGACACGAGAGATGGTACAAACAAGTGAGGACACAGTGGGGGCTCAGTCAATCAATCGATTCACTTGCAAAACGTACCCAGTTTGGGAAGTTGCCAATTGGAGTTGCTGTTGGAGTTGGCTGACCTGGCCGCGCAAGGTTTCGATGTAGGTGATTGCGTTTTGCAAAATTGAAACCTACACGCAGCAGCAACAACAACAACAACGACGACGACGACGACGCCAGTCAGTCAGTCAACGCCAGCCAAAAAACAAGTCTCCAAAAGCAAAGCGCAACCAAGCTCAACCCCATTTCGCTGAACTCCTGTACCTTGGAAGATGCAATCGCGGGGCCGTCAGAAGCGCGAGTGGAAGCAGGGACGGCCAACCTGAGAGCCCGGAACCTGTCGTTAATACGATCACGACGCCGGCGTTCAATGGCAGAGTGCGTCAACTTGCGACGCGCAGCCATTTCGATGCCAAGTTGCAAAGAGTCAACGTCGTCGCCTTCGGAATTGGTGGGAGAGTCAACATCCGAACCTGAAGCAGATCGTGGCTGCAGCCTTCGTGACGAGGACGAAGGCAGCGCTGTCTCGATGGCAGCGGGCGCTGCGGGCGCTGCGGGCGCTGCGGGCGCTGCGGGCGCTGCGGGTGCTGCGGGTGCTGCAGGTGCTGCGGGTGCTGCGGGTGCTGCAGGTGCTGCAGGTGCTGCGGGTGCTGCTGACTTGGCTTTACGGGTAGTTTGCCTGGGCGTTTTGAATTTCACTGCGAGGGTGCGGAGCTTTGCGGGGGTTGTAGCAGCAGCCAAATCTGCAGGTGGAACGGTCGCAGCAGCCGGAGAAGCTGCAGCCGGGGGAGCAGCAGCCGGGGAAGCTGCAGCCGGGGGAGCTACAGCAGCCTGTGGCTGCACGGCATAGTACCCATACGGATACGCGTACGCGTGATAATTATAACCATGTTGGGCAGCGGCTGCTGCGGCGGCTATCGCCGCGTAATGTTGTTGTTGTTGTTGTTGTTGTTGTTGTTGTTGCTGTTGTTGCTGTTGTTGCTGTTGTTGCTGTTGTTGCTGTTCTTGTTGCTGCTGGTGGTGTTGGTAGTGCTGGGGAAGGAGTTGCTGTTGGGCCATATGTGCAAAGTGGTAGGGGTACGCCTGGGGCATGTACATGGCTTGAGCAGCTTGAGAATATTGAGCTTGTGGAGCGGGTGCTGGCTTTTGGTCGGTGTGTTCAGCATCGCTGCCATCGTGCAATGCTGGCTGAGGATGGTGAGCGGCGAGCATGTCTAGGCTGGTTGCTTCCCCTTTTCCGTTGAAATTTCGGGCCTTTAACTCGATGCTTGGGTGGATGGATTTTGGGTGGAACTCGAAATGGCTTTGCCTGTCTTTCATTCAAAATCAGAGACCAAGGCGACGCAAGTGAGCGAGTGGGTTTCCTTCAATAAAAACAAAGGGAAAGAGGGTGATGATTTTCAGAGAAGCAAGTGGCACAGCAGTTGACCCGGGCTGTCTTGGTGAAGACATGCACCGCTTTTTTTTTTTTTCTGAGCAGCGGAGATGAGAGCCGACCCTCAACGCGGTTGTTGTCATGCGGGTCGTTGAGAAGGACTGGCGGCAAACCGAGCGCGTCTGCGAGTCGCCCTTCGTTTGCATTTGCTGTCTGTTGCACCAAGCGCACAGCGATCGGACGCTCTGATGCAACGATGCAACGCCTCAACAAGCTAGTGGCTGACGTGACCACGCACGAAACCAGACGACGATACCCCCCGCCTCCAGCAGCCAGCGCGCATGGGGCTGAGCCAGTGCGGGTGGTGGGGCGGAGTGGTGCACGTTGTGACGTCGTAGTGGTAGTTGATCCCGTGCTGCAAAGTGGACGAGCGACGAGGGAAGCGCAAGAGGGAAGCGTGTGTTGGTTGAGAGTGCGGGTTGGAAGACGTGTTGTTCGGCCAAGACACACACTCGGCGCAGCCATGATTGCTGGCATCCCCGCCCGGGCATGTGGCAACTGAGCTACTCGCGCGACGGACTCGAGCGCGCGCGAGAGAGAGAGAGAGAGAGAGAGAGAGAGAGAATAAAAAAAAAAACAAAAGGTCGTGCAAAGCCACAAGGACAAAACATCACGAGGAGCACGTGTGCACCTCACGCATCCCGAATTTGCCGACCCCTGCCGATGCTCCTCGCACGCCTCCCCGCCTCCCTCCGCTCAGTCACACGCTCTCATACTCAGGTACACATTCACAAGCATAAACAACACTTACAGCGACAAAGCGACGAGCAAAAAAAAATGAGAAAAGTAGAAGGGGGAAAAAAACAACGAATGATTAAAAAAAACAATAGACAAACAAGGGAAAGGGCGAGCTTGTGAGGATGGATGACGGGGAGCAGGCGAGAAACTAAAGACTGACCAAACAAAAGAGTGGAGTAGGAGAATGAGGAAATCAAGAGGAAAATGTCGTGGAGCCGAGCAAGGACAGGAGGAAGGTGCATGACAGTGGCAGTTTTTCGCAAAAATCCAACCATCTACCGCATGCATGGAGATTCGGCGTGATGATCTACTCTCTCATTCTTCTCTTAAGATGAAGCTCGAACTTGACGGATTGAGCATGTCCATTCGCACACTTCTAGCTTGTTCTTTCAGCTGATATTCCTGCGCATGTTGAAACAGTTGCTTCCTTTTGCTTCGCGGTTTTTTTTTTCTCGTTTTCAAATGCTTTTCGCCACAATCCAATGCATGCCCTTCCCTTAATCCATAACACCTTCAGTTTGACTCACCGACGATGAAACGCGAAGTATTTCTCTCAGATTTGGGAATCAAAAATTGGTCGTATTTTGAGGCGTCAAAGGCTTAGATCGACTGGCAGTCTTTGTTGTTTTGCTGAGATCTTCCAATATGCTGTCTGGCTCGCCAAGATTGAAATGGAACCGTCAATCGTAAGGATGTAATCAACAGAAGGCAACAAACAAAAACACCACGCTCATACACACAACAAGAAACAGTTCCAAAAACAAGACACAATTCGCTCACTTGGATCCAAGCGTCGGCCCAATTCGCATCTTGACGCCAGAAGCGGTCTTAACCACGCGGCCGCCGGCAGGCTTGCGTACTGCTGATGCTGTTGATGCTGCTGGTACTGCTGGTGCCGTTGAGGCTGCTGTTGCAAAGGTCGCCGATGCTGCAGGCTTACGCGTGGCCGAACCGCCAGACAGCGCCTCCCGCTCCTTCAATCGGCGATGAACTGCTCGTGCATGTGCAATCTCGGCGGCAGTGAGCTCTTCGTCGTCGTCATCATCATCAAGTTCCATCCCGTCAAGCGCCAACAGCTCATCAATTTCCTGGTCGAGAGCATCCAGCGCCGAGTTGCTCGATTTGCTCTTGCCCTTGCCTGCCGACGTAGCGGATGGGCGTCCTGCGCTTGCTTTGCCAGTCGCGGGTTTGGCAGGAAGGTTGTCGTCCTCTTCGTCGTCCTCTTCGTCAAAATCTTGCTCGTCGTCGTCGTCGTCGTCAAAATCCTCGTCATCAAAATCCTCCTCATCAGCCTCATCATCCTCATCATCGTCGTCATCATCTGATGCGCCTGCGGGATTGCTGGGTTTGGCGGATTCGGCGAGAGGACGCCGTGACATTGAGCCAATGACACGTTCGCTGCGGTGGACTGCGGGCTCGGACTTGCCGGCCGGTGCGCCGTCCTCGTCGTCATCGGAGCCTTCAGCGTCGCTATCGTCCTCTGCTTCGGCTTCGGCCAGGCGCAGCACCTTCCTTCGGTCGCGTTCGCGCAACGCTCGCAACTCGTTGTCGCGCTTCTGCTCCTCGTGGAAGAGCTCGGTCGGCGTGTAGTTTTCCTTTGGCGCAATGTCCGTGCGCTCGAGGCACTTGGCGCACACCTTCTTGATCTCGGCACAGCCGTCGCAGATGACGTGGTAGGCCTTGGTGACGGTGCGCTTGCTGCACGAGGTGCAAACCTTGGGCTGCGTCAATGGCTTGTACTTGCGGAAGCGCTTGCGCCAGTCGACGATATCCTTGCATCGGAAGCACAGACCGTCCACTGGCAATGCCATGATGCGCTTGGTGAGCTTGCTGTTCTTGTTGTGCTGGTACGCGAACGCATTCTGGTACTTTTGGCCCTGCTTTTTCGTGTTGCCCGAGCGCGACGTCGACATTGTGGTCGGCGGGGTTTTCAAGTCAGAGTGTATGTGCGTGTGTGTGTGTAAGTGTGTGGGTTGGTGGATTCGCTCGTTGCAGGAGTGATGTAACACGAGGGCGGTTCGAGCAGAAGCCGACTCCACGTGGAACTGAGCGAAAAATCCAAAAACAAAAACTGAGACTTGGTTTGGCGGGAAAAATACTAAAATAAGAAAACAAAAAACGAAAAACAAGATGAAAATAATGAAAGAAGGAACGAGAAATAGGCGAGAAGCGGTTGGAACGATGGAACGATGAAGCGCCAATGCAACTGTACTGTAATGCACAACCCATCCATCGCTTCAAAGCGCAACCCGTTTGGATTCAAAAAAGCACTTGCGATTCACTTTTTGTCGAGCTGTTCGATATTGGAGCTCTTTTTTGCACAGCCTTTGCACAAGGACGGACGATTTTTCGCCCACAACTCTCAGAAACCCCCGCAGCGCTGTTTCGTTCGCCATCGAGGTCCATATCGCTGATCTGCCTCCCTTTTTGTTCATCTTTCTCGTCGTTCCTTCTATTCCACCATGATCCAACAATTTCATCTCCCCTTCTTCCTATTGATAGCCTTTTCCATTGCTTTTTCCATTGATCTTTTTTTTTTTTTTTTTTTCAGTCTTTTTTTTTTTCCCATTTCCACCAAATGTCTGCGCTCCTCCTCCGATTGCCAAAGCTTCTCCCGAAGTCGCTCCAGAAGCCAGCGCAGCAAGCGATCGAGAACATGCCACAAGACGTCCTCGGCGTCACCCCCGAGCTCGTCCGCAACTGGTACGCGACGCAGAGCGAGAGAGGGTAGAGTTGAGAGCACAAGGGAGATCTCTTGCTCCTTGTCTCTCTATCTCTCTCTCTCCACTTCCCCCGCCGTTGAATGTCACTCACTCACTCCTATACGGTGTGCTGAACTCTTGTCTTTTTGGGGGGAATCTGAGAACAGGACGCCGTCGCTCGCTACGTGGGGCGCTGCGGGTGGCGCGGCCCTGCTCTTCCTGACCGAATGGAAGCTCGTCCTGCAGTATGCGCCCTTCATTGGCGACCGGTACAAGACCCAGGAGGCCGCTGCCGAATGAAAAAACCTCCCGTCTTCCTGAAATCAATCCACAACCCTTAAAAAAAGCCAATGAAAAAAAAATAGGAAGCAAGATTCTCAAGCAAACAAAACGAAACAGGACGAAACGAAAGCCGGCAAGACTCGATCAGGAAACGAAACTATCGCATGGGACCAGCAAGTCGACAAAAACAACCCTCCAACCAACATGTTGGGAGGCTTTTAATTGTTCGTTGTTTGGACTGTGTGGTGTGATCCTGCGTTGGTCTTTGTTGTGCTTTTCTTTTTGTGTTCTTCTTGTCTTTGTTGCTTTTGTTTGTTTCATGTATCCCAATCCAAGTGTCAATGTCAATGTTTGTTTATCGTCAAGATGTTCTTCTTCACACCAAAACGCCCGCAGTGAATTACAATCGTTAGGTGCCAAATCAATCAGAAACGGCTAGCGAAACTTTTCGCTTGACGCGCCCCCCCCCCCTCGCTCGCACTCGACTCCAACAACCGCTCCATCCGCGCACAACTCAAATACGCACGAACCTCCATTGAACTCGAATTGAGCATTTCGTTGTCAATCTGCAGTTGATTTCGCTCTCCAAAAATAGCCTCTTTGCTTGGCTTCAGTCAGCTTCCACACACACACACACCAAAATGTCACTGAATGCAGATGCGGATGTCGTTCTGAGTCCAGATCATCATCACTCGCACATTGACGTGCTCTGCATGGCCGACGTCGCCAATGCGGCCAAGACGATGACCGTGTCGGTGGAGGATTCGCAGCAATCCCAAACGCCGACAGCCAATCCACCGCAGCCAACCTCAGCCAACAACACAAGCAGCACTTCGACAGCAGCGCCGCACACATTCATCACGGTGATTCACAGCGCAGGAGCAGCGTCGAGCCCAACATCGGCATTGGACGACCAGCAGCAGCAACAGCAGCAGCAACAACGCCGCGGGTCGGTTTTGATGACCAACACCAACGCTGCGTCCTCAGCATCAACCACGAGCACTGGTTCGAGTATCAACAGCTTGAATGCTGCCGCTGGTTCAGCAAGCAATGTATCAGCAGCAGCGCAGATGGTGGTGGTCGCGGCGGGGTCGGCGGTCGGGATGCACGGGGACGACTTGGCCAAGCTGAACGTCGGAGGTCGGCGGTTTCTCACATCGTGGTCGACGCTCGTTGGCGATGAGGCGAATGGCGACAACTACTTTGCTGCATTGCGCCGGTATGAGCAAGCTGGTGGGCTGCAGCTCAAGGACGAGAAAGGGTATCTGTTTATCGATCGCAATCCGAGCTACTTTGAAGTTGTGCTGGACTACCTGCGATCGGGCAGGTTGGATTGCCCGCCACACCTGTCAACCGATCGGTAAGTGAAATGTGCTTACAGACAAGACAAACAGCAGCAGGGGGGGGGTGGCACTCGGCCTTAACCTTTTTGGTCTCATGTGCAACAGAGTCTGGGACGAGCTTGACTTTTTTGGGTTGCACAACGAGCCAAACCCATTGGACTCGCTCTCGGACAGAGCAGTGAGGCTCTTGACGCATGCTCGCCTGTACAAGAAGATGGACGATTCATTGGTGCAGAATGCTGCGGTAGTCGAGGAGCTGAAGAAGGTTGTCTTTGGCACCTTCACGCAGCTGATTGAAGAAGACCGCCCGCTCCAGGTGCAGGTGAGGCAAGCAAGGGAGTGCGGGCGCTATTCTACGAGCCTGATACATCCACATTTGCCACACACACACGCTCACGCTTGCTATTTGTAACTCTTGTTTTCGGTTATGCTCCCTCAAAAAAAAAAATCAGTTCTGGCCAGCTGCCGCGACCATTCTGGCCGCCGCGGAACCGCTGGTCAATCGGAGTCCCTCGCGAAATCCGCTCCAGCTGGAGCTCCAGCTGATGCAGTTTCTTCCGGACATTCCAGGCATCGTCAAGAGCGATCGGCTTTGGGCTGGCTTGTCTGCCGCCAAGGACGCCCTCATTCACGGCATGCTCGCGCACCACAGCCTCACCATCACGGTCGAAAAGTGCTTCATGCACATCTTTATTCTCGGCAACGGCAGCTGGCACCTCTCCCATGTGAGGCTGAATCACATTCACGGCGGCGAAGGTGCTTCGTCGCGCAGCCAACTCGGCCGCGCCCAATTTGAAGGCTACATTTTGACTTGGCAAGGTGCTCGCACATCCGCTCCAAGCGGCAGTGTGGTGCGTGGCGGAGTCTCTGTCAGTGGATCAGGAGAAGTTGGCTCCAGCAGCGTTCAGGTCAGCCCGAGCGGGAGCTTTCCTTGACAACATCATGGTGCCTGTGTCTGTGCCTTTGAGGACCAGAGAAATGTAGTTTGCAAATTAATAAACAGTGTCTTTCGGCATTGTTTCTGAGCGATTGTTCAAAGACACAGTCTTCTTCCAACCTTCTTGATCAGTGGAACAATGGCGTCCGCATACAACCGCCCAATGCCGCCAACGCCGCCATACAAGCGCACGGGATGTCTAGATTCAACTGTCAAAACAATGACCTCAACACGTATGGGGGCAAAGCAATTGATTTTAGTTTTGGAGCGCGGTTTCTGAGAAATCTTGGCAACATCTCACCTGTGGTTTCGCTGCCGTCCTCACACACACACACGCTCTCTCGTTTTGCCCGTGGACTAGGAGTTGCTGCCAATGCACGAGAACTGTGGACGACGGGCGAGCTGGTGCCGCACTCGCGGGTGATGGACGAGAGCGTTCTGTGCGGCAAGATTGTGACTGGGTTTCTGCAGGGCTACGCAGCGCAGGCCGCGTACGACCAGTGGCGCGTCGAGCACAAGGTAGAGTTGCTGCGACCACTGCCGTTTGAGCTGCGGACGGAGCCGCCGCCGAAAGAGATGCTCTGGCCGGTTGGCTTTGAGGCGAGCGTCGCGGCCTTCCACGAGGCAATGAAGCACGCTGAAGCCGCCTGGGAGGACCAGCGCTCGTATGAAGAAGCGCATCACCATGCGTCGGCAAGCTCCAAGCCATCCGCAGCAGCGGGCGTTGGGTCGTCGTCGTCGTAGTGGGACCATTTGTTTTTTTCCAGCTGCGCCTTGGTTTGCTGCTCCCAGCACTGATTTGGACTTGACAAGTTGTCGCTGGACTAGTCTGATCCTTCCTAGACCTCGGGCAGGTAGCTGCGATGCTTTGGATTGTTCAACGGCTTTGAGCAGGTCTGAGTCTTTGATAGCGCAATGCGCACGAGCAACAACCGCGATGCGTTATGTGAAAGCGTGAGTTTGCGTGTGCGCTTCTGTGTTCCTTGTACATTATTAACACCTATTCCAGCATCCAATCTGTCGAGTCCTGTGCGGTCTGTCGAGAACGTCCCACCATCATCCGATCTCGCGTTCTCTGCAGTTCAACTCTTTGTTCGCTTCGACTCCAATCTACCATGCTCCTGCTCTTTTCCCTCCTACCCATGCTGTTGCTCCTTGTATCTGCTAGCAAGAACACCCTTCCCATCTCCCACTTGCACACAGATTGCACAACAACTCTGATCCCGTTGTTTTTTTTTTTTTCTCAGTCTACCAAGCACGCCTCTTCCCCTTTCCTTCCCCCTACCCCTAACCCCTACCCCACCTCTTTCCTGCCACCCCATTTCATTTCCCATATGGCACACTGATCCTCATTGAGTCATTCAGTCTTTTTTATTTCTTCCAAATCGACACCTCATTCTCCATTCACAAATGGCAACCAGCACCACTCCGACCAGCGCCTTCCCTCCGATGGAGTACCGCCTGCTCGGCCGCTCTGGCCTCAAGGTGAGCCAGCACACTCATACACACACACACTCTCTCTCTCTCCAACCATCATCACCCATCATCATCGTCGCTGTCCAATCTCCGCGCTCAGTCACGCACCTCCAATTCCGCGTTTCCCCCCCCCCCACACTCCCGGCTTCCGTCTCAACGCTCTTGCCAACGAACGCTTCTCGTTTCACTTCACACTCAACCTTCAGCTTTCTCAGTTTAAAAAGCACGCCAGATTTCAATCACAATGCGATGTGATGTGATGCGGAAATATAAAAAACATTTGGAGCGGAACTTCAATATTGAATGATGGTTTTTTTTTTTTTTTTTTTTTTTTTTTTTTTTTTTTTTTTTTTTTTTGCTTGTCTTCTCATTCACTTGGTTTTGTTTTTTGTGATTTTGTCGCTCATCTTTTGATTTTGGTTTTGGATTGTTGTTTTGAATTTAGGTTTCGCTGCTCTCGCTCGGTAAAGCATCTTCAATCGAAAAGCAATCTTCCGCTGCTTGGTTGCCTCACTGTGGCGCTCAGTTGAATGGAAATCTCCGCGTTGCAATCCTCCGCTCTGTTGCTCAACATGAACAACAACCAAAAAAATCATGCGCTCGATTTCTCGACACTCTGATTTGTTGTTGTTGTTGTTGAAGGATGCGCCCATCGCGGGGCATTTTAGGGGGGGGGGGAAGGCCTTCAATTGATTTGAGATTGTGCTGCTCACCCACTCACTCTCTCTGATTGCGTTGACATACATGCATGTGCAAAATCACACGGTGATCAGGCTCGTGGGTCTCGTTCAAGACCCAGGTACGTTTGCAACAATGAAATTGAATACGCTGCCTGCTCATTCATTCAGCCGAGCTCGGCTTTTGGAACAAGCATTTTGCTCACCCGAACAATCTTGTCTGTAGGTCGAGACTGACGCTGCCTTCGTTCTGATGAAGGCCGCTTTCGAGCGTGGATGCAACTTTTTCGACAACGCTGAAGGGTAAGTGGACCAAACACACACACTCAGACTGTTTCTTTGTGTGAACCAATCATCCCTGACCTCCCCCGCCCCCAAACCTCACAGCTATGCTGAAGGCGAAAGCGAGCGCATCATGGGCGAGGTCATCAAGCGTGGTGAGGCCGAAAAGGTCTGGACGCGCCCCGAGCTCGTTGTCAGCACCAAGATCTACTTTGGCAAGAACGCCCCGAACTCGCGGGGTCTCAGCCGCAAGCACATTGTCGAGGGCACTGTGGCTGCGCTCAAGCGTATGCAGTTGGACTATGTGGACCTGATCTTTGCCCACCGTCCCGACCCGATCACGCCCATGGAGGAAGTCGTTCGCGCCTTCAACCACCTCATTGACCGCGGTCTGGCCTTCTACTGGGGCACTTCCGAGTGGTCGGCTGCTCAAATCGAGCAGGCTATTGGCATTGCCGATCGCCTTGGTCTGATCCGTCCTCTGATGGAGCAGCCCGAGTGTAAGTAATTTGAGAGTGTGTGGACCAAGTGTGCGTGTGTGTGTGTGCTTTCAGTGCTAAGGGTGTCATCTCGTACTGTACACGGCCCCACGAATCTGACTTTTCCGGGATTTGTTGGTGCACAGACAACATCTTTGCCCGCGAGCGCGTCGAGCACGAGTACAGCAACCTGTACCGCGATTACGGTCTTGGCACCACCATCTGGTCGCCTCTCGCTTCCGGTATGATTCGCTGGTTCTGTTTGAACAGCCATTTTTTTCGCTGCAACACTCTGCTCACAAAAAATGTGCGTAAATAATCTGTCTCTCTCTCGCGCTCTCTCGCTCTCTGCGAGCAGGCATTCTCACGGGCAAGTACAGCCAAGGCAAGTTCCCCGAGGGCTCTCGCCTGAGCCTGGAATCGCTCGCGTGGCTGAAGGATCGCAAGCTTGCCGCCGAAAACAAGTGGCAGTTCGAGGCTGCCGACAAGTTGCTGCCGATTGCAGAGGAGCTCGGCTGCTCGCTCGCCCAGCTGTCGATTGCTTGGTGCGCAAAGAACCCGCACGTCAGCACCGTCATTCTTGGCGCCACCTCGCTGAAGCAGCTGGAGGAGAACTTCAAGGCGCTCGAGGTTGTCCCCAAGATCACGCCCGAGCTTATCAAGCGCATTGACGAGATTATCGGCAACAAGCCCAAGCTGACTGCTGTGGAAGCGCAGGTGCGTAACCTCCTCAACGTCGACGCTCTCGGCCCCAAGTAAAATCGCAAAATGCTGCAAAGCCGCCGTTTTCAAAAACCAGAGAGCGAAAATCAGAACGTGATTGAACAATCGTTACTTGCGCTCGCGCGTGCTGTTCTTTTGATGAAAAATGGTGTACCGTCTGTTTGATAATGAACAACACTTTGCTCTCCTGCATAGTCTCCAAGTTTTCTTCGCCCTTTGATATGGCAGGATTGTTCAAATCCGCTCAGTCTTGAATTCCTAAAATGTCAACCCATTTCGAGCAAACCAAACGCCACTTAATAGGCGAGATTGCGCAGGTGAATTGGATTTTGATTTCCATAGCCGCAATTGTTTTGATTTTGCCTTGTTGTTGATCGCACTTTGGGTTGTTGGCTGAGAATAAGCGAAACCGGGAACGAATTTTTGGCGGGAAACCCGGTAACACTCACTCTCGCGTCCTTCTGGCCCATGCAGTCGCTCTCCGAGACAGCCGATCTGACTGGCGCCGTGGCATCCAACGTGGACGCATTGCTGGCGAGTGGCCAAGACGTGACTGCGCTGGCGGCTGCGTGGACGACCTTCCAGCGGACACTGGCGCTGTCGACCGCGTCGCTTGGTGCGGCTGCCCGTTCCCTGGCTCACTCAGAGCCCATGGATGCATCGCAGTAAGCTTTGCGCTCTAGACCGGAGAGCTTCAAAGCGGTTGTTGGAGTTTGCTTGAAAACGGTCTGCTGCAAGGACGTTCGCTACAATTCTCAGACAAGTCCTCAACCTCGCTTCATCGAGCTACCTAGCGTTTGATTATGTTGTGTTGCATGCTACATTGCTTGTGTGTCATTCCGTGTTGTTTCATTAGCTTGTACAGTATTAAAAATTTCAAAATAATGGGGGGAAACGCGGCTACAACTCCAGTATAGCCGACATCAAACAATCAGGCCACCCACCGCCAGTGAACGACGCGTGTTGGCAATGAAGAGATAGATAGCACCCAGACTCTACTCGACTTGGGTCACTTGCACGTACGCCACGCCCGACTTGGATGGACGGCGCTGAATCACAGCCACAGCTTCGTCGGTGGTGTCGGGCATGTGCATGCCCATTGTTTCGGGAAGGAAGATGAAAATCAACCCAAACGAGAGGACGGCCGTGGCAGCAAAGCACGCCAGGGGCACTTCGCGAAGGTCGTCGCCAAGCGCATCAATCAAGATGGGCGTGAGGATTCCTCCAAAGCGCGAGGCAAATGAGCACCAGCCCATGCCGATGCCGCGCACAGAGGTGGGAAATAGCTCTGAAGAGTAGGTGTACGTCAGAGCGAATGCTGCACTGATGCAGAGCTTGCCGACGCACGCCACCACAGTATTTCCAGTTGTCTCGAGCGGCGCAATCATGGTGGCCGTCGCGCATCCAGCGATCAGCATGAAGAGATTCAAGCTCTTTTTCCGACCGATGCGATCCACCAGGAGCACGGCCACCAAGTAACCAGGAATCTAGCAAGCGCAAGCCATGAAAGTCAAAACACACACACAAAAAAAAAAAAAACAAAAAAAAAAAAAACGAGACACTCGTGTCCCAAACAATAATCCTATGCCGATGGCATCGCTAATGACACTCACCTCCACTAGGCCAGACAGAAAAGTGTTGAAGAAAACGTTCGAGCTGAGGTCGGCGGCGAGAAACGTCAAGCCGTAGTAAACCAGACTGTTGGTAAACCACACAAACCCAAGAACCAGCGTGCTTCGCCGAAGTGCAGGGGCGACGAGATCACTCAGCACAGGCCCTTTTGCAGGGCCGTGACCGTGGTGGGGGAGCAGCACTTGATCATCCGTGGAGTGCTGCTCCTTGTAGGAAATTTCGGACGGGGAGACCACCACAATGTCTTGCGTGGAGCGATTGCTGCCGTGCCGCGACAAGGTGTGGGTCGTGCTTGGCGAGGACGTTGCTGAATCGCTCGAACGCCCGTTGACGTTGCCAGTCTCGTTCTCGGCGTCTTCCGACTTGACTGCAACAACAGTGGAGGAGGGAGAAATCGCGTGGTAGGTGTGATGCTCGATGCTGTGCACAGTGCGTGGATCTGGGAAGAAGGCGGCGTCGGGATCGTGCAGCGGCAACACGACAATCATTTCCACGCCATTGCAATCCACGACAGTTTGCAAACAATCCGTCAGGTCGTCGTACCGCTTTTGGACAAGCAGGTAGCGAGGAGACTCGGGCAGTACAAAGTACAAGACGGCAAAGGCGAGGAGACTCGGAATGCACGCGATGGCCAACACCCAGTGCCAGGACGCCTCGAGCACTTGGACGGCAATGTACCCTCCGAGCGCCATCAGCATGATGCCAATGCCGAATGCCGTCTGCCATAGCGTGCTGACGATACCCCGTTTGCTCGGAGCAATGTACTCGGATAGCAGCGTGAACGAGCAGAGCATTGTTCCACCGATTTGTGCGCCGGTCAGGACTCTGAGCGAGATGAGCGTCGGGAAATCTTGCGAAGCAGACAGCGCCGCGCCGAGAATGGTGACTCCTGCCAGCGATGCAAGGAGTCCCGGTCGACGTCCATACTTGTCAATGATGAATCCCCAAAAGAAGGCGCCAACCAGCCACCCTGCAAATGTGGCCGCGACCAGGACGGCTTTGAGCACGCTCGACAGATTGAGCTCGTCGACAATCGTGTTTTGCACCAGAATGATCGAGATGACATGACTTCCGGCGGACAGCGAGCCGAGCATTGCTTTGAGCAGCATTCTGCGCTGGAATGGCCCGAATGGCTTGGCTTCCTCCAGCACATCGTCAATGTATGTTCCCAGGTGCAGATTGCCCGGTTGCGTCGCGGGCCTGCTGGAGGAGTGCTTGTTGTTGGCGTACCCTCGACCGGCCTCGCTTGATAAACGGCGGTGGTGGCCGTTCGCCCAGTCAGCTTGAGCTTGGCTACTCGTCTGGTTGCTGCTTGGGGCGCCTCGGTGGTGGTGCTGGTGGTGCTGGTGGTGCTGGTGCGGACTAAAAAGGCCAACCGCATGATCCGTCGTGTGATTGGAGTCGGCTGCAGCAACGCGAGGTTCCGCGTCGGAGAGACCGGTATCAGGATGCCCGGAGTGGCTTGACGGGGGTCTGAATGGCGAGTTGTGAGAGTGCGGGTGTGGCGGAGGGTGGCTGGGCAGACCTGCAGCGGCGGCGGTGATTGGCGTCGGAGAACCCGGATGCGACCAGTGCGAATCGTCGCCAGTCAGCTCGGACGCAGCGACAAGGCGGGACATCGGCAATGAGATTTCCTTGGAACGAGTGACTTGTAGTGATAGTGAGCGAAGTAATGGCAATACGATCGAGTTGTACGAAGAAGGGAGATTTAGTTAGAATGGAAGAGTCAAACAACAAACAAACAACAAAAAATGAGAACTGCCTCGTTTCTCAGAATTCAGACATGCGAACGAGAAGTGGCTGAGAAAACAAAGGCAAATCCACAGTCGCAACGCTCCTCGCGAGAGCGGATAAACGACTTCCGTTGCCTTCTATGAACACTCACTTCACAAACCGGCAATTTTCCCCTGAAATACACAATCACACCTCACAACAATAAAGACATTCAACATTGCTTGAACAATTTGTCTTCAAAGACACAATCAAGACAAGACACCAAACAAAAAATGAAACAGAAACAAGCAAGAAAACAATCACAACAACAACAACAACAACAACAATTTTTTTTTTCCCACAGTATCATGCTTTGTGTGGTTTTGAAATTTTACGACGGAGGAGCAGCACCAGGGGTGTGGAAGGCAACGCCAGTCTTGCCGTTGGCCTTGAAGGTGTGCGTGTGCGCCTTTGGGTCGGGACCACCGACGGTGAGTTGCTTGGCCTTGCCACCTTGAGAAAAGTCAATCTGCGAAGCCACCTTGATGTTAATTTCCTTCTTGTGGTGCTTTCGCACCATGTCTTGGAGCTTGATCAAGAGCTCGCCGGCCTTGGGTCCGCGAGTCGTCATGTCAAAGACAAGGTCGCCGTCTTTGCCACCAGTCGTGTGGATGACGACGACTTGGTTGTCGTCGGGGAAGACGGACGCGCCAGTCACGCCAGAGATGGCGATGGGGTGCTTGCAAATCTTGTACGTGGCCGGGTTGAGCTTGTAAAAGTTGTTCTCGCACACAATCAGCACGCGGTCTTGCATCTTGTTCTTGCGGTTGAGCTTGACCACAAGCTCGGAGAAGAGAATGTTTGAATCGCCGTGCTGCTGCATGAGCGCGCCGATCGCGAGCTTGAACTTGGCGGCAGTGGGGTTGGTCGCCTCATGCGCAAGGTAGTTGCCCTCCCACTCGCGCTTGTAGCCCCACGAGGCCTTCTTGTTGCCGCCGAAAATGGCTGCACCAACAATCTTGAGCCGCATCTCGGCTTGCTGCGGGGGAGTCAGCGACATGACAATGCGGCGAGCACGCCACGTCTGGTGGATGAGCTCGACCTTCTTGCGGAAGGGAACGAGCACCTTGGGGGGCTCGGGGAGGCGAATGTGCTTGCCAAAGTCGGGCAGGTCCTTGACGCCCTTGTAGGTCGAGAAGACGGTGGACATGAACTTGCGCGCCATGTAGAAGCGGAAGCGGCGTGCAATGCGATGCGCGGCACGGAAGCGGATAAACCAGCAGCGAGCCTTGTAGCCTCGCCAGATCTTTTGGACCTTGAGGACGAGCGAAGGGATCTTGGCCTCGCGCGCCTCTTCAAGGGCGGTGAGCGTCTTGGGCGAGCGAACAAACAGCTTGGTGCGGCCGAGCTGAATGGCAGGCACGGCGAGGTTGCAAGCGGCAAGGATGAGCTCGACGCCAGCCTTGAGATCGCCACCCTTGTAGTGGGGCCAGGTCTTGGGGCTGAGCATCTTGTAACGCTGCAGCACACGGTCGTAGGGCAGACGGTAGGCAAAACCAGCGCGGCGCACACGCAGGTTCTCCATCAGACCAAGATAGCGGACTTGGTGGAGGACGCGCTCGTGGTCAAACACGCCCGACGCCTTCTGGTCGTTGGGCTTGATGCAGCGCACATAGTGGGGCTCCTTGGACATGAGGTTTTGGACGAGCTCGCCCATCGAGGTCTTGAAGCTGGTGCCGGCAGTGACGGGGCGCTTGGTGACCTCCTTAATGTCGGCCGCACCCTCGGGCCACATGGTCTTGATGGTGCCGTTCTTGGACTGGTAGAGCAGACGCTTCAGATCTTGGAACAGGGTGTCCTTGTTCTTGGCGAGGAAGCCGTTGACATTGTACACGACATCGCCGGCGTAGTGCTTGAGGACGAAATCGCGGTTGGACTCGAGGGACTTTTCGTTCTTGTCCGTTTGGCGCGAGCGGTAGTGGGCATGGCTGCCGATGCGCTCGTCCATCTTGTTCAAAAAGTCCTTGTCCGTGACATCACCGGGGCGGAGGCACTCCTCGTCGAGGATGGCGACAATGCCAGTGTTCTTGCTCTCAACGAGGTCGCAAATGATCTGGTTGTTAAAGTAGTCAATGTGCGTCCACTTGATGCCCTCGCGCTCGTACTCTTCCTGCTCGCGCTTGAGAACGAGCTCGATGAAGAGCTGCTGCAGCTTCTCGTTGCAGTAGTTGATGCAGAATTGCTCAAACGAGTTGTCCTGGAAGATCTCAAAGCCGTAAATGTCAAGGACACCAATGACCTTGTTGCGGCCGCTGGCGTCGACCTTGATGCTGTCGTTGATGCGCGAGACGACAAACGAGAAGAGACGTTCGTACGCAGCCTTGGCAAGCGCGTCACGGGCAATCGTGGCCTCGGTCGCCTGCTGGGGCGAGTACACAACGTCGCCACGAGTGGCGACAACGCGAGTGGTGAGCGCCTTGATGACCTCGTCGTCGGTCGACGAGATGAGCTTGGCCACAGCCGAGAGGTGCTTGCGCGACTCGGCGTCAATGCTGCAGGCGGTGGTGCCTTCCACGCCGCCCTCAAAGACAATGTTGCCGAGGTGGAGGATGGCCGCGACAACCTCAAACAGCGTGTTTTGGTCTGCCTGGGTGAAGCCAATCGTCTTGAGGCCCTTCAGGACAGCCTCAAACTCCTTCTTGTCGTCGAGGGACTTGACAGCGTTGACGCCGCTCTGGTTTGTGTAGTTGTACGTGTTGGGATCGCGCGAGAGCTCGAGCTGGCCCAGCAGCTGGTCGTTGGCGCCGCGCATCAGCATGTAAAAGATGTGGAAGTTGCGCTCGCCCTTGGACTGCTTGACAACGCGAGCCTTCTCGAGGAGGTAGTTGGCAATGTGGCCGCCGACCGGGTCGCCCTTAAAGTCAAAGTCGACGTCCATGTACTTGCCAAAGCGCGACGAGTTGTCGTTGCGGTTGGTCACAGCGTTGCCAAACGCCTCCAAGACGGGGTTGGACTGGAGGAAGATTTCCTTGACCTCGTCCACCTTCTTGCCGTGTCCCGACACAGCCGCCAAGTAGCGCATGATAATCTTGGACGCCTCGGTCTTGCCCGCACCAGACTCGCCTAAAAAGGGGGGGGGGTTTCCAGTGAGTTTTCTAGTTTAGTTTTCGACGTTGTTGTGATATTCTCAGTTTTTTTGGTTCTCAGTTTTTTTGGCAATCCGACATATTTCTTTCTGGTCAATGTTGTGGCTTTTTCTGATTTTGGTTTCGTGTTTTTTTTTCTTCTGAGACTGAGGTCGAGTGCCCTTTTTTTCAATGTCATTCCACTACAGTGCTCAAAGTGTAATGCTCTATTGCTCTGAGAGTGTGAAGATTGGAGGTCTTTGTCACAACATGCAATGCGAAGTTGATGCTTTTCATTCCATCCGTTTTCCCTTTTTTTTTTTTTTTTTTTTTTTTTTTTTTGGAATCATTGGTCACTCACTGCTTCCAATTTCTCTCTCTCTCTCTGTTTCTCTCTGTTTCTCTCTGTTTTTCTCTCTCTCTCTCTCTCTCTCTCTCTCTCTGTTTCTCTCTGTACCAAACCATAAGAATAGCACACAATTCGGAAAACGCATTATTCACCCAAAATCCACTATTTCACACTGCAATTTGACATTGACCGCATTGCAATGCCGCTTTTTGTTTTTGTGTTTTTGTCCCCCCCCCTCTTCGTTTTCTCTCCGCATGTTGTTGAGTGACATGTCGGTTGTGCAAATGCTGCTCCTATGCTCAATGACACAGCAGCCCGTCTTCCAAAGAACAGGCTCAAAAGGGGAGAGTCGAAAAAAAAATCGGTTTTCCATTTATGAGTATTTTTTTTTTTTTTCGTTCGTTCTTTTTTTTTTTTTTTTTCGTTCTTTTGCTTCTTCAGTTTGTGTTTGCGAAAGTCGCGCAACTCGAGAACAGCAACGACGCGCACGCACGCACTTGTTCGCAATGTCTGCAAAATCGAACTGAACCGAAACTGGAAAAATAACCAAAGTATCGAACACGGAAAAGCTTCAAAAAACCAAATCCGTTTCTTTTTTTTTTTCTTTTTTTTTGGAATTTTTTTTTTTCATCTTTGTGCCTTTTTTCGCTTGGATTCGAGCTCGATCTTTGAACTCATCACCGTGTTGATGCCGTCGCCAACATCACCAGCAACCCAAGTGTGCCGACGAAACTCCATCCCCCGAGACGGGAGCAGAACAGCAAACCCAAACCAGCGATGATGCGGTTTGGTAAAAAAAAAAAAAAAAAAATCATTGCTGCGTTTGTGATGGCTTTTTTTTTTTTTTTTTTTTTGCTTCATTCGTGTTCGATTTCGTGTGTTTGTTACCTGAGATGACAATGCACTGGTCCGTGTTCTGGCGGAGCATGGTCTTGTAGGCGGTTTCGGTGAGGGCAAAGATGTGCGGGGGACGCTCGTAGATGAAGCGGCCTTCGTACTGCTTGATAATGTCGTCGCCATAAATGTTGAGCGACTTGTACGGATTGACCGACACGACGACCTCGCCAATGTACGTGTACGCACGATCGCGCTGCACACGCGTCTTGAGGTTGTCCATGAACGCCTGTTCCGTAATCTCCTCAAGAAGCAGACAGTCCGCCACGCCGGCGTCGTCGCCCATAATGAAGGAATCGCGGCGGCGAGCCATGATTGCAATTGAAAATTTGGGGGTTTTGAAAAAAAAAAAAAAAAGAATGAGCTGGGTTGGGTTGGAGAGTGAATCATACTTTATGTTCTGTAGGATGGAAGTGGAAGAAGGGAGAGGACGATGAGGTGAGGTGAGGTGGGGGGAGGACATTTAGTCATCAGAAAGCGAGTGTGCAAAGAAACGGAAAAACAAAGAACGACCAGACTCGTTCGTTCGTCCGATGCATGAACAATGGTTTGCTGTGCAACGAGATTGTTGAGCCGGTAGGTCCTGCTAGCTTGGAAACGACCATCGGAATAGCACGCTCGCTGAACAGTGGATTATGTTTGCTCGTTTTGCGCACTAGATCTGGCAGCCATCCGGAGCAAAACGGGCCAAGCGAAAGCTGTTCAACTGTATTTCCAAGACAGCAAGAAAACTCGAGCCCCCCCCCCCTTTGGCTCCTTCTGCATCTAGTCTAGTGAGTCTTGGCCTAGCGCTTGATTTTCATATTTAACGCTCGTCCTAAAGCGGAAGTCTCATCACTCTTCCACACACTTTCACCACCTTTTTCTCGGGTTGCCGCCAACTCAATCTCTCTCTCTCTTTCTCCCCCCCCCCTTCTCTCCCTTCCTCTTGCACCCCAATTCTCTTTCCTCCTTTCTCCATCTAATTCTTCTTCTCGTTACCCGCGTCTGCGTCTGCCACTTTGGAATACACACAACGCAAAACAGCAACGTTCTTCTCTGAAACCGTTTCTTTTGAATATTTTGAAACGTCTCGTAGCTGCGCTTTTACTCTCGCTCTCCCTCGCTCTCCCCCATTCGCCTTACGCTTCCAGTATCGCCCCTGCACACTTCTCGTTGCTTTAGCTTTCACATCTACACCCATCTCTTACAATGCCTTTCTTCTCTAGCGTAAGAAATGTCTGTTGCGTTTGATTTTGAAAACGTTTTTGTTGCTTTTTGATATTTTTTTGTTTCGCCATATATTTGCCTTTTCGACTCTGCCTGCGGCTCCTCCTCGCCATCGTCTTACTCAAATCCTTCATTCTTCAATCGACTCTCTCGTGCTGCGCTCGCATCCAACAGACACTCGGCCTCAACCAAGAGAATGGCCGCACAACTCGGGCCCAAACCGCGGTTCCAGTCAAGACCACCGCGCTGTCCACCGCCCCCACTACCCAAACGACCCGCCAAGTCATGGAAAACATCTCCAACCGAGTCGTCCAGGCCCGAACCGATGCCACCGTTGGCAAGACTCGCAGCGCGGTAAGCTAAAGCTGAGCTTGCTTTTGAATCGATGAAATGCGTTTTGTTGAAACGGTTTCAGGCGTTTTTTGTTTTTGTTTTTGTTTTTGTGTTTTTCCTTCCTTTATTATTTTCT